ACCCACACCCACCCACACCCCACACCCACACCCACACCCACACCCACACCCTCAATAATACGCGTTCTATGATGCGCATCATATAATATATCAATTAAAGCAAACATCATGTTTGTAGGAATTAAGTATCTTAAGATATGTAACGGCATGAGACAATCAACTAATGAATGCTTTTAAATATCCACTTAGAACGATTAATTATAACTATTTATACTTTTTCTTTTTTCTTTCACCATACTTGTTTGACTATCCTATATTTACATCCTACGCTCAATAATATCGCTACATTGATTGGAGGATGTTTTCAGAAATTAGAAACAAAAAAAGCGAGTTTCTAAAATTAGCAAAAAATTCGACGATGAAGATACTTTAAAATCCCATTTCTAACGATCAAATAATTTGTAATACATTATCAATGATCACTAACATAATATAAAAATATTAACATCCTTCTATCTTGATTTTCATAAAGATCAGATATAGGTGACTAATTGATACTAAAGAAAAATGTTATGGGATTTCCGATAGAAACATATGATCATGATATTCGAAGGCGTCATATTTTACACGTCATATTCATCAAATTTGTTCTATCATGCAAAAATGACAGATAAAAGTACTCTTTTTATTCTATAATGATTTTATTCATTCTCTATCTATTCACTTCATACATTAAAAGCTTTCAGACTTCTTAAAAGTACACATTAGGTTAACACACCGAAATATAAGAATGCATTATTTTCAATTGAATTTCAAACTTCGCTGACAACATTATTTATCATACGGAAAAGAAATATTATCTTTTTTCTCTTCTATATCATATCTTTCCTGTCGGTTCAAACTATTATAAAATCTTTGACAGAAAAATGAGCATGATTTTTCACAAGAAACTTTTCGTACGTGTCTAATACATTTTAAATATTCTAATGAACTGTCTACATTTCTGGTATTCAGTTGTCTAAGAAAAAAAGAGGACATTTTTCTACCAATGAAATAATTCTATCATCATTTTTCAGTCTATATATTTCAGTTTACATTTATCAGAAAATCAGTCAAAACATAAATTCTTAACTACAACAAAATTATTTAATTGAGGAGTGAAAAACATGTCAGTTGTTGTTACATTACCGCTTGTACAACAATACCTATCACAATATGGAATAACAACATATTTGATACTTGGAAGTATTGGATTATTTCTTAATATAGCTTACTTTACTCAACCCGCATATCGTGACAAATCGTTTTCACTTTATATTATAACAATGTCAATATGTGGTTTACTTGGTTTACATATCTCTACTGTACCAATCATTTATGCATTATATAATCCATATCCACTTACTTACAATGCTTTCTTTTGTGCAATACAATTCTATCTACGACATTCATTCAATGAATTAATGAGAACATTTTTTGTTCTTGCCTGTGCTGATCGATATGCATCTAGCAGTACACAAGCAAAGATTCGTAGATTTAGTCAGTACAAAGTGGCAATCCGGGTTATTCCATCGGTTTTGCTTTTTTGGTTTATAGTGTCTATTTTTCCAACTATGATGCGTACATTAGATAAAGGTGTCTGTGATGCTAGAAGTGGTGTAATTCATACTGTTTATGCAATTTATATTTTAATGAGTCTTGGCATTTTCCCATTAACAGGTTCTTCAGTATTTGCTATATTACTAATTAAAAACATGAAATCAACACGTCAACGTATTCATCCAACTATAACTCTTGAACCAGAACCGCATAATCTTCGAAAACGTGATCGAGATATGCTGAGAATGTTATTGGTTGAATTGATTGGTTATATTCTTACCACTATACCAAATACAGTCATCCAAATTTATAAATCAGCTGCTGCTAATGTAGTTAAAACAAAAGATCGGCTTGCAATTGAGAACTTTACTATTTATTTAGCTCAGATATTTTTACTTTATCTCACCAATACTTTATCATTTTGGGTCTTTTTATCAGCATCACAAACTTATCGTACTGAACTCAAAAATATGCTCATTAGATGGTATCGGTTTATCACTCGTCAAAGAATCAACCAATAGACTAAGACACTTTTATGAAAAACTAAATAAATTATTTTAGAAAGTTATTCATAATAAAAAGAAATATTCATTAGCTATTGCGACGACTATGATAGGTTCGGTTTGCGCATATTCTACCCAATATCTAGAGATGATATGTCAATTTTCTTCTTGATACCCACACCCGAGTTTAGTAATTTAGTTTAAAAGCTGAAGAAAGGAAAGTTGATAGTTTTATTCATTCTTCGTCGGCAATTTTAAGAACCAATTTGCCTTGTGCCTTGCCACTCTTCGATTTTTCGTATAATGCATACAATGCTTCAACGCCATCTTTTCGCCAATCGAATACTGTATCGATGATTGGTTTGACTTTGTCCGTTTCCAAGAATCGCGTTCGTATCTCGTCTAAATCTTGATAGCTTTCACGAATAGCATGAAATTTGTATGAGAGTTTGGTTGAACTAAAAATGGACTGTAATTTATGTCCCACAAGAGTAGAACCTAGTGTAGCCATATATTTCAATGAGACCTTCATTTCAGGATCATTACCTACAATAGTAATAAATTGACCGCCTCGCCTAAGTATTTGTTGGGCGGCTAGCCATTGTTGTTCACCACCTACACAATCGTACACAAAATCATATTCTTGACCTAAACAAAGATCAAGCTATAAAAAAAACTAGGGGATATTGTACGCATCACCTTTCAATTCTTGTCCGAAATCTTTGTTATTGTAATCAATGACGAGTAACTGTTGTGGATCTGTTGTCATGTCACTACATGCTTGAACAACTTTACAACCTATGTAATCAATAAACAACATAATGAGATGCAATTAACAGAAAAAAGCAATGAACAAACCAAGTTTTTCCATCAAACTGAAGTTTCTTTGTGAACATGTTGTTGTTACATGAGCACCTACAGCTTTGGCCAACTGAACACCATAGAGTCCGGTAGCCGAACTGCCTCCACATACCATGATTTTACTTCCTGGTCCGACTATAGGCGAAGCTGTGTTGAACAATGCCTGATAACTAGTTAAACACGCCAACGGTACGGCAGCTGCTTCTACCATCGTTAAATTGCTTGGTTTTAAGGCGAAGAGTGATTCTTTTTCACGAACATATTCAGCATAACTGCCACCATCCGTACCAAGATTTCCATAGACTTTGTCACCAACCCGGAAACGTTTCACTGATGAACCAATAGCAACTACCACTCCAGCAACATCACTACCAGGTGTGTGAGGGAAGGAAAATCGTTTAATAAACGTCAGATTACCTTTTAGTACCTTCCAATCGACTGGATTGATCGCAGCGGCATAAACTCGAATAAGAATTTGTTTACATGATAGTTCCCCAGGAACAGGTATGTCCTGGTGTAGAGTAATTACATTACGTGCATCGCCGTAATCGTTTTGTTGAGCGCCTGTCATTACTGAAGGAATACCATCTTCAATTTCTGTCGCAGCTAATTTAGCCATGTTAATAGTATTTAATCTAAAGAAAACTAAATCGGACAAATATCCTGGATACAATAGAAGTAATTTAGATTCTTTCTGAAACGAATTGTCTTCACAAAATCATTAAATTGAGACTACAACACATACACATTCTTAGTTTTCTTAGCAACGAAGACGTGTAAAATATTGACTGAAATTTTATAGAATGTCATGCGAGTCTGATGAGCGAGGCAAGATATGTTAGCAGACTGGAGAATCTTTCTTCGTTGTTTATATAGATAATTAATAAAGTCAGAATAGAAAGTATTTATAGTCACACTCTTTCTTATGCATATGGTAGGACTCAGCGGATTTATTCTATTGCGAAGAAATGTAACAAGTAATGACGTTGCAAAATTTACAAGTAACATTATGCTCACGATGTACCATGTAAGCATGAAAGATAGATAAAAAGAAGGAAAGGAAAGAATCCAAAAGGAGACAAAAAAATGAGAAGTAAATGGAGAGAAACACAGAGGAAAGGAAAAAATCCATGCGGTCGGGTACGCTGATATTGGAATAACACTACGTACGCACTTTCAGCTACATTATGAATATACAGTCAATATTTTTAATAATAACAATTTTTTGATAAATATTACTATTTCTAATAAGAACACATTCTGTAAAATACATATTATATTTGCTTTAATTTCTTTTCTTTTCCTACAAAATAACTTAGTAAAATTTGACTAAAAATTTTGTCCTCCGATCTTAAAAAACTCATATATTTTACTCATTCGATCATATGATATTGATAATTTTTTAACAATATTGTACGTCGTGAGAGTGTGAGTGACGACATTACACTCATCAGTCGTCTTTAGCACACTCACACCCTAACCGGAACATTTATCGTTTGACTGATCTTGATTGATATAGCTAATATAAAGAAGACTTATTATATATGTCATTTTGACATCAATTTAGATTCGTAATTTTAGAAATATATGTATCAGTGAGTTATCTTGAAATATTTTCTAATTTTTAAAAATTTTACTTGGATATATTCATCTTTCATTTAGAATATAAAACTAGCATTTATTATACTATTAAATATAAATAAAAAATGAATCTTTACTTTATTATCCAAAATTTTAAGATTGATAATAAGCTCGAAAAGAATACAATGATATGTTCTTTATTTATAATTTACATTCATTTATCATCGATCATATTTTATTGTAAACTAAAGTTACATACTTTTATTTTGTCTAGTTTTTTTATTTATGTCTAATATTTAATCATCGTCTGTAATGATGTATATATAACAAATTACTGTTTTCACTTCTTTGTTATAAGTGAAATTCATCATGAAAATATTTTGGATAGAGATCTATTTATGTTGTTGATCAAAACAACATTCAACAAGAAACGGTATCGTAGACAGTTTATTTTTCGTTCTTCTAAATCACGATAAAGTTTTCGATTTCTAACGAGATAGATGGGTGTCGATATGGATGCGAGTAAAGATCTGGATAGCTTTTCTATGCTATACCCACACCCATACCCATACCCACGCCCACATCCATACCCACACCCACATCCACCCACCCACACTCACACCCACATCCACATCCACACTCTCATCCACACCCACACCCACACCCTCATCCACACCCACACCCTCATCCACATCCGCATCCAAGGCATTCTTCGTTGGAGTTTTGAATGACGGAATAGCCGTGAGCCAGCCGAGAACCGGACGAAGAGCGGACGTTATCGGATTCTGTCCGATACCTAGAAAACCGGCAATTAATTTCATGTGGATTTCATATCCGTTATTATCAAGAGTGAAGTTCGTTTGCGTGACTGCTTCGCTGAAATCGGCAAAATCAATGCCATTCATGATTTTCTAAAGAGAAAAAAGAACAGACGAATAATATGTGAATCGAAAGAACGGTCTCTCTCATTCTTACCCCGCGGAAATTGTAATCTTGTCGCGCTTTACGATAATGGCCATTTCCATCAGCAACATACCTGATATGAAAATAAGATAAAACTTACAGACGAATACCTCCGCTATCAAACATCTTTCATGATGATGTATCATTTCTCAGAAAAGTCTTTTTACACCCGATGATCTGCATAGCATTCGTTGCTATATGGTAGCGCTCCAATAAAGTAATTATCTTTATAGATCAAAAGATATTTTCAGAAAGCTCTAAAATACTTATTGCCTCAGCTTCCTCCACTGGAAGGAGTGGATTTTGAGTCAGTCTTACGCCTATTCTGTATGATTCGATTGCAAGGATTTCGTATAAATTGATGAAATAATATCGTTATTATGAGTTTTACAATGAAACTTGGGAAAAGATTGTGTTCTTGTGTAGCATATATGAAGTACACTCAGTAATGCTCATTAAGTCGACTTCAGTAACTGGAATTTTATCTGAAATCATATGAATTCTGTTTCACCCGATATATTCTTTTGTGGTGATCACGATTATTTTAATGGTTCTGTACGTGACCGAGAGCTAACAGTGCGTGTGGAAAATTCGCAAATACAATGAGCATTTAATTGCTTTCTCCAAATGGGGCAATATTAGTATAGTCTGGCATTTACTCACGGTACAAAGTCAGCAAGCCATCCGATTAACATGTGAATACCTGATCCACCACCGACTTTATGGCACACCTTCTGCCACCAGTCGATATCAGGCGTTCCTTCAGCACTCTCTTTGAACTTTTGCACATGTGAAAGCAGTGGATCGAGCCACCAGTGTAGATCAGTAAACATCAGTTTCAATTGATTCAGCCGATCAATCACTGACTGGAAATCAGCCGGTGAGCCACGTAAAGTTACTTGTGGAATACCACAGACCAGAACGAATCGATAGTCGTAGTACGCTTTAACACTGTCCATCAAACATGCATCAAATACGGCTTGCTGAATAGATGTTGTTTGCGAAAATGGTTGTGAGATCAAAGTAACCAGATCAGCCGCTTTCATGTCGGCTTTGATCAAGTCTGTCATCAAACGTATAGCTGCTGGCCAATTGATCGCTGGTACCAACATACTTACACCCGAGGGTTTTTCGTTGTTATGTAATTGAAGCTTATTTACGTTCAGGTTGAGTTCCTTTTTACCGTTGTGCGACACGAAGTAGTGACGAAACTTTTCTGCGTTCGAATTAAGATGAATACTGACGCCTTGAGCGATAGCTACCCAAATATCTTCTACACTTAATTCTAGTGGATAATGATCAGAATAGGCTTTGAAAACCGTACCTATGAATGCATTCGCCACACGATAGTTTATACCGTCAGCCAACGGATGAGCCAGTTGATAGTTTTCGAGCGCGAGAATTTGATCCTTGCTTGCCCATCGTTGTATATCTTTACTCCAGAGAGATTGAACCTCAGGATGGACAGTTTTGCTTGGTTCGACTTGAGCGACTGAAAACGTGGTGATAGTCCCAGTTGCTGCTTTCGATGAAGTGGTTGCATAGAGAAGAAAACCAACAGCACACATAAACCGTCGACGTAAATATATGGTAGAAAGCAATGGAATAAGTAGATAATGTAAGAACGACATTTATTGTATGAGAATGATAGGCAATGACTAATGACACACTCTGATTAATATATGTATAGACTACCGAAAGTGAAGACGTAGCGTGCCATAATCGAGAGACTACAGACTCTGTAATTGGAAAACTGTTGGTGTACATCCAGTAGATGTCGGGTATATACAAGTAGATTATGTTAGCACATGGAGATTAACAAAAGGAAAATACAATTGACTGCAATAAAAACGATCACATATATCATTTTCTTCGGTAATGACTCTCCAATAATCAGAACCCATCTTGAGGGTAAATGGGTGTGGGTGAGATTGTACCCTACCCACACTCACACCATCAGGAAGATGAATGTATTCTCTTTCATTACCCTCACAATTATACTCTCACCGACACCCACTTACACCTGTGAAAGTGGTTTAAAATTTTTCAAATCAATAAAAAGTCTTATTCAACATATATGTATTGATTTTATTCTTCAGTTTAAAAATCCTCAGCAATCAAAGAGTGATGTTTGGCCAGCTGTTGGTTTTCAAAATCATGAATTTTATGACCCAAGTTTAGTTTTTTTTCCAAATTATTTTTGATCATGATATATTGTTTATTAATTTAGATATACAAGACCAAATTTTAAGAAATATCGTAATATTTTACAACAGTCATTCTGAATCCAAATCGTATGATCTCATCAGCTATGTAACAAAAAATATAGAGAAAAATGATAGAAGGGATGTTTAACACATTGTGGATATACTTGCTGGAGGTTCGTGTTTTAAGGTGACAATAAAGCGACCATAAAAACAAATAATTTTATGTGAAGCTTTTCTGTTTTTGTTATATTGTGCAGGAAAAGAATTATTCATTGTTTCGCTTGAAAAACGATTATAATAACTTTGACAATCTTCAGCATACATATATTCAAAGAAAATTATACAGATGGCAATTGAACAAGGTAAAAAAATTTTTATTTATTTTTATTCAAGTCCAATGTATTGAATGTCTTTATCGATTAAAGGAATTAATATTACAGCAGAACGATGGTCATCTGTAATATACGGAAATGAAGATAATGAAGATCAAATAGAACTATCAATAAATGAATTTTGTACAGAAAAGGCAGTTTTTAATTCATTAAATGAGTTAAAACGTTTTTTTACAACATCCTGAAAATGCACATGAACATATAAAAAATATTCAGAATAATTTGAAATGTTTATTAAAAACTGATAATGAAAATCCCTGGAATCGATTCGGGTGAAACCAAACGGATCCGATGATCGAATTCGTTTAACAGGAATACTGCTTCTATGAAATCTCCGGAATACGACGGAACCGGCCGTTTTCGTGCCAGATTGTTCGACCTGGATTTCTAGTACATGTTGTTTCAAGTAAATATGAAGCTATAATAAAAAGAAATAATCTTCTGTGATGCTTTTATCTTTTTACTAGATTGAACAGATAAAAAACTGTTCATTAATTGAACTAAAACAGGGGTTCAAGAACTATAAAAATCTTCGTAAAGTATATGAAAAAAAACAATGCAGATGGCAATTGAACAAAGTAAATAGCTGCTTTTTTTTGTTGAAATAGAATGTAATGTCTTTATCGATTAAAGGAATCTATTTAACTGCTGAACAATGTGGATCATTTCTGTATGGACATAGTCAAGAAGATTCAGCAATAGAAATGATATTGGACAGCTTCTCAACATCAAGAGTAGTTATCAATTTTTTTTATGAAATGGAAAATATTATTAAAAAAATGGAGATGATCATGCAAACAAATTCAAACATATGTTGAAATGTTTATTAAAAATTGATAATGAAAATCTAGAACATAATTTAGACTCGTCGATATTAATACAATTATGTTGAGGGTGTAGACGTGAAGATGACGGTGTTTTTCTGACCCTCACACACACCCTAAATTCTTGTAATACATCTATATTCTGTGTAATTATACAAACAACATATGATTCTAATACTCAATATGCGAAATTGATATTATTCCTCATCTTAATATTAACATCACTCAATAATCAATTCACAATTACATTAAACCTCTTATTTTATCTATCTAATACGTGTTTAAAAAAGTTTTTTGTATTTATTCTGATGATGACAATTGATATTGTCGAAATATCAATAAATAAATACATTGTGATTAGTTAATCATAAATGTTCGTAGAAGATATTACTTTGTGTTGTCTTTTTTCTAAGTGCAACCAATAAATAATTAAAGTGTTAAAACTTCGTTTAATTAATAAATAAGAACGATCGTATTTATCGTTATGAGTGAAAATACAATATATTCTTTTGTAAGACATCAGGAAGTAGAAAAAAACTGATACATAGAATAACTATGGCCATAATAAGTTTTTCTTCGATCGAAGTATTGCAGATAAATTATAGATTTTTTGGTAGATGTCGACATATGATAACATTTGTAATGAAATATACGTCATGATAACTCAAAAATAATATTATCTATATGTAAATGTGTTGAATTTAATTTATAATAAAGATAATTTCATCAAATCTTATTCATGTAGTTATACAAACAAAGAACTAATACACTTAATACGACATTCTATCTATAAATCAGTCATCTTCTGTTCCTTTCATCGTTTCGATCGTACAAAAGAATTATGCATGATTGTATACCTATCAATTGATTTGAATAATTAATTATATGTGTGCACTAATTAATGATTCATAGGTATATATCGAACTAATAATTGAAAATTTTCATTCTGTATATTTACACATTCATGATAAAGCTTTGTTTGAATTGTTAATAGTTCTAAATCCTGTAGAAGAAGATTTAATTGCATATGCTATTGGTCATCTTATTGATTAAACTCAAGAAAACAAAATAGTGATAAAAACAGCAACACCATCAAACGAATAATTTCGGCACATAGCACAATATTACACTTTGAGTTCTTCATTTCTTTGTGTTCTTATCGTTTTTCAAATTATGACATTTCAGCTTTACTGCAAGATAGACGACATATTTATTCAATGACGTTTGAGAAGAATCCATAAATACCCACTAGACATCTATATAACTCAAGTTACAATGGATATGGTCACTTTTTATACCGTAGTGTTTTTAATTAATTATCAAATCAATGGCAACAGCTGGTTCTCGTTTTGATATCACGGAAGTAATTGCCTATCGAGAAAGTCAATTACCCATTAAAATTAAGTATGATACATGGACACCTCGGCCCCATTTCGTCATCGTACAATGTACACCACAGGGGAAGGCTGATAACTATGAACTTCAAATGACGTATGAAATGATTGGTCGTTTTCTTCAGCAAAAACCACAATTTGATGGAAACGCAATACTCTGTTTTCGCCAGGGCCGATGGAATGTTCCAATAACTGGACTATGGCAAGTCCGTTTATGTGTACCGAAGGAATCATACTTGAATGACGCTAGAATCGCAATTAAGGTAGTTCAACTTATCCTAAATAAAAATAATTTTATCCTTTTTTGTTATAGCCAGAGAACATTCGTTATCCTGATAAAGACTGGAAGGATCGTACAAATATCGATAATGCGATGAGAATATGGTTCGAAGACAAAAAACGGGAGGGTGCTAATTATAAAAATACATGTATTCAACAAGGACTTCCAAATCAGAATTTGAACGGATTTGTCCCTTTATCAAGGTTCAATTTGCATACAAGCAAATTCAATCTTGTTTGGACATCTCCAGCACCACGTATCGGCATTATTAATCGATCACCTCCTAATCCTAACACATCTCTTGCCGATCTTTATCATTTCATGGCACAAACCCATTATAATATTGAAAAAGAATTACCTCGGTGGGAACAAAACGAGACTACCTTTGATTGTCATCTTTGTTTATACGTTCGTGGTCAATCAGGTACAGCTGTCACTTGTAGAGAAGGTAAAATTCTATCGGAAGATGGGCAAATAACAATAAATGAAAATTTAGTTGGATATATTCAAGTCAGTGAGTCTCAATATCTTCGATGGTTACCGTATGGTGCAAGAGAAACATGGTTCAATGCTTTTCGTGAAAGCGAACATTTAGTTGAAACATAACTACAAAAAAGTGTCACTTACGCATTATTTTTTTTACAACTACCTTTAAAACTTTGCGCTCTGTCCAAGCGTAATAAAATCACTCTTTTTTTGTTTGCTTTTCTCATATCATAAAGAAATAAAATTGGATAAGAATTAAATATTCATAGATTATGTATGCCTATTTCCTCTACACGCACTGACAGTTTCATAAGAGTTCGAGTGTGGGTAGACGGTTGTAGGTGTCTCTTTTCAACAGTATCCACATCTATCATGCTGACTCTACATTTTTCTTCTTTTCTTATGATTTTTATCGATCATTTGGATTATTTTGTGTTCTATTGAATAAAATCAACGATGTAGTAGTTAATTAGCTTTATTTTATCATTTAAAAACATTATGTTTTGAATCACTTACTCTCGATATAGGCAACATAATTTGATTTTTATGGAATCAATTATTTGTTTATTTACTTGCTCTGATTAACAAACAGATATTTTCTGATTGATTCGAAAATTGAAAATAGATTCATATATTATGAAATTCATTAAATCTTATCGAAAAAATATTGCAAACATAAAAACAAATATTATCTTCGATTTGCATTCATTAACTGCATAAGTTAATTTACAATTTCTTAATTGAATATGTTGTTGATTATTTTGAATTGTTCTTCTGGTTTTCATACCAATATATAATAAAAAAAGAAAACAGCTGGTTCAGATTATGTTCTAAACTTACACAAAAAAACAATACAAGATCATGAATTTTCACCTTATAATAAACCTTTCGCACAGTCTATATTACGAAGAGTTTTGAAAAGCTTTTAACATGGTAATAAATTTAAAAAAGGTTTGTCAAATAGCAATAAACGACAAATGCAGATTTATTATCATACAATTGTTTTTTTTACAATCCACAACATGTTCTGCCATCATCTTTCGTTGTTTCAATAATTGCTAGGATTTTAACAACTAACTAACCTTACTTTTGTGCAAAAAGTGATCATCTTCCATTTAAGCTAACATACGATTTTTCAGAGCCATGACGCTTGTCAGGAAAATGTAATTGAGTATCATTTGATCAAAAAGTTGTTCTAAGGCTTAGCATAACTATGTATGGTTAAGACTATTGATATCATTTATATTCCTGCGGTATCGTGAATGGTTTTATGATATAGAGGTATACATCATACTCATATTACACTCGCAAGAAGGAAAAGAAAAAAATTTATCATATAACGGTTTTGATAGATGAAGAATGAGAAAAAAAGATATGATGATATGACACCGATGGTATATGTAACAAATGATGTCATGTTCTATACAAGGGTTTTTCACCCAAGAAATGAAATATGTGTACGATAATAAAAGGGATTTGTACGCGGATTATATATTTTTATTGTTTCTTGATGCTGGTTATTCCCAAGGATATCAATAAAATATTCCAAGCGTAATGAAATATTTTTGTCAGAGAAATCCTATATAAGCTTCAATTTTCTTCCAGTATACACTCAAAAACGTCGAAATCGAATATATATTTTAATAAGCAATACGGTTATTGAAATATTACGACAATGTCTGATCAACCAATGACTAATTTAGTTCATGATGCAATGGATGCTGCTAAGCCTATCGTAAAACTAGTTGCAATGGCAGAGGCTGCAGTTATTGGTGAAATTACTGGCGAAAAAGACCTGGTGGAAAAAGTACCTGAAGCAGTAGACCAACTGGTTGATGAACTAAAGAAGTAAATGAACTAATTCTTAGTTCGTACCATATGTTAATCAAGAATTTGAAAACATTATTTGTTTTGACCTTATTCTTCAAGTTTTTTTTATTCATAATAAAAAGTACCGAATAAAATAATTAATATATTCATCACTTGTGTAAACATCTCATCCTAAAATGATATCTTTACTCACAAAGCATACTAAATAGTGTAAGATCCAAGATTAATAAGATTCAGGAGATGAAAACAATAAAAGTGAATGACATTATATCCAAGAACAAAGGACAAATTCTTAAAAGGAACAGAAAAGGCAGAAAAAGGAGAACCAAGAACAAAATTATCCCTAGCGGTTTTGTAACACATGTTGATAGTAATACTGAAACCATTTACCCTTCAGATTAATTAGTAACGTAATATTTCGAGAATGAACATAGCTAAGTATATGCAGATACGGTTTCGGATATGAAGTTGGTACAATTATAGACTCGTACTCACAGAATGACGATTGCTTTTTTTACAAGATATTAAAAAATCAGGTGTGAATATGGGTACTAAGTAATATATCTCATTCACACCCATACTCTATAATATATTCTTTTGTAAGACATATCAGCAAGTAGAAGAAAACTTAAAGATAGAATGACTACAGTCATGATAAGTTTTTCTTCAGTTGAAGTACTACAGATTTTTTGATAGATGTCGACATAAGACAACATTTGTAATGAAATACACGTCATGATAACTCAAAAATAATATTATCTATATATATAAATGTGTTGAATTTAATTTATAATAAAGATAATTTCATCAAATCTTATTCATGTAGTTATACAAACAAAGAACTAATACACTTTATACGACATTCTATCTATAAATCAGTCATCTTCTGTTCCTTTCATCGTTTCGATCGTACAAAAAAAATGATGCATACATGATAAAGCTTTATTTGAATTGTTAATAGTTTAATGAAGAAATGAAGCATATTTTGTTTATTCTAGAAATTAATTCTGAAATACCAATAAAATAAACTAACAAGGCATTCGTGTTCTAAATCAAAAATTAAATTTTAGTAAGATTATCGCGCGTTGTTTTTCTTCTGATTGCTAATTCAATTTTTCAAAGTAGAATATTGTTGTATTTTAGATTAAAACTAAAAAAAGAAAAAGGAATCCATGTCATCTAATCGTATAACAACTGATGAAGAGGAGCCAATTGTAACATGTAGTGAATTACTTGAACAAATCGACGATGAAGAAGAAGAATTGGATCGTGAACGAGCACTTTATGGAAATTGTGATGTTGACACTTGTACATATCCACAAGTATAAAATTATCTTTAATTTAAAAATCGAATTTATTTTGATTTGTTTTTTAGGGATATGTCAGACGACAAGCTTTATTTACTTGTATGACATGTAATAATAATGAACAATGCACTGGTATCTGTGCAGCATGTGCATATCATTGTCATGCAAATCATAATGTGAATGAGTTATACACAAAACGGTAGTAATATTGAAATTTTCCTTTACAAATAAAAATAATTAAAAATCTTTTTAAGATTTTTTCGATGTGATTGTGGAAATTCTAAATCAAATCATCAAACATGTAAACTTTATCCAGTAAAAAAAACATTCTTTCATGATTCTGTAATATTTATTACTTTTTTTTAGAATAAAGATCCAGAAAATAGTTTAAATAAATATAATGATAATTTTCGAGGTATTTATTGTACATGTAAACGTCCATATCCAGATAAAGAATCTGCAACAGTTAGTATGAATACTGATGATGAAATGCTTCAATGTATAATTTGTGAAGATTGGTTTCATAGTCAAGTAAACAATCTTTTATTTACTTTTTATGTTATTGTATATTATCTATTTTCAAGCATTTGGGTGTTTCAGTACCAATGGAAGAAAATGAAATGAATCAAATGGATATGATATGTCAAACATGTGTAACTAAATATCCAATCTTAATTCATTATGATGGTTAGAAAAAGAAATAGAATGACATCATTTTTTCTCAGTGATGTTTTTATATTTCAGAATCTCGAAATATTGTTGCAGCACCAATAGAAAATAATCCATCATGTCTTATTTTATCGAATAATGGTAATAATAATGAACTTCATACCATCTTTTTACGAGATGGATGGAGAAAAAGATTATGTCGTTGTATTCAATGTTCTGTATGCATTTAAAAATATTTTTTAAATTTAAAATTTTTCATTTGATTATTAATAGAAATTATATGATGAAATGAATTTAACACCAATATTTGATGATGCTGATGCTATTCAAGAATATGAAAAACAAGCATTAGCTAAAAGTGAAAATCTAGATGGTGATAAAATCTTAGCTGACTCATTGGATAGTCTTGGCTATACACGAAAACTTGAAGTTTTACGTGGTATAAATGAATTTAAAACAACACTCGGTGATTTTCTTCGTGAAAAAGCAAATAATGATGGTGTATTGACAGCTGACGATGTAAAAACATTCTTTGCTGGCCTACAAGAGAAACGTACTGAACAACAACGGACAATGTTTATGCCCCCTGATAATTGTAAATCCTAAATTTTCATCTTTTCATCCACTGTAGAATATTTTTATTCTGTTATTTTATAAATCCATTCTAACATACAGACAAGAACAAATATAGATACACCAATAAGACAATGAGATGTATAATTTTAATAGATATATATATATATATATGGAGAACAAAAATAAATGAGAGAGACAAAGAGAAAGAATTGTACTATTGCAAAAAAACAAACAGACATTTTTCGATGTTTTATATATAAACAATTATATATATTTATATGTTTAAGATGCAACAGTAAATAATTATTTTTCTAAAACAAAGTGTTCACATGAAGAGAGAATTATTTTAACACAACGCTTAATAAACAAAAACCGCAACGACATAAAATAGAGATCAGGACATCATTACAATTCAATAGAAAAACAAAAGAATAGACATCTGACACAAAAGAATAAGTTACAATTTTCTTTTTGATTCTATTGAGCAACCCATTTCTTTCAAGAGAAGTTAATCAATTGATTTCTATTCGATGATTATTCATAATCGTTTCTAAAATTAGTATTTATTTAAAAAAACATATATATATTTATTTATTTTCCTTACCTCCTAAAAATAGTATTTCTTTAGCCATATCTGCACCAATAATTAAACTACCATGAAATTGTTTACTGTTCCCAGCATGAATATTCTACAAACAAAAATCATGTCTTTATCAAATAGATAGAATAAGAAAAATAGAAATCATACTTTAATATGATTGAGTATGGTTGAAGAATAATTTGATGGGAATTTATTACAGAATGGGCAATTATAACGACGAGATTTACCAAGAATTTCTTTGTAAATTGTCGATACAGCTAGAAGAGAATCACAAAAATAAAGTAAAATATTCCAATCAATTAAACTTACGTATATATTTTAAGTTTTTAATATCAATATTTGATGATAATAATCGAGCTTGTTTTGAATGAAGTAGTTTATGTTGATTCTATAAATAAACAATAAAATATTATTTCGTTTAATTTTTTGAAATACTTACAGTATATATTAAAGAATTTGATGCAAATGAACAATTTTGACATTTGTATAAATTTAATGAATTTTTTTGATGATATGATCTATGTTGATTATGTTCTACAATTGTTGCCGATATATACGGACATGACAGACAATAGAAGACTTTCGGTTTCTTTAATTGTTGTTCAATAAATGATCGTTTTAGAATTGCATGTCGTATTGAAAAATCAGCATCGAATTCATACTAATTTTAAAATAAAAATTTTTATAAAATCGTTTTTTGTTTTTCATAAGAATTACATACATGACAAGAAATTAAACTATTGAAAGAAGTTCGTTTTGGATGATTTTTTGCAATATGTACAATAATTTTATTTCGATATCGATGATTATAACCACAAAATGAACAATAATAGAAAACTTTTTTCTTATCTTTTAATTGATGAAGATAAGTATGTTGTTTAGCATAATTTACATTCATTGTTCGATATAAACATTTCGTACATTCATATAAAGAAACAGGAAATTGTCCATGAGATTTTTGTGATTGAAACTAAATAAAATAATATAATTATATTTTCAATTAACATTAAGAAAACTTACTTTTTGAATTTTTGAACAAACATGTCGTTCTAATTCATAAATTCGATGTGAATGGAATGCACAATCCATGCAAGTAAATACTCGTCTAGGTTTTATCGTTGGATTTCTATTTGGTAGTGTAACAACAATTGGTTGTGATGGTATTGCAGATACGGATGATGATGATGATGGTATTGTTGTTGTTGTTGTTGTTGTGTTTGTTGCTGTTGCTGTTGTTGTTGTATAATTATCTGGTTGAAGACGATCATAAATAGATTGTTCAAAATCTGTTTTATCTTTAATTTTTTCCCAAATAGTTTTTTTTAAATCTTCCCATTCAATTTGACGAAAATCAGTATAACGAGCTAAAACTTTTTTTGATACAACAAAACCATATGTACGTTCATATTCATCATAAGTTTTTTCTGCATCATCATGTGACATTTCATAATAACCATGTTGACTCGGTTCAATTTTATGTCTTGCACGTATATGACGTATGCAATCTGTACGCCAATTTGTACGATAAAAGCAATATGGACAACGAAATGGTTTATATGATGGTCGAGACGACGATATTTTTGTTATTCCAATTGACGATTTATCTGGTCGATCTTCTTCAAATATTATAATAGAATCTTCAGGATGATCATCAATAACAATTTGATCTCTATCAGATTTTTCTGGTTCAATCATCATTAATTCAATAGCTTCATCATCAGTTACAGCAACTGTTCTTGCATCAGCAATACTTAATTTTAAATCATCATCATCTTCCATATCATTTTCATTTTTTAATTGATTATGTATACTTGACATTGTTGCTGATATTAAACTATCAAGATGTGGAATATATTCTAAATAATGAAAATTACGACTTTTTAATTCATCATCAGGTGTTTCATGCATTGTTTTATGATGACGTTTAACATCATAACGCCAACGATAACCACGATAACATAATGAACAATAATATAAACGATTTGGATTAAAATTTGGATGAGTTGAAAAATTGGAATAAACAATTTTTGATGAATATGGTGCGTTTGTATCCATTGGAATCATATTTGAATTATTATTTTGTTCCATTATATTTGTATGATTAGCTTCAATATGTTGTTCAATAAATCGAGGATGATTAGAACGAAATTGACATAATGAACATTGATAATGATGTTTAGAATCATGACGATTATGAAGTTTAGCTTGAAAACCATGTTCTCGCATATATGCATTTATAGTTTGTTCAGCTTCTTCTTGTGATAATTGTAAAACTTCAAAATTTTGATTTGGATGACGTTTTTTTGCATGACACTATTATTAAATAAAATCATTATAATAGATAGAATTATTTTAGTATAAAATACCTGAATATACCATCGAAGATTTGCACGCCAACCACATATTGAACACATAAATGGTTTAATGTTAGTATGTGTTGCAATATGAAGTTTAAGTTTAGCTAATTTTGGTGATCTAAAATAATTAATTAAAAGAATAAAATTATATCAAACAATTTCTTTTCAACTTACGAATGTTCACAATGTGGACATTGAAATTTTTTAAATGATTTTGTAATTAAAGCATTATTATTATTACTATTATTATTATTATTATTATTACTATTGATCGTTGATTCAGATAAATTATTTATTTCTTGTTGATATCTCCAAAGACTAAAAAATAATTAAAATTTAATTTAATTCCTAAAAGTAAAACATTTTCATACGCATCATCTTCATCATCATCAACATCTTCTTCAATCATAATCATGTCATCACTTTGATTTGGAAGAATATCATTGTATGATTCAACATTATCAATTAAGAGTGCAGATAAATCATGAAGGTTATTATTATTATTATTATGCATTAATTCGTCTTGTGTATAGGAAGTATAATTTTTATGTTTTTGTTTTTCATGTCGTGCAATATCTTTTAACCAAGGTGTTGAATATGAACAATATTTACATTGATATGTTTTAGTAAAATTTTCAACTGTTGTTATTGGTAATACAGATGGTAATGGTAGCGGTGGTGGTGGTGGTAAAGATTTAACTTTCAGACGAATTTTATAATGTCCTGTTGCTGATGGTGGATATGGCACATCTGTATCGAGTTTTCCAACATAACGACCAGCTTGTGCATGACTTATTTCATGTTTTCGACGTATATGTGCTGTACAATCATGAAAATTCTATCGACAAAAAAAAGAAAATTTAATAAAAATAAATATCTATTGAAATTACCTTGTAAGTTAAATGACAAACTCTACATTGGAAATTTTTTTGTATTGGTTGTATTGTTGAAGAATAGAATGAGGATTGTGGAAGAACTGGTGGAGAATTGATGATTGTTGATGGACTATTTGTAATTTTTGGTGCTATTGGTCGTTGTGGACTAGTTTTTGAAAATATAATATTTTCATCACGAATTACATTTGGCTAAAATTTAGAAAAAGAATAATTCTTTTTCAATTTTATATTAAAAAAAAAATGAAAATATTAACCTCGGAAAATCGCCGATCATTTTCATCAACTGAAATAACACGATTCCAAAAATGAATCGAACCTGGATCAACATTTGATTGTTTAAATATTGGTGATGTTTGCCGTGGTGCTTGAGAAATGATCTGTAAAATAAGAAAATTAATAGAAAAAATCAAAATCATTAAAACTTCAAAGTATACTTGATGACTAAATGCTGGTTTACGTCTTGAACGTTTTTCATTTGATATTGATGATAAATTTTTCGGTGGTGATTCACTTTTATTTATAGTCTCTGAAAAGAGTATTGTAAAATAAGAATCAATAATAAGAATAAGAATAATTGTAAACAAACCTTCACTATGTGCTTCATCTAAATGACTAATTAATTCTGGTAAACTTTTACCATTGAAATTACATTCAGGACAAATAAATGCTGTACCATCGGTATCGAAAGCATCGTCTATCATCATTGTTGTTGTTTATCTAATCTGAAAATACAATAAAATTGACCGTTGACGAGATTACTGCCTCCCTTTCTCTCTCTCTCTCTCATTCTCTCTAGCGTTATATTTTTGATACGATGATTACGCGCGTGTATGCTTTTGCTGTCTATTATGTAGAAGAAGAAGAAAACGAAGAAGAAGAAGAAAATGAAGAAGAAGAAAAAGAGAAGAATAGACATATGTGCATCATGCTGGCACAGACATATACGCACTGAGAAACAAACAATATATTTCGAATCAAATTTTTGTTGCAGTTAAAACAAGTATAAATAGAACAATGTTCTGCTTTTTAGATAAACATAAGAAATGAATATAGTGTTTTGTATATATTCATTCATGTACAATATTGTTGCTATTTCAAATAAACAATAGAGCACATACCTTAGAAGTTGCTTCGATCCTTCTTTCTTTTTTTTTTCCTTTTCCCTTCGTATAAAACATCGAACGAGCAGAGTTAGAATGTCTACCAAGGTTCCCTTGTGATATGTTCTGGCACAGCCGACAGTTAGTTATTGCAGCTCGCTTCGACAGAAATCAACATCGCCAATTTCTTGCCTGTTCTTCTACTCTGCTTTCAAGCAAGAGAGTGCGAGTAAGGGCATATGCACGACTTAACTATTGCAGCTGCCTGCAGAGTAAAAGCAAGTACTCATACTCAACATCATATGACGATGATGATGATGATGATGAAAAGCAATGGGGCTTCTAATACTAATGTCTTAGTCGAGGGAAAAATGATCGTAAGCAATAAGATTGGGGTTTGGGTGAATAGCTTTTTCTGCCGGAAATATAAAGGCAATCATATACGATACGCATCAACTATTATTTCAGCCTTGTACCGAGAAGCGTGAATATACCGAAAAATGTGTAGCAACTATGAATAAAAGAAATAAAAAAGCTACATACAGACTAGTCGTCGATTACTTCACCTGTATGTTTAAAAAAGGATAAAGAGAGATGCGATGAAGAATAACGACTATCCACATCATGTCACCTTCCTATTTTGACCGATTTATTCTCTTCTTCCACTCTTTCCTCATTTTCTTTTGCTTTCTACTTCCTCATCTTAGCAGATCACATGTCATTTAAACGCTGAAAAACGCAGACGAACATATATACATTCATTTTTCTGTCATTACTGCTCTAATTTGTGCTGTAATTATTTGTTATTCAACCAATTGTTTGAATTCACATGATTCATATTTAAAAAAAACAACTTTCTATTTCATTGCTTGACTTGCCTTCTATTAAAAATACTGAAGAAATAAATATTATCTACTGAAAATAATCTTAATCAATTGTTTTCTTAGTTATTTGAATAATGATGATAAAGAAAGCTTACTTTACGTGCATATATGTTTTGAGGAAAGATGTACGAAGAATCCTGTTCGAATAAATAATAGTTGTTACTGTTATAACCATCAGTACTTTTACTACTACTATTGGTTGCTTACTGGATGCATTCTTCTTTTTTCCCCTATCTTTTCTTTCGTTCGCCCATCTCCTAGATTGCTGCTGCTGTTGCTGCTGTTACTATTTTATACTAGGATGTATGCCGAGGAAGAGAACACGTCCGCTTGCTCGTAAGACTATAAGCATAAACACGCGCACGCACACATACTAGAGGCGAATGCATTTGTTTGCCCGTTCATCGTATAGTATGGACGGACGGAGGAATAGATGGATAGACGAGAAAAGAATAAAAGCGAACGAAGAAACGAACAACGATTATCATTCTCTTAAAAGCCTCCCGAAAGCAATGGTCGACAGGCTGACTAAGAGCGTGTATACGGAATCAGCTTTTCTCTTTTGTCTGTCCGTGTTCTCGACTTAGGTAAATGTGAGAATGAATAGGTGTATATGCGCTTGCTGCGAAAGAGAAGAACAGATGAATGAAGCAATGTTCGATGGTTGGTTTATAGAGAAAGAAAAATTTGGAGAAACAAGTGCAACCAGTAGGGATACTGGCATTTAACTGCATGGTGGCGTGATCAGGTGAGATGATGTTTGGTACAACATGAATATGTGATATACAATGTATGCCATCCGATATGTCAACATCGATGAGAAAAAGTGTCATAGAGAGGAAAAAAATTACAAAAATTGAGTTTACACTTTTTTTTGAGTCCTACATTTAAAAGTTATTTTATTTCAGAAAATAGTTTACTTTTTTTATCCGCATACGCATATTTTTGAATCTTCTATCTTATGTAAATTTCTAATTCACTGAAAATGCTTACAATTGTTGATTATTGATCTACATATTACATATTTAAAGTTTAAAAGGAATACATTACTTTTGCAAAGTTCAACAAAATGTATTGATTATTGGTAGTTCGTTATTATTCACTCACGTGAATATATCGTTTGTCACGCTTTAAGTCACTCGTAAACATATGTTGTTTTTTTTTGTAACGTTTATTTATGTATTCACGTGTTCTTACATGCTAACTAAAACGAATGAATGAAACGTCATTCTAATTGTGAATGCTTTCTTAATTTTCTACAGAGTATCGGGTATCTACATACGCATACTATTTACTATTGCGAATTTGAAATATCTCGTTTTTAAATGAAGATATAACCATTGCACTGACCTTTCTAGAAAGCTTTAAAATCAAGCACTTAAATAAAAAGTTAGATTTCCTGTCGATTAATCAAGTGGAAGTTATTTTTAAGTATATGTTCTTTATTTTCTATAAAATTCATTTGAAATAGTAAAGGTGAGAATCATTATTTAAACTCATTGGTAAAGAATAAAAATAATTAATCAAAATATATTTAGTAATGAATCTTAAAGGAGAACTTCAAGTGTGAAAATTATTTATTTATACGTCTTTGTATTAAACTAAAACTTTTCAATGATAAAAATATAAAGAATAAATAAATGACAAAAAAAACATTCTAACTACGGAAAATGTATTTGTTTTATAGCATCTACTAAATATAAATTTGATTATTATTTAATGTTTTTGATTTTGAAACATTTTCTTCATAGTATCATTGAGCTTTGTAAAGTGTTTATCAGTTTCTTCACGTGATCCCATTTTTCTGGCATCGTCAGAAAATTTATAACCAACTTCTTGTTGTCCTTTTACTAAACCAGCAAATGTTGCTTGACAATATTCATCGAGTGGTTCACCAAATGCGTGACTACCACCAAGATTTGTTTGTACAGCTGGTGGTACTATTTCATAAACTTGAATATTTTTCATTTCATCTTTTAATTCATAACGAAGACTCATTGTAAATGAATGTATCGCTGCTTTTGTTGCTGAATAAATAGGTGCTGTTGCTAATGGTACAAAAGCTAAACCGGATGATACATTCATAATAGCTGTCGTAACTTTCATTTGACGAAAATGTGGTATAAATAATTGACATAAATGCATTGGTGCACATACATTTATTTGAATTTCTTTTTCTCGTTCTTCCCAAGATAAATTCTTGGATGAGTCTTCATTTGGAGTCAATGGCGCACGATGTTGAATACCAGCATTATTAATAAGAACATTTGTTTCAGGATGTTCACGAGTTATCCATTCATATAAAGCTTGTCTATCTTTAACTTGTCCAACATCATTTGTAAAAGAGATTACTTTTTTCTTTCCAAGACGATTTAATTCTTCAACAGCTTCTTTTAGTTGTTGTTCACGACGACCTGTTATTATAACAGTTGCATTTGCTTGAACAAAACATCGTGCAAGACCAAGACCAATACCACCTGAACCACCTGTAATAAGAACAGTTGAAGATTTAATATCTAATGGTTGTGAATAACAATCGTCAGCCATTGCTTATTGATGTAATAGAAAAGAAGAAAAATATTTCAGTGTGAAACGGATCAATGAAATAACATGAGCGTACTTTTTTTTTTCACCTAAGGTTTACATAACACGCATTTTTCTTTCTTTCTTTTCTTTTGCTTTTAATGCGTGACGAAGTTTTTTTCATTAATTTTTAGTCGAACGTCAGTAACACACATTGCACATGATAACTATATATATATAAAAAAATTGCATGCTATAATCTTGGCAGACGAACGTGTCGTATTTTCTTCTTGTTTTTAATACCATACGGACTGAAATTTAATAGTACGTTTTTTTTCATCAATTCTCGTCTATTTTTATAATTTAGTATTCTAAGAGAAGGAAAATAAAGTCGTTTTCTTTTTGTTTTGCTTTTATTTTTAATAATAATCATGCTTATCTTTGTTTCTTATATTTAAACATGAAAACAAAAAAATGACAACACAGTGCAAATAAAAATAAAATTAGGTTTTGTTTTTCTGTTAATATGAAAAATATTTAGTTTAACATTGATGTCTCAGATAGATAAAAAATGTATCATGTAAATAACGATAATGATTTAACTGACACATCAGTATTTAGTGATGCTTAAATAAATTGTTTATTTATTTATAAAAAAAATTGTACTATTTATATGAAATCATTCATAGAATGAAGATGAATGATATAACGGAAAAAAAATATTTATTCAGTACAACAGAAATTGAATATAAAGAAGATATTTTATACTTTTTCGGAATGTAAACATAAAATTTGAGAAAAATATTCGAATTTTAATAATCATTCTCAGTTTGACTCAAGAGATATATCATTGTATGTCTCGTAGTCAATTCAATCGACCGTTTAATAAACACCTATGAAGACTTTTCCTATTTAACACAACATTTCAATATATATAAGTTTCTATCATTCGGATTTGTTATATTCACATATTCATTAAGCAAAAAGAATCATACAATACCCTTGATTTGATTTATTCTCGTGTATAAGATGTTGAAAAATTAGATCAATAATTAATATATGATGTATTTTTCATATTTCCTATTACATATGATTATTTATTATTAAAAATTGAAACTAATTTATTGAAGAAGATCTATTATAAATATATTTAGCAAAATGAAAGATTTTTATTAAATAATAAAATACAGTTTTAGCCATTTGGTAATATTTTTCTAAGATTGAAATTGTGCTCGCATATAAGTTAATTTTTGATGAAGTTGTAATAATTGCAATAAACGAGGTCGATTAAGTTTTTTAGCTAAAGTTTCTGGGGTTTCACCAGCATATGTTATATAAACAATTCCTTCATGAGATGTTGTTATCTGTTCAAGTAAATTCCATAAATTCTGACCATCATCATTATTTTCAATAGCTTGAAAAATTTGGCAAGTTAAATAAGACTTGTCTGCCATAATCTTAGTACACGATAAAATTCGATTAGAAAAAAAAAAGTTATACTTGTTCTTATTGAACACACACTTAGATTACTTTAAAGTGTTTTTTCATGTCTCTTGTTATCCTGTCGTTTTATACACTCAAAAAAACGTTTTCATTTTTTTCTCTCCTCTTCTTCAATACCTTATATATATAGAAGTCAAAAGGCCAATTGCACACTTATGTCCACCCTCTCATGTACTTTTTTTTCTATGTCACAATACTTCACACAATTTATCATGCAATAGAATGACTGTTTTATGTTATATGTCAAGGTCAAAGCTTATTTCATCATCATCATCATTGTACATATTTTATGAGTTAAATTATAGTAACATCTAATAAAATTCCTTTTTAATGATTATCTTTTTCGATAATTGTGATATATCAAAGTATAACAATTCTTATTTCTCTATATTTATTTATTTATATATATATGACCATTTAAATTCACAACTGGATTAAATAATGAATACGATTACATTAAAAAGAAAAGTGTTTTGTTATTCATGTTCGTTTGTTAAATCTTCGAGTATAACTAATTTTGAAATAAATTGATTATTTTCATCTTGTGTAAGAATTGATTGTTGTTGTTGTTGTGATGATTCGATGAGTTCTATATCAGAAATAAGACTATCTCGATTTGGTTGAAGTAAAACTGACGTTGTTTGATAATCTCCATTAAAATTACTTATAATTGCTGTTGATGGTATAAGACTAAAACTTCTTGCTTGTTTTTGTTGTATAGTTTTCTTTAATCTATATTGTTGTTTACGTGTACATAATTTCATAATTGTATTATAAAATTCTTCTCTAAAACGTCGATTTGTTAAAACATATAAAAAGAAATTTGTTGAAAAATATGTTTGTTGTAATGTATCAAGTAAAAGACTTGTAAATCTAACAATACATGTATCTTGATTATTTTTATAGATGAATTTTCTAAATGTTTGATGAAAATTAAATGGTAAATTAAATATTAAATAAAGTATATTTAATACAATTAACATTGCTGATAAATGTATATCACGTATACGTCTTGAACGATGTGTTTTATTTAATATTGTTGCTGTTATTGATGTTATTTGTTGTATATCTGGTAATAAATCATTTGTTATTGTTGATAATTGTTGTCGATCAATTGAATCATTTTCTTCTTCATATTTTAATAAACTTCGTTTTGTACGACCAATTTTTAGACGTAATTGTGTATGACGTCGACATTGTATTTGAAAACAAAAACATGAATATATATTTGATTTAACAGTTGTTCGTGGTAGAAGACAAGAAAATATTTGTTGTATACGTTTTAAAAATTGATTTTGTCTTGAATTAATTATCATACGATTTAATGGATTAAAACGTTTAGCTGTACGCATTCTTAAACGTAAACTTCGTACAATAAAAAATGTACATATCATATTAATTAAAAGTGGTAAACAAAAAAATATAATTAATTCAAATGGTGGATAAATTGTTGTAAGAAAATAAAAATATGCTGGTGATGTTCGATTTTGATCATAATTACAAATTGTTCGAGTTACTTTACCATCAAAAACTAAGGAGAAAAAAAAATAATATGATATACACTATTTAAAACATCTTCGGGATTTGTTTTCAACTAATACCATATAAGAACTACTTATTTTAGAATTCATAGAACAAAAAAAATATATTTTTAAATCTGTACTTGTCACATTAGGTAAACAAAATGATAAGAATCTCATTTAGGAAAAAATAGAAATGTTCATTGTAGCTGAAAGTTTATTTATTATCAATGTTAAGATCTTTGCTTTTAAGAGGACTACGATGACCTAGACTAATGTTGTTAATGTGGCTATATTAGTTAGATCTATTTTATTCTTTCCGGTCGGATGTCGCGCACACAGAGATGCATATATACATGATATTAGTGCATATTATATTTTACTATTCGAAAAATATTAATAGACATTACCTTCATGACCAAATTTAACAAGCCAATGAAAATGATAAGCAGATAAAATCGTAGCAATAATACATTCTTTTATTAAAACCATAGAAAATGTTGATTTTGAAAATTTTGTATTGGGTCGATTTTTTGTTACTGTTCGTGCTCGATCTATATTAACACATACTAATGTAAATAAACTGAAATGTGTTAAAAAATCTAATGTAAAATGATAAAAACGACATGTATATAAATAATTTTCCAATTGAATATTTAAATAATATGCAAACATCCATTGTATAAAACGTACTAATGATAATAAACCATTTGATAATGATAAAAATGCTAAATAAGCAAATGTTGAATGACAACGTAATGAACCTTGCATAAGAATAATAAATGCAAGTATATTTAATACTGAACCAAAAACGAATAATGAATAATTATGAACAAATAACAATGGTCGAGATATAGCACGTTGATTTGGACATGGATTTGGTCCTTCAATCGGAGATGAAAATAAACTAATATCATAAGGATTGTTTGTATAATTAGTCCAATTCATTGTTCTTTTCTTTTTTGTTTGAATCTGAAAAATAAAGCGTACTTTTAAACTTACATCATTCGGTGCAAATAATCTATTTTAATTGAATAAAAAATAATCCATGTTTTTATCTCATAATGAACTACCTCAGACATTTCTCAGTTCTTAATAGAAGAAAGGCATTATAGTGACATATAAATATATATGAGCGCTGAGTAATAAGAGAAATAACATATTGAAAAAAAAAAGAAAAGAGACAAGAAAAATGTAGATGACAACGGTAAGATAGATTAATGAATTTAGTTCTTGTAGACAACTAATATATATAGTATTGCATATATATCAATATGCGAAGATATTATAAATGAAATAAAACAGAAAAGAAACAAATCAAGCAAATAAAAGAAAAACTTTACTATAAATAAAAATCATAAAAATTAATGTTCTTCTTCCATCTGCTCAGTAAAAACTTGAGCTAATCTATAATTCAATAATATTCTCTAATTACAATTTTTTGTTCATGTGTCTGTTTTGTTTAATTTAAAAAGAACTCATTGTATATCTTGCATGTTTTTTTCATAAGTAGTACCATCTTTGTCTACGAATTTTGTTCACGTGAAAGATTATCTTATTGTATTATATGAATAGAAAACATCTATTGGAAATAAAATCTTCCCACCATCGTATGAAATTTCAACGCAACCTACACTAAAATTTTTATTCTACTAACATATAGAATTTTCCAGTCGTAGTTCAATGTGTTAATTTTTTGAATTTTCAAACATTGATAGACAGTAAATCGACAAATACGACCTTAGCAATGTTTCTGCTTGTTATTGACATATCGTCTTTAATGATCAAACACAGTAGTTATAAGAAAAAATCTTGAATGTCAAATGTTCGCTGTCGGAAAAACATACACAGAGTAGAAGAAGACAAAAAAACATTTGGATTCAAACTAAGATTTGATTACGACTATTACAACATCCACAAAAGAAAAAGTTTCTTATAATTGAGATCTCGATCTAAACAAAATTTCAGGTTAAATAGAATTAATATCTTAAGTTAAATTGCAATATAAACCCAAAAATTTCTAAGCTTATATTAATCCTATATATTCATTACATCTAGTCAAAACTCGAGATCAAAAAGTTTTTTAGTACTTGATAATAATCCAGTCTCTTATATTTCAATATTGAATTGAAAACCAGTCATTTTTACTGACGCAAATTATAAATATAATAATAGTAGAAATAAGATCATTTGTTTCTTCAAATCTATAGACCTTCAAGTAAAAGATTAGCTGATAATTACAATTGTTTTTGTTTCTTTTATAAATAAAAAATGAAGTAAGAAATGTCAGAACATGTAACCTAACAAGTAGAATTATCATGAGTTCATAAAAACTAATCATTCAATTGTGAAATTATCAAATAAATTGATATATATGTTATATTTTAGATTGACAGAAAACAGAAAGCTTTGAAATTAATTGAATAATGAATATAGAAAAGCACAGAACGATCTTTTTTTTATTTGTAAAGAGTCATTTCATTGCATAAATTCTATTATGAGTCAAACTGATCGACAATGAAAACACAGAAATTAAGCAGATCACAAGACAAACTAATTTAATTAAATAAGAAAATGTTTTGTTTTGATAATGATTTATTCCGTACACATAAGATTATTATTATGATTATTAATTGAAATTGATAAATTTAATGGATGATACCGTTGTGAATCATCTTGATTATTTGAAATAGGTGATGAAGAATCTGATGATGATCTTGAATGTTGTTGGTTTATATCTTTATAATCATTTGTTGTTGATGTCCATAAATGCATAAGATGATTCAATGATGATTGATGAATATCATCGGATAAATTTCCACCATGATTATGTTCTCCTAAGAATATTTGTTGATTATTTAGATTTGATAAATCATCATCACGTATTATATGACGTTTTCTTTTATTTGGTTGTCGACGTTTTAATTCAATAGGATATTTTTTTCTTTCATTACAAAATTTATAATATAATTTTCGTACTAATAATTCAATACTACCAATAACTGATATACAAGATGAATAACGATCAACAAGACGACTAACAATTGAACGAAGTTCATCGGCACTTGGATAACTGAAAAATATTCGAAAATAAAATATATATTTGTACAAAAAATAATTCATTTACAGTTCATATTTAACAATTTCTTGGTATAAAGCTTGTACAAGTGCATTCAATTGATTTGCATCACCATTACCATTGAGAAAAGCAGCGATATGAGGTGGAAAACGTGGAATTGGAATACCATCAATTGGTTTTGGTAATAAATCATATGTTAAATTATGTTGAGAATTATCATATTGATGTATTGTTGATATACTGAAATATTCAATTCGAATATTTTATTTGTAAAATATTTCAATAAAATAAATCTATACTTATTAATAGATTCATCATAAAGTTTTTCCATTTTAAAATTCATTTGTAATGATGAATCAATTTCGTCATGTAAATTCATATTTCGATTTGATATTAATGGTGTTCGATTAGTATTAGATATTATTTGTAATGAATTTGGTGTTATAGAATGAGCTGTTGTTGTAATTATATGAGATGAAACTGGCGTCGGTGGACTTTTCGAAGTCAATACTAGTGATGTATCCTCAATTGAATTGATATCTTTTTCGCTAGAAAAAAAGAATTCATTTTTATTTCATATAAAATAACTAACGAGATTCCATGAATAGAAATATGATGAGTTACTATTCTGTCATACAGAACTTTTTCGAGAGATCAAACAAACGAAAATTTATGTATATTTATATATAAATAGATTCATGAAATATCGGATTTTGAAATATGTTGTTTTTACTGCTATACGTGTTTTTTAAATGAAAAAAGAGCTAAGACAAATAATAAAACATGATATTTTTAGACGAGTAATGCGTTCTTAAGGTACAATAATACTTAAGCCAGACTAAAGAACTTATGTCAGTTTTTCTTGTAAACAATTATAATTAAATACTTGTAATAATCTGATAATATGTCTATTACGCACTCTAATTTCGTATATATAAAAAAAAGGTCATAAAATAAATATGTCAAATTTTTAATCTTACATTAATACTTGTAAACGACCTTCAAATGGTATTTGTTTAAATGATTCAATATCAATATATTCTTGATATTGTTCATTCCATATTTGTATAATTAATGTTGTTTTTATTATTTGTTGTAATTGAAATTCTTGAACTACAAAAAATACGAAAATTCATTTAATAAATAAAAATTTTTACTAATCAATTGTCTAAGATGTTCATGTGATATTCCATTTTGTTGATGATAATATTCACTGGTTATGGGTATTTCAATTAAACGATTTCGTTGACGAAATCGACATAAATAAACCATCGATGATGATGATGATCTAATGCAAAAGACAAAGAAATAAATCTATTTGTAGAAGAATTTTTTTTTCGTCTATATAATTAAAAATATTTCTACCTTGTTGATAGTTTTTATATGAAATTATTAACATTAACAAAAGAAGATAAATCATTCTGACTGTTACTAAGCAAATTATTAGTTAATATTTTCTTTTATTGATAATTATCCAAAATTTTAGTTAAAAGTAATTGACTAGTTACTGATGACATCAAATTATATACAAAACAAAGAATGAACTAACTATTTAACGAACGAAAAACGCAAGATATACATATCACTGATTGGTAGTAAATAATATTTCTTTGTTTAAAAGATTTTCTTACTTACTGTACAGAAAATAATGATTTATGAAAATTTGCTGTTGATTTTTTATTCATCATTATTCAATGTTAAAATAAAGATCAATTGAAAGTACACAGTTTTTTTTCCGCAAAAAAAAGAAACATACAGGTATATTATATATATACACCATATATATATATACACGAAATAACAAATAAAGTATCTTTTATCCTTTTAACGGTATCGTTCGTGTCGTTGACACATACACATACGGCAACTTAATACATCAGATATCACCTGTGCTATGTGAGAATATATAGGTAGAACTTTGTGCCAGAATAAAACCATAAGCAATGATGAGAGAATAATATATTTTGTTTTTATTTAAATCGACCGTTACATGGTTAAATAATACTAAATTCATCTGTATAAAGTATCGTTTTTTTCTAAGTATTAAAGACAATGTTTTATTTTTTTTTTGTAAATTTATTTGTTTTATTTTTAATAACAAAAACAATGATCTTTATTTTTCTTTTTCTATTTTTCTTGTTGTTCATTATTATTTGTCAATTGAAGAAATGCTAAAGCATTCTCTTGACATGATCGTAAAACATGTGTATCGGATTGAAATTTTCCACTTAAAATTTCATCACATTGTTGTCGAACAGGTTTATTTGCTGTAGTTTTTAATAGAATTAATTCATATAATGTTGCATTTTGTGAATGACAATATTCTGGATCATTTAATTCGATTAAATATTTTATTCCCGAACCGGAATATTCATTATCAAATAATTGTTCAGTTACCATTGATGAAATTGATAATAATGCTTTAATCATAACTAAAATCGCACTTATTGATTTATAAACTTGTAACTCTAATGTCATTGTTAATAAACGTTTTATAAAAGCTAATAATTTATTTTTTGATAATTGTTTATAACGATCAATTAACATTAATTGTATAAGTTTAATAACAAGATCAATATCATCATTAGATGGACATGGTACAAGTAATGAATAAAATAATGCATAAAATCTTTGTGGATCAATATGTATTAATACTTGTTGACGATTTAATATTGAAAAAACTGTTATTAAACAATGAAATTTTGCACGTTGTGTTAAACCAGTTTGATCTGATGATAATTCTTCATAGAAACATGTTATTAAATCATCCATATATTCAATATTAATTAAATTGGAAAATTTTGCTAAACCTTCACATACACTTGGCATTAAACGTAAATTAAGACGACGTTTTAATAAACGAAAATAATTTAAAAATATTAATTCAATTATTTGACGATTTATTTTCAAACGTTGTTCTTGACGATTAGCTAATGTTTTACCTTCAAGTGCTTTATTTAATTCTTGTTTTTCTTTATGTTGACGACGATCACGACGTGATAATTTTTGTGCACGATAATCTGGCCGAGTTGATTTTTCAAGTTTTTTTTCCTCAATTGGAGATATTTCACGAATATTAAGTGAAATAAATACATCAAGTACACATGGTTCAACAGCATATGAACGCGTCTTCAATAAACGTGTTACAAAACGAACAACTTCAAGTGATATGTCACCTGTACGATCATTACGAATAAGATCGGAAATACAAGTACAACATTGTTCTCGTACACTTACATCACTAGAATTAGAAAAAACAGAATATTTATAATGTATTCGAATATGTCAATTAATTCGGAAAAGAAATAAACCATCTCGAAAGGCTTTGTGAAGTAGGTGTGGGTGTTGGTGTAGAAGAAAAGTAGTCCATACCTACACTCACCCTCACCCACCTACTCACATCATATCCATACCCTGAACACTCGCTGCCACAACGACGACATCGATAGTGCCGAGCATCTCGATGGACTCTCACTACTCGTGGCTTCAAAAAAATAAGCTTATCAGATTCTGTTTAATATGTTCACACCTTTTATTGGTGTGTCTTTTATGATTAATAAAATTCAAGTAAAGTTCTTTCGAATTTCTTGGCAACACCTTGTATTCAATACGAGAATTCTATTCGTCTCGTCAAGACTCATTAATTTAGACTTAAATCCAAACAGTACATTTTCATGCTTATGAATCCCATAGAATCAGCTTTACTGAATTCATAGTATTTTATTTCTTACCTACTAGCCATAAATTGCACAATAACATTAAGTAGATTAGTTCGAAAATTAAAATGATGTAAATAAGTTAATAATTTACATAAACATTGAATAGCTAAATGACCAAGATTGAGTTTTGATGATTCCATTTTTTTCAGATGTTTCTGTTTACTTTTTGTTAAATGATTATCAGGAAGATTTTTTTTTGCACATTGTTCAAGAAAATGAAGAAAATGTTGATAATGTTTAAGTAAAGTTTGTTCAAAATGTCGTATGACTTTAACATCTTTTGATAAATTTTCTTTATTTGAATATTTTTTATGTTTAACATTTTTTATTTCTTCATTTTCATCTTTTGTTTGTTCTTTTAATGAACGTATACGATAACCAGGTACAATATCACGAAATAATTCTACTAATGAAAGCATTGTTAATTTTCTTATTGTCATTGATATCAATGGATCACCAAGATTAAGTAATAAACGTAATTGTTTTAAATTTGATATTTCTTCATAAGGACTTTTCATAATTATATCACAAAGTGTTACAATTGTTTGTTTAGTTTCATTAAGTTTTTTATCACGTTCAGCAATTAATTCAATAATTGAAACAGGTTTCGCTGGTGGTGGTGGTACTCCAGATGAAGTAGGAGATGAATCTGTTTCATCTTCATCAGATTCTTCTTGAATTTCTTGTTCGATTATTGGTGTTGATTGAGCAACTAATTGACCACGATCAGTTTTTATTGGTAACAATGGTCGTTGTCTATTTTTTTCATTAAATGATGAACGTGGTAAACGTTCATAGGTTTCCATATTGTGTTGATTATCATCTTCATCATCTGTATGAATATGAACTTGTTCATTTTCTTCATCAGAAAGCATATCTAATGGTAAAATAAATTCGTCATCAACTTCATCATCGATCATATCCGTATCCATTTTTGAGATTTGTGATTCTCTTTTTGGTTTTTGTTTTTGTTTTGGTACTGGTTTATTCTTTTGATACATCGAAGGATTCTTTTTCAATGGAACAGTATTTTTAACTTTTTTATGAAATTTTTTTTCTTGTTTGGATATTTTACCAAGCTCTGGTTTCTTGTTCGCACGTGTCATTTTTGAACGTGATTTTGGTTTCGTGGGTTTCTTCGAGTGTTTAACCATTTTTATAATACTTTACGAAAAGTTTTTCTTGTATGGAATGAAGTAGTACGAAGACGACGAAGAGGTTAACGTTTCATTCGTTGGTGGAAAGAAACGATCGAATGCTGATCAATGTCCTCGATACAGTTAGATATAAGCGACATCTACGATTACAAAATAAAACATTAGTTTCTAATATATAATTAGAAAGAGACAGAGATATTCAGCTATCGTTGTGTTAACTTGATTTTGAAAAATCATGCAAAATTTTCTTGAGTTCTAACGATGTTATATAGAAGTTTTAAATATCGAATCAATTATTCTGCTAAGTATATATAGTGTTGTAACGCAAGTTACAAATAGTACTACTGGGAGCTAATGAAACTACTACACCATACAGAGTAAAATATATTGACTTATTACATATATTTTTGTATTATATTTCTTTTTATTATTGTATATCTGAGAAGATATTTTGCATAGTATTAATTTCTTTTCCAGAGCGAGTATAGATTCTAGTTGTTTTCCATTTTTTAGTAGAGATATCTATCGCAATAGTATCCTCTTAGAAGATATTCCGAAATTTAGTGGATTTTAAGGCGATAACAGCAGTGAAATTCTGTAGTATATTCTTGGAAAAATTCGATTAACGTTGTAGTTTTAGTTAAGCACGAGAAAAATAAAGTTTGAATTGATATTATAGTAGATTTTTTAAAATTCTTATCTCTTCTGCGCCAGCACGCGTTTTTTTTGTGTTAGTAGAGAAGTAGATTCACTTTTTTGAATTTGATACGTCGACAACATCTATAACAATAATAAATTAAGGTATGTCTAGATACACTATACGAACGTATTGTGAAATTATTATAAACTTCTTTTCATAATTTCAATGTTGCAAAAATAGATGTGTTTCATCCTATAACAAACAGTTCGTTTTTACATAATAAAATAGTCGATTTATAGTCCAAAGAGCTCTGATATGTACACAGAGCAAAAAAATAAATACTAGATCTTATAAACCATCGTAGATTCTAAAATTTCCTCAACCATAAAGTTCGTGAAAACTCATCTAAATTCATAATAGTCTATCCATCCATATTGATTTTGAATGAAAGAAGTCAACATGAACTTTAATAAAAATGCATAATATCCATAAAAGATTTATTAGAATTTATATAAATACCCAGCATGAAGTTTAGTTCAATAAATTTACTCAAGTTCCTTATAATCGACTAGATAAAAGAAATCCTTTACATCGACTAATTACTTTTTCTGTATTAATTATTATCAAATCCTATTTCAAATGCTTATTCATAGCACAAGATATTTTCCTTTAGATTTTAATCCATATTTTAAAATGATGAATTCAAATTCTTGGTCTTCGACGAAAAGCCGATTTATAAAATATAATTATAATCATTTATAGACCAGTCATATTAATATTCAAAAATTATGATTTACTAATTCAAATACAAAAAAATCTCAATGGACAATAAAAGTAATTTGAAATACCTGTTGTTTTGTTAGTTAAGTACCCTTCGAAAAATTTTCTTTTCTTTCAAATCCCGCACATAATTTTTCAATGAATAAAGAGTGTTAGACTTTGTTTCATTTGTTTGAATGAAAAAGAAAATCGAACACTTTTAACCCTATTATTAAATTTATTTCTATCATTGATATACAATGAAAAATCAAAAAAAAAAAAAGTAATCAATGTACATATAAGTCATCTTGTTACATATATATATATATGAAATTATAAATTTAAAAATTATATTCGACTGTATAATAATTGCAAGTACTTTTGCATGATTACACGTGTAACAAGGAGGAAAAAAGGACGAAAACTATGCTTTTTTGTGGTTTGCATTTTCTTTTTGTGATGTGAAGAACGCGCGTAGAGATGTCTTGTCTGTAGTTACCGCAATAAGAAAGAGGGTGTAAAGAGAACAACAATAGATAAGACGAATTTATCAAGTGTGTGCGTGTTTGAATAGGATCTCGTAGAGTATAATCAAATTTACTACCATATGGAAAAATCAACATCAACTAAAAGCGGTTTGTCGCTATAACATTCTTCATTTTAATTCTCTTTCTCGCATACATAATACACAGATTACTAATGAATAAATCTATCAATAATAAAACAAATGCTGAAATCGATGATAATACATTAGGAGGTAATATTAATATCGCGTTTTTGTGTATGTACAAGTAGTATACATTATTTACTATGTAACGGAAAGTACCGCGTTTTTTTTCTCGTCTTGATTTAATTTATGAAATAGAAACAGGTCGAGTAACAAAAAAAAACCAAAATAAACACTCTTTAATTTTCTTTCTATACAAATGTTAGTCTCAAGGACAATAACAACAAAGGATGAAGTAGATTCTTATATTTTTCTAAAAAAGAAAAAAAAAGATTTAGTTGATGAATTTTGTTTTAACATTCGTTTTTTATAAGACGTATGTGTGTATGAAAAGAATTATCAGATTACTTACTTTATTTTTTTTCTTCTCCTCTACATTTAATAGGTATAGTGCAGAGCAACAATTTTCTTGGTCTCCTCCCATTACCATACTCGTTGTCAACTTTCAAGAGTAGTTTACCATTGTTACAAACAACGACATTATCATTTGCTGACACTCATATTCCACAAACATCAACAAATAACAAAAACAACAGCACTTATACATCTTCATCTTCTTCTACTACACATTTACATTCATCATTTGACGATTTAAATAACTTTGAAAATCAATCAAAACCAATGTCTTCATCAACATTTCGTGGCTCATCATTTTCCATGGCTAAACCATCTTTATTTAATCAATCACGTGAAAAAGAAAGATTTGAATTATCAACATTAAATGATAAATTTGCTGATTATGTTGAGAAAGTTCGATATTTAGAAGCACAAAATAAAAAAATTCAAATGGATGCAAATCTTCTGACGGAAAAAGAACAAGAAAATTGTCAAAAAATTAAATCAAAATATGAAACTGAAATAGCACAATTAAGACAAACAGCTGAGAAATTATTTAAAGATAAAAATAGTACATTTTCTACTGCACAAGAAACACAAGTTAGTCAAATTTTTCTATAATTAACAAAATTTACATAACTCTTTTTTATGTTTAGAATACTATTGTTCCATTAAAACAACGTTTAAATCAAACATTTCGAGAATGTGATTCATCTAAATATGATACGGAAAAAGTTGAACGACAATTATCATCTGTTGAAGGTGATATTATAATGTTTAAACGTCGTCTTGCACATCAAGATAATGAACATAATCAATGGAAACAATTAATTGCCCAAATACAACGTTTTTTCGTACAAACAAAAAATGAAATTCAAACTGAAATAATAACACGTTCATCATGTGAACAAAAAAGTAAACAATTACAAGATGAAATCGTTCGATTACGCGAACAACAACAACAAAAATTAAAAGATATTAAACAATCTGCAATAATGTCAGGTTCAACTACAACAAATGATCGTGCACATACATTTAAATCTGAATTATCGAATGCGATAAGAAGAATTCGTCAAGATTTTGAACGTGAACATGATGCACATCGAAATGAATTATATGGACAATTTCAACAATCTTATCAAAATATTGCTCGACAATATCCTGAACTTGGACATTTATTTTTAAATGATCGTGAACAAGAACGTATTAAACAAGAAGAAGATCGTGTACGTGCTGATATACAACGTGTACGAACAGATATGAATGCATTAAAACAAAAAACATCGGAATTAAAATTACAATTACGTGAATTACAAATCAAAATTGAAATGACAACAGATGAAAATCAACGTCTTCTACAATCACAACAAAATGAAATGAATCAATTTAAATTACACAATGATAAAGCAACACAAGATTATGAAGATGTTATACATAAACAAACATCATTGGAAAAAGAAATTGAAACATATAGAAATTTATTAGAAGGTACAATGAAACCAGTTGTTGATAATATTACAGATGATTTTAATACAAAAACGGCAAATCAAGTTACAGTAGAGAAACAACAAGATACAACAGCAACTCGAACAACTTATACACCAAATACTGATCGATTATCATCAAAACTTAATTATAGAAAAACAAATGATATTAATTTCTATGGGTCTTATAATACTTTATATCCAAATAATAAATCATCAGAAAATACAACAACAACAACAACTGTTATTGATATTCCCGTAACAAGATTTACAGAAGATTCAGAAATAAAGAATCAAAATTCAGATGTGAAAACTAATGATAATGAACAACATATTGTTGAAGTTGAACAACCAACAGATGATTCATCTTCGATAAATATTTAATTTTTGAAGAATTACTTACATACAACGAAAGAAATCATATTTCTTTATTATTATTATTATTATTTTTTGCTTTTTTCAATATGACTAATTATATTCGTTTTTACAGTTATTTTATTTTATTTTTTAGAACAGACATTAGATTTTTAGGAAATTTTTGAATGAAAAATAAAATATATGTTAAAAGTTTTTCAAATAAAATTAGTCATTGAAATTGACCATAAATACACATAAACTATCTATCGGAAAAATTAACATTTCCTATAATTGAACAGATTATTCTGTTTTTTGAAGATTAGTCAATCGATTTTATTACCGTTGTGTTCTATCCCTTTTTTTATTACAGGTGAATGAAATGCATATGTCTTTGAATCAAGTAAAACTTATTTAGTATCATAAATATTTCAGACGATGAAAAACTATTCATACAACATATTTAATATCTGCTATTGAATAAATACGCTTGATTGAAATTAGATAGATGATGCACAATTGGACGTCATATCGAATATGCCTTATGAAAAGTTCAATCTAGATTGAAATCTATTACGAAATGTTAGTTTCGTATGAAATATAAAATTATGAATTTTCATACGATCATATTAGTAATAGTACGTATGACTTCTACCCTTTTGATTAATATACAAAATTTGATTGAATAAATAAATACTATTGAAATGCAATCAAGAGGAATTAATCATATTTAACTTTTATATACACGAGTCTATATGCCCCATCGAGTAAACTAATAATAATCCATTTTTCAATATACGTAATATCATAATCTAAGCTATAGATTACACTATTTTTTTTCATTGAAATATGATTAAATCATTTTCATTAAGTTTTTGTCAAATAATAATGAACAGACGTATTTGCAGTGCAATATATATTTGTATGTCAAGCATGCATTTCACAGTTATTTGATATTTACTCATGTGCTGTCAGACAGACAATAGGTGTTGTCAATATATGTTATCAAATGAACTTTGCGTAATGATTGTAGTGTACAAATTGAATTTCGATAAAGATATTGATTGAGTATATCCATACAACGTCTGAAGTATATGTATCGAATAAAAAAAAAAAAAAATGTTTTTATTCGTTCTCTTTTTCTAACCTTCTGATATCGGTTCGGTCATCATCTTCTTCTGTTCTTTTAGGTTTTCTTTCCTTCCTTCCTTCTTTTCGGCAAAAGAGAACATAAGAATAGGTATTTTTCTTTCGTACGGTCACAATCAATCGAAGGTGTTATCGTTGACCGTAGTGTGTATACTTTCACCTTTTACTTTTTTTTCTTCTTCCATACAGAAGTGACCTTGACAAGCGACAAGATACATCGGTCACATGTTTTCCTATTAATCTATAATCATTGATGATAATGATTGACAATCAACAACAGTATGTCTGTCTGTTATCACTCAAATTTACTTATTTTTAGTTTATCTTTAGTTTTTACAATCTAATTTAATAGAAATCAGAACAAGAAAATGGGCACATGCTATGGCAAACGTTCAGCTTGTTATGATTTAACACGAAGTCATCCTACAACAATGGAAACAATCTATGAATTAAAACCTCCTGAAACACCACCTGCAACATTACGTCGTTTTAGTAGTTTACGACATAGTGTAAAATCATTTTCATCTGTCGCATATCAACGACGAAGTTTACGTTCAAAACCAATAACAATTATTAAGCAAAGTCCAAAAAATAAACATTGGTGTATTATTAAATATAATGAAACAAAAGAAGCACTTGTTTAAAACTATTCTTGTTTTTCACCGGTTTGTTCTATTCTATTCTCACGTGTGTATGATTTAAGCTATTATTAAAAGTATTATATGTTGTATTAATATGTTTCATGTCATTTTCTATGTATCCACATTAAAAATCATTTATGAAAGAAGAAAAAATAAGAACAAAACAAAAAACAAAAAGAAACAAAGATAAATGCGTATAAATGAGTGAATATTGTTTTTCTTTTGTCGAGAGAAAAAAAAATAATTAAGGACGGTATCCTGAGATGATTAGAAGGATTAAAAAATAATAGTAGAACATGTCTCCTTTTGCAATATCAGGAGCTCAGTTATAGTATACTAATAATCCTTGGTCAATAAAAAAACAAAACACAATAAAGAAGAAATTCTATATAATTCTTCTTTTTTCTTTCAACATAAGGAATGCCAATGAAGAGATTTTATTCATTTAATAAAATTTTAAATTCGAACAACGTTTGTATTAGCAAATGTATTTCGTAATGATAAAAGATTATGAGCTAATAATGAACCATATACATTTTCATACCATTGCGTTGATCGACCACTGAAAATACAAAAAAAAACAGGTATTTTTTTTATCAATAATGTTTTTTATGACGAACCTATAATCTACACAAGCAATTTGAGTCACTGTTGTACGACCAGGTTGTACAGATGATGGTGTAATATAATAATGCATATTATATGTACTACCCATACTACCTGGTAGAAAATGATTTTGTAAATGATCAATTGATACAGCACTAATAAGCATTGCATTTGCATCAGATGCTGAACGCGATGTAATTTTTTTCGAAAAACTAAAAATATAGATATTTTAAGAAATTGAATAAAACAAATAATTTTTTCTTACCGAAATTCACAAAATGATCGAACAGGTACAAGATCAAGATAATTTAGTACATATTGCACTATTTCTTTATCATCATCAATTTTTTCTACTGTTCGACTTTCAACAAAATTTTGATCCCATAAATATCGATCATGTAATATTCTTTGATATACTTGTTTAACATTTGTATTCGGTATATCAATTGAACATTTCCATATTGGTAAATTATTCTCATCGGAATCTGACGATGGTTTATGAATAGATACATTAACACCATCAATATTTGTTTGGATATTTTTAAATTTCGTACTCGATAAAAACTGTTAATAAAAAAACAAAATGATTGTATTTATAATTCTAGTTCGTTTGTTTTTTATTTTACTTGAAGAAATTGTTCACTATTTTTAGAAATAAATTTTTTTATATGAAATTCTCCATTACATGTATTACGAACAAGTTCATCTAGCCGTTTTGTTTTTCTTGCTGACGGCAAGTTAAGTTCATCACTAAGTGCACTTGGTACCTACATATATATATATATATATAATGATATATCGCTATAGTTTAGATTAGTTTTTTTCTTTCTCATACTCGACAAAGTACATCAACATTAAGTATCATTGTCATAAGACAATTTTCCAATATTAAACGTTCATTTTCTTGTACAATTCCATCAGATTTTTCTTTTTTCCATTTCCACCAAAGAATTTTCGATGATGTCTGTTGCATATCATAGAATGATTGAAAGACTGATGGTAAAAAAATACGTGCTAAACTTCGACAATTGACCTTTGAAAAACAAAGAGAAAATAAAAATAAAATATATATATATAGATCATTTACTTGATTATTTCCTAATCGTACTGATATATCAAGTAAAAATCGAAGTATTGTTTCAAGTACTTCACGCGTTTCATCTGGTAATATTAAAAATATATAACGTATAACTAATAATTGTTCTTCTTGTGTTATATCTAAAAAATTCATTGATTATAAAGAAAAAGATAAATTTTTCTTACGTTTTAGTAAATCACATAATAAACGTGTTAATGATGGTGGTATAAGACATTCAGGTAATTCTCGAAAATATTGTCGAATTAAATCAGCAACAACATATGGTTGATATTCATCAAATTTAATTGTTTCTAATGATGATTCCTCGCAAGATTCATTTAATGTTTCGATTTGTAAACGTAAACGATCAATTTTAGATTTAACACCTGGTTTACGAAATAATCCATCACATTTTCCTGCATGCATACGTGTGTATTGTAATGCATTTGTTATAGCTATTGGAAGTATATGACCTGTTGTTTGTTGATAAATACGTAATGGAACACCAAATACACGTTTGCCTTTCCATGTTGTAGATTTTGGAAGTTTATTTAATTTTGCAAGAGTTCTTAATAGAAAAAGTATGATAAAAAGATGAAAAATATATTGTTATATATATTTACATTGTTTCATAATTATGTACATTATCTGAATTACAATATTGCTCAGTTATTTTCAATAATTTTGATAAAGCTTTATGATAAAGATCATATTTTAAATATAACAAAAAACAAAATAATTATGTTTTTAATTACCTAGTTCTCGTACACGATCGATATCATTTGATAATAGTAAATGAATATTTAATTCATTTGTATTCGTACGCATTGTTATTATATCGTTGAAATTGGTCTGATCAATTTCTTCTCTACAACAAAAAAATAATATCTATGAAGAGAATGTCTAACACAAACATCATTGAAATTAATTTTAACAAAAAAAAGTCGATCGCATCGGCATATTGACCTTGTTTGTTTAGACAGAATGAGGCCTCTGGATTCATATCTTTTGAAGGTTATCTTACGAAAAAGAAACAAATGAAGGACAGAAATTTTTTTTTAAATTTAATTATTATAAAAAAAAAGAAGAAAAAAGAAAACTGTTGTTTCTAACAATATAGTCTTATTCTTACTGTTACGAAAGTATTGATGATGATGAAGAATATTAGTAAAAGAGAAGAAAAAGAAAATTTGTTCCATCTTTCTTTATCGACTGACGACAGATCTCTATGACGTAACAATTGCGCACGCATACCCGATCAACTAAAAGACGTCATCAGCACCACAGAGAGAGAGAGAAACCTAAATTGTTATATATATATATATATATGTACATATGTGTGTGCGTGCGTACGTGCTTAACTGAGGTCGTTGTCTATGGCATATATTACCTTCGAATTCGTCGCTGTCGACTCGCACAACAGAAATAATATAAAAATTTATGATGACTGGGAATGCATGCTTTATGATAATGTAATTTTCTTAGTTAAGATGTTAGATGAGTACACTATTCATCTTTCTCAATATTTAGGTTTTCTTCATATTTGTTTAATATAATTAAAAGAAATATGTATGGGAGAATCGTCAAGTTCTTCTCGTGATTTTTGTCACTTACATCCTTCTACAATGAATAACTCATTTACTAATGACAAAAAAAAAGATGACGGAAAATATTCATGCTAAAATTTATCATGAAGACAAACCTTGGATAACATACTCGATTATCTGGGTAAAAAATCTATATAGTTATTGATAGATATCCAATAACAAGGTTATCTAAGTTGTATCTATGGACCTAATGTGACTAAAGATCATGTCAACAGTACGCCGACCTATTGACAATTACTAAAGTATTCCATATAGAAGTATAAGTGAAGAAAAAGAGGAAGAAGAAGAAGAAAATAGAACATATGAGTTATAAGAGTAACAATCTTTATCTTAAGTATTCTTCTCTTTTAGTATATTTTGCTGCAGGTGATTTGTGTTTACATTTTGCCTCTTAGTGTTACAATACTCATCGATTGTGTTGTTGATGACAACTGATACTTGAGATAAATGATTGCTGCTAGTGTATGACGAATATATTATACTTTTCTGTTTCTTTCTATTTATTATAAATGAGAGACAAATATTGATTTAACAGTTCCAGACACGCCTTATTTAAACACAATCGTTTTATATAATTAGATAGAATATAGTCTGGTGTTTTATAAACAGATGAAGTACACAAATAATTTATAATAAAGTTAGTTTTATCTTATAAAGATTGTTTGACAACAATTGCTCAATATTTATATTAAATAGATAAGAAAAATATTAACATACTGATCATTGATTTGTATACTAATACTACGATTACAATCATCGATTGAATTATGAACTGATTGTTCAATATGAATTTCTTCGGATGGTACATGATTTGTTGTTGTTGTTGTTGTTGTTTGTTGTTGTAATGGATATAAATTTTCACCTTCCATTTCAAGACGCGATAGAATAAGATCAATATCATTATTAAAACGAATTAATTCACGTAATATATTATCTTCATCATCATATAAATCAAATCTTGAACTATCGGATGATATATTATCATACAAATGTCGATATTTTCTTCGTGGTGGTTTCCGAATAATACTATCATTCGATCGATTACGATAAAGAAATAAACGTGGTGTTGTATTTGTTTGATCTAATAATGAATTTGATGATGAAGAAAGTGATGATATAGGTTGTTTTTTGGAAATTTTTGTTGAAATATCTTGATAATAGTCATCTAAAATTTGAGCCTTATCAAGAAGTTTTTGAAGTAAACTTTGTGTTGAATATGCCGATAAATTTGTTGTCATTGATGAACGATTATGTGAAATAATACTTTTTGGTGTTGCACTAACAGTAATAGGACATTTTTCATCATTAATTGATGATCCTATTTCTATATCAGCAAATGAATATGAATCAATACCATTATTTAAATTATGACTTATAGTATCAAGTCGATTAGAAAATGATTTTGATTGAATATATTTTAAAGGTAATTCATTATGAACTTCAGATGTAGTAGTAATAATATTTAAATATTGTTGTTCATTCGTAGTAATTTTTGGTAATCTCTCGATTTCATTTACAAGATGACCATTAGAACCTGTTGTTGATGATGATGTTGTTGTCGCTATTTGTTGCTTACGTACTGAACTTTGTCGTTTTTGTGCTATACATTAAATATATACAAACGTTGTTATTATTAGTTATATAATTAGTTCTGAGATTTTTATCTATACATATATATAAAACAAACCTTTAAAAAATTGAATACGTTTAAAAAGACCATTATGTACATTAGATTTTTTAATATCGTTTACTGTTTGCGTTACTTGTTGAGAATTTTGACGTGTTCGATAACAACCACAACATGATGATAATAATGAAGAATTTCTTGTGTAAGTATTATGAATTATTATTGGTGATGATGAACGAATTGAATCTTTATCTTTTTCATATGATATCATTGTAAAACGAAATGAATTTTAACATATACAGATCTATTTCGATTAGAACCTGTTATGCAAACTAATGTTAGATTACATTGTAATGTATAAAAATCTAAAAAAATAGGCGATAAAAAAAAGAGAGAGAGAGAAAGAACGAATCATTATTAACAATTTAATAACATACGACTCATTGATCTGTTAATATACATATATGCATAAAGTGCAATTTAGAAAAACGATAACAAAGAAAATAAGTATGTCATGTAATTTTTTTTCCCGTTGTCGACAGATTAGTATGTTAGTCTTTGTAGTTTAATGTTTATCAAAAAGAAAGAAAGTGTATAAAAGAAGAAGAAAAAAAGTTCTTTTTCTGTAAAAAAAAAAAGAATAGTGGTGATTAGAATAGATCTGTTGTGTCACATATGCCTATGGTTAATTTAACAGAAGAAAGACAGTTCATCTTCTTCGTTCTTACTTTATGCTTATATGCACGCGCACTACTCTCGAAGTAATCAATAGTATATACGTTCTTATTTTCTTTTTTGTTTCATAAAACAAAATTCAGTTTCATTTTTTAAAATATATATTATTCTTTTATGGATTATATATATGTATGTATATATTGTTTTACGAGAGAAAAAAAACTGTCATATGAATAACAAAGTAAAAGAAAATGATAGGGTTTCGTTGTCGGTGAAGCATAAATACAATTACCTCTTTCTCTCTTCATTACGCATGTGTCATGTTTATACTTATCCTTATCAAACGACGACTAATACAGTCATATTTATGTATATTTGTAGTTCGTATCGAGTAACAAGAGTCATCGTTATTGCTCTCAGCTTATATATGTCTCTTATTACTATGCCTATCGACGTGATTATTCGTCTAGGCATATATGAGTGTATGAATTCAAACGATTGACTTGAAAATGTCACAGCTGCCATATGTGTGTGAACAAACTAAAAAAATGATGAATAAATGAATGAATGAATGTTCTTTTTTTTAAGATGAAGAGTAATCAGTTTTTTTTATCTTCTAAAAGATAATTGTAACTGAGAACCATCTAATATAGGTACTACTGTTTCTATAAACATCATGATACATTAAATAAAGTAACATAGAATTCACAGCATGATTATAATTGAATCACTTAGTTTTCGGACAAAAAAACAAAACACGCGTTAATCTTACTCATATATATATATGCGTTTGTTAATAATAATAATAATAATAATTGAGTATTAAAAATAAACAAAGTTGTCAATAGTATTAGATAAATGTTACTTATCACGCGGTAATACGATCATTTATATACATATCAAGATTAAATATAAACGCGCCTGTCCTTCTCAAACATACATATTACATAATCATTGATATCTACTCATCATCATCAAATATGAGAATCAAAGAAAAATAAGTTCTTTCAAGCTTATACTTATTCTACAGACTTTTGTTGTTATATGCTAATAATCATGTTCGTGCATAATTCATTGAAGTAGTACAAGTGTATTGAGTAAATATATACATATACAATGTTTCTTATTCTTAATAAAGATTAGTACAACATATATATATATAGATTTAGTTGTATTAAAAACAGAAAGAAGACGATTAAACTGACTTTTTTTTCCATTATTTTGTAATAGAAATTCCTCCTCCATTATTGAAGCGGAAATAGGACAGAATATTTCTAGACTATTATTTTTCACTTACTATCTATAGAAATAATTTCGATGTTCTATTGAACATAAGAACTATAAACTGTTTTTTTATCGATATAATGAACAGATGTATCTAGTCTATTTATTGAAGTTAATATTTATTCTTCGAAGAAAAAGACTACAAATGAACTCTTAAAATTTACTTTTCTTTTTTCATTATTGAATAAATGTAAGAACATTGATCGATGATTACTACTGTCGACAATACACCAAATGACATTCATACAAAGACGATTCATTATATACAACAGAAGAAGAAGAAGAAGAAAAAAAGAAGAAAGTTGATAGAGCAAATTATCATTGTATACAACCATGTATATACAACTTTCCATACTTTTTCTATCATCGGAAATGACAGCGATGCTTTTTCTTCGTACATATATAAAACGTAAACTAATAGAATAATTTGTTCACTCATATATATATATTCTTTTTCCTTGTATTACCTATCCACTAAACTGCCATAGTCTTCCGTTCACATTTTGAAAATCATTAAGGAATGACGCAGATAAATATATAAAACGAGCCGGAAGGTATATGTATGTGAGCTTTTTTCTTATTTAATGTGTTCATCAAACTATGATTAAGAAAAAAGAAACGAGAAGGAAAAAGAAGTAGATAGATTATGTCTTCATCATTCATCGTATAGCAATAGAATTTTTTTTTCTTCTATTATCAAATAATCATTCTATTGAAGCTCGAAATATAACCATCTCATAGTCAAGTATATCTATTGCATACTTGACACATTTATATAAGAAAGAACATATATAAGTATATATTTTTTTTTCGGATTCTTTTTATTTTTATATTCTTTGTTGGTACAATAACAAAAACAAAACAAAATTAATAAAGTTGTTGTTATTGTTTAATTTTGTTTGTTGATTGAATATTCGAGTATCTCAAAGATTTTAAAAGAAAAATCCGAGAACTTTACCACCAGTATGTTTTCGTCGAGCTTCTTCATGATCTAATATACCATGTGATGTTGTTAATACGACATATCTATATATATAACAAAATTTATAGAATAAAATAAAATCATTAAATTAATATACCCAAATTGACGTGATGGTAAAAGATTTTTTGTCCATGTTTCAATATCACGAATAGGACAATCGAAACGAGGACTGATAACGCCACACTAAAAATAGTTCAATAGAATTAAATTCCATTGCTTTTTCTTAGTCTAATAAATACTTTGTTTAATCGACCGTTTAAATTAACAACTATTTTACCACTGCGATGATCATCGATTATTTCGAATTCACCAATATAACCTATTTGAAAAAAATAAATAGATTTTTTTATTGAAAAAATATTTATGTCGTTTCTTTTACCATGTTTCATCATGACAGTTAAAAATTTAATGATAACTTTTGAACATGGTCGAATAATAACTTGACGTTTATGACGTTTTTCAGCGTTATTTATTGATTTAAGTGCGTCAGCAAGAACGTTCATGTGAACCATGATGAATGATTATTTGTGTATGTGTGGTAAATACACGTAAATCTGAAACAAAATAGTATAAAAACAAAAGTATTCGAGAAAAACGAAAATAACAAAAAAAGAGTTTAGTTTATTCATTCTACAACTAATCAAAAAACTAATAATAATTATCCACTACTAGCAGCCAAATGAGTTTTTCTTATATAATGACGAAATGTTTCACTGAGTAAATCCGGTAGTCGAGATTCTTCTTCAATAAATGCCTAAATAAATAAATAAATTAAATAATAATTATTTTTATTTTTCCAAATTACTTCAATAAGATGATGGGAATTTGTATCAGAAAAATCATATCGAGCTACTTTCGAATCTGGATGAATAATTGCATAGAGTTGAAGAAGTGAAATAGCATCATTGAGTCTAAATTAAATAAATTACTTTATCAATCGAATAGTTTATTTCATTATTAAATAATAAAATTAGACATATAGAAAAGTATGCCGTAAATAGATTAATTATATATATATTTCAAAATTAGAGATGGACATTGCAAAGCAATAGCTATTCTTATTCTTTTTTTGTTCGAAATATTCAATGTCGACAACTTTTTTATAGATTAATATAAGACAAATTGTTTCCGGTTAATGCTTCATATCAGTCGTATACCATGCATGAAATATTAAATAATTAATTGAGACGAACTTCAGATCAAGTGCGCTTCCTATTTCGAACTATATCAAAATTGCCTTTGACAGTATTCTACGCTAATGATTACAGTCGAATCGTTTCTTTTTTGTTGATGAAAGAATAGATCGAATTGAATGTCGTATATAATCATGAATATTCTGATCAAAGAAGAAATTATAAGCTTTGTCTTTAATACAATGTTTTCAGAGTTTTTTTGAACTACATATATTAATTATTATCTTTTTCGCTAAAAAACTTACAAATCTCTTTTAATCATATCAGCCATAAGTCGATCAATTCTCTTAAACCACACATAATAAAATGTCATTGGACCAAAATGTCGTGTTGAACGAAGTTTATCATAAGAATTTGTTTGATCAATATGTTCATATGTTCTATGTGTAACCTAACAGAAAATTATTAGAGAAAAAACAGTTGTTATTAATTTACACGTATATAATCTTCATCATCTGGTTCAAATTGAATACATGCTCGATCTAATATAAATTCATAATTTTGTTGTTCTAAGATTTTCTTAAAAAATCAATAAAAAAAATTTATGAAAAAAAAAAACGAAAAGATTAATTTTACTTCTAATTGTTCTTCTTCAAACATTTTTGGCATAAGTAATTCTCTTCCTGATGTAGGAAAATAAATTTGTCTCATACGTCGTTTTTCATCTAATGTTGCTGTTCGTAATGTTCCATCAATATCACGAGCAACAATAAGACGATTCTATTATTTTTTTGAGAAATAAGATTAAATTAATATTAATTTTGAATTAACATACTCGAATTGGTATACCAAGTGATATATCAATAAATAAATGTTTACTTGATGAAAATCCACTTAACATATCATCTTTTTCAAGTATTTCAATATTTTCTTTAGCTTCAGATAAAACCGGTGGCATTTGGAGTTTTGCTCGACCACGTTCAATAGTTTTTTCTTGTTCCTAATAGAAATATTCATTAAAGAAAACTACAAATTGAATAATACATACGTACTTCTTTGAGTTGTTTATCAGTTAAATATTTATAAACAATACGATCAAGATTTTTATTATTACGTTGACGAAATATTCTTGAAAGATCAAAACCAGTTATATTCATCAATAAATCTTGAACATCTTTACGAATAAATATTGTAGCTGGATCGATTTCAGCTTTATCTAAACGAAATTTAATTTCTAAAATAGTAGTAAAAACGTTTTTAACACATACTTGTACTAGTACTATTGTATTGAATTCGATTGAGCATACATCGCACACATGTGCTTGGACGTATTAATGAACGAAACATTACTTTAAATCATACATTGATTTTTTCAATAAAAATTTAATCTAAAGAAGAATTTGAATATTGCATAATTACGTATACAAAAAAAAAGTTTAAAAAAGAAAAACAACAGCAAATATTAAAATTTTATTTCTGAGATTATTATTCGACTTTTTCATGTTGCTCATTCATTGTATCTGAGATTGATTGTTCGATTTGACTAGATTTTGAGACTTCATTCTCAACAGATGGAATAGGAGCATCTATTTCACCTGTTGTACCATACTCATTTGTACGTGTTCGATCAACTGGATAAATATATCGTTGATAAAGATATATAAAAAATATAATATCTACAAAAATTAAATTTAAAAGATTTAAAAAAAGTTTTCTTTTGTTTACCATCACGAAAACATCCTAATCGATACATTGTTGGCATTTTAATAACAAAAGCAAATAAATCATCAATAAATGTATTCAATGCTTTATATGTCATCATACGCCAAGGTAAATGCGAGACAGATTTAAGTTTATAATTAATAAATAATTGTGGTGTCATCATAATAAAACCTTAATATTAAACAGAATTTATTTAAAAAACTTTTCTTTTGGTTTTTATATTTACCAAATGTTAATAAAAATCCATAAATTGTACTTAAACAAAATGAATACCAGCTTTTTTGTTCATGATACATTAATAAATAACATGCATAACCAAGAACACATGGAAATAAAAGCCATGATAAATATTTAAAAGCTATCTAAGAAATAGAAGACGAAAAAATAACAATATGTTAATACTGATTCTTTACTAACCTGATCATAATTAGATGTAGCTGTATCTTGATATGATTGTTTATAAACATATTTATATTTTGGTATTATACCAAACCATGTTTCATTTGGTAAACGCTTAAATAAGAAAATAAATATACGGAAAACGATTACATGTAAGAATATTTTACTTGAAAATTAAGGACTTTCGGTACTTTCCATAATTCAATAAGTATACCAATAAAAACACTAACACGAACCATTGTATTTGTATCATTATCAAATACATATAATAAGACAATAAAACTTTGGAAGATATTAAAAAATACACTTCGGACAGATAAACCTTCAAGAGATTTACGTGTTCGCCAAAATTGAATATCTATAAATGTATAATTCACACTATATTTTATCTTTCTATTTCAAATATTTACCATTTTTAAATGCTAATAGTTCAAAAACTGTATGTACAAGTGAAACAATCATTGTCATGGCAAGTAAATATGGATTTGTTTCAACAAGTGCACGCTAAAAGAGAAAATAAAATAGTTACAATTTTAAGAAAATTGACTAGTATACTTTGATAGTATCTTGATCTTCATCATTTTCTTCATCACCAAGTAAATTTCCATACCATGATTGACGTAAATTTTGTGATATGTACATTTGCCATTTCCATAACTGTATCGGTGCAATAGTTAATGTTAAATTAAGTTTACTAGAAATTTTATTAATAAAAATTTTATTATGAATTTTTTAAGAGGACTTACTCAAGTGTATTATTAATTGGATAATAATCAGCAAGAAGATTCCAATAGTCATTTAAATAAAGAACTGGATAATATTTTCCAGTATAAGGATCAAAATCAACATCTAAATAATAAAGTATATAATATCTCCTCTTTCGATTATCTCGAGAGTAAAAATAGTCAAAGTTAATATGATCATTAAATTAGCTGTCATGGGATTTATACGAACATCTTGCTTCTCAGTCTCCTGTATATGTACGCTATCCTTAAGAATATGACTTACATTTATCTAATGGTGGTGGTATACTGCCTTTGATCCATGATGATTGATCATCAAGTATATTAATTGTCATATTTGAATGCCAATGTGATAAACGTTCAACAAGTTTATCACTTGCTTTCTAAAAAAAAATTTTGTTTTTTAAATTAAACATTATTTTTTTATTTTAACCTTTTGATATTCTTCATCTTGTTCAGTATTGCCCGTTAGAAGATTTTTTGTTTTCTTATAAACTTTTTTCTTAAATTTATTCAAACGTTTACTTTTCCAAAATGTATATTGTGCTGAATGAGATTCGTATATATTTGGATCAATTGAATAGCCATGTTTTGTTACAACAACATGTAAATAAATCGAACCATTATTTTGTACATTCTAAAATATTTTATATATGAATTCTTCTAAAAAAAAACCAAATTTCTTACTTCGGATATAGGAAATTCAATAAATTTTACAACTGTTCCACTAGTTGTCCAATCTCCATATTTAAGATGGTCCAATTTTAAAACAGGTTTTCGCATTAGATTATATTTATATTTTGGTTCTTCATTAATAAATATATACATATCCTAAATTAAAAATTGACTGTTTAGAAATTACGAAGAATAAAAATATTCTTACAAGTAAATCGCCTGAAGTGTAAACATTTCCAGGTGTAAAAATATTCGATGAAATTGGTGAATTTACTACTAATGTTTCATTTGCTATTGGATTAACTGTTGCTGGTCGACGAAAAAATCGTGTTACAAAATAAATCATTACAATTCGAAATAGAAAAGATTTGAATATTGCCCATGGTGATTGTCGTTGTCGAATAGGAGGAATATTATTAGGTGTTGTTATTGGTGTTTGTTGTAAATTATTTTGTTGAGAAACAATAATTTCTTGTTGTTGATTCTATAAAAATAAGATAATTCTAGAAGAAATCTTTCGAAAAGAAGATAAACATACAAGATTCTCTTCTGTTTTTGATTGATTTTCATTTGTATCCGACATAATTTGAGTTTGTATATTATTATTTTCTATTTTTTGGATATGGCAGCCATTCTATGATATGATCTAATATAATCGGTTTTTGGACCTCCAAATATTTTAATAGAAAAAATCAAATTTTCTTTATTAAAAAAAATTTACATATGAAAATGTTTATTTTATTAATTTATAATACTTTTTTTAATTATTTTATATTTACTATTGATTGTAGCGCTATTGAAATAGATTGGTTTTTGAAAAGACAATTGTATATATATGTGGATAAAGAAATAGACAACAATAAACATAGAAAGAGGTGAGCGTGATTGATGTTTTATCGAAAAAAAAACATTTTTCATACATAGGGATATTAGTTCTCTCATAATGAACAAAACTAAATCATCAACCCAAAATTTCTACATGAATAACATATAATCAATTCGATTCAATCTTTTGAGGATAATACTCATATATTGTCTTAACAATTTTAGTATAGATAATTATTTGAAAAAAAAATATATTAGCTTGACATTTATCTGTAAGTTTTCAAGTGAACATTCGTATTTTTATTGCATGAGAAAACCAATATCAAACATTTAATGAATTTAAAATATAATTTAGCCCTAAAGAGGGCTGTTGGGTTTTATAGAATTTTTTTTGAGTTATTTATTGAGCTGGTGTTGCATTAGCAATAGCTTTCTTGATTTTTTTAACTGAACCAGCAGATGATACTGGCATTGAATCAGTAACACCTGATTTTTTTGGTAATAATAAAGAATTAATATTTGGTAAAACACCACCTTGAGCAATTGTTACACTGCTTAAAAGACGATTAAGTTCTTCATCATTACGTACAGCTAATTGAAGATGACGTGGAATAATACGTGATTTTTTATTATCCCGAGCTGCATTTCCAGCTAATTCAAGAATTTCAGCACTTAAATACTATTGAAAAAAAAAATATTGATTAATTGAAAAATATTTATATTTCTAAACTTACTTCAAGTACTGCAGCTAAATAAACTGGTGAACCTCCAGCAACACGTTCACTATAGTTACCTTTACGTAAATGACGATGAACACGTGAAACTGGAAATTGAAGACCAGCACGACCTGATCGTGATTTTCCTTTACCTCGTCCTTTTCCACTACCAACTAATACGCTTGAATTTGATTTACCTCGACCTGACATTATTTTAGTTTAATTAATAGTAAAGAATGAAAAAACTCTTGATAAAATATTGAACATGAACTTTACCATCTTTTTTCTTTTTCTATATATAGACACTAAACACTCACACAGAAATGAACCAATAGAAACTATAGAAAAATATGTTTCTATTCGTTCATAAATGTTGTCACTAAACTGGTCTATATAAGTATAGACAATTGCTCATATTTTCCCTCATATATACATTTGTTCATTCGTCAAATAGTCGTTTAATACAAATATAATAAAATGGCCCCAAAAGCTCAAACACCTTCAAAAGGTTCAAAAAAAGCTGTTACTAAAACTAGCAAAGGAGCAACTGGAAATAAAGGTGAAAAAAAACACAGACGCCGACGAAAAGAAACATATTCAATCTATATTTACAAGGTTCTTAAACAAGTTCATCCAGATACTGGTATTTCATCAAAAGCTATGTCAATCATGTAGGTTTTTAATTAATATTTTATTCAATGGAAATATTTTAATATTTTTTTTCTTCTTTATAGGAATTCATTCGTGAATGATATCTTTGAACGTATTGCTGCTGAAGCTTCACGTTTATCACATTATAATAAACGATCAACAATTTCATCACGGGAAATTCAAACAGCCGTTCGACTTTTATTACCTGGTGAATTAGCTAAACATGCTGTTTCAGAAGGTACAAAAGCCGTAACAAAATATACAAGTGCCAAGTAAATGATGGCTGAACTATGAGATGAATTCTATCACTCTCAATTAAAGAATCTTTGAAACCCAACAGCCCTCTTTAGGGCTAATTATATCTTAAATTTAAAAAATATGAATTCGTCTTAAAAAAAACTTGCTTGAATTTGCTGTTGTTTCCTAGATCTAGATATTCAATAAATAATTATTTGATTAAGAATAAAAAAGTATATACATTGTTAAATACAGGAAAAAAAATCAATATGAAAGAGTATTTTCATTATGTATCGAAACAACAATAATTAAATAGCAAAGAACATTTGTTTTATTTCAATCGTAATCATCGTATGTCAAAAAAGATAATTGTCTAGACTTCTAAGAAAATAATTGGTTCTAAAAATAAATATATGAACTTTTTTTGACATAAATTCTCTTTCAAAAAAGACATTTGGGGTTGAAATTTAGCTTATATAATATATCTTTGACAATGAGATCATAGATAGTTCTTATTCAATAAGACAAAGTTTGACATAATTCGAAATCGTCAATTGTAAAAATTATTTACTTTCATCATGTAACATGATCTTTTTTTTCCTGTTCAATATAACAAATTATGAATATTTTTTTCTCGAACATTCGATACCTTATCTTCAATGAATTATATAACTCAAATGATTTATTGTTCGTTTGATATATATGAAAGATTATTTTTTCTGTAGAAACTAAATGATTATCATTTCCTGATTTAAATCATTAAGAGAAAAAAAAATATACAAATATTCAAAATGTGTGTTATATAACTCGTATCCATATGTTTGAATGTAAAATATTTTAGCCCTAAAGAGGGCTGTTGGGTTTTATTTGGTGTTTTGTATTTTTTGAGAGTGATGTTATTCATCTCGTATATAATCTTTCATCATTAAATGCTTAAGCGCGTTCACCACGGATGCGGCGGGCCAATTGAATGTCCTTTGGCATAATGGTTACACGTTTAGCATGAATTGCACATAAGTTGGTATCTTCGAAGAGACCGACTAAGTAGGACTAAATTAGAAAAAAAAGAAATAATTATTATAGATGAACATAAAAAAAATTTAATAAACATACTTCACAAGATTCCTGTAAAGCCATGACGGCTGATGATTGAAAGCGGAGATCCGTTTTGAAGTCTTGTGCAATTTCACGAACCAATCGTTGAAATGGCAATTTTCGGATGAGTAATTCGGTCGATTTTTGATAACGACGAATTTCCCGAAGAGCTACTGTACCTGGTCGAAAGCGATGGGGCTTTTTGATACCACCAGTAGCTGGTGCCGATTTTCGTGCAGCTTTTGTTGCTAATTGTTTTCGTGGTGCTTTACCACCAGTCGATTTACGAGCAGTTTGTTTTGTTCGAGCCATTGGTTATGTTTTTTTTTAGAGAAACTTGTGAAAGAGACGTAGATATATTTTCGAATACGAATACAGAAGAAATTAAAGCAAACGAACGCTCTTTATAAACAGTACGATGACCTATATATTATTGGTCTATTAAGAAAATCTTTAACTGACCAATAAACATGATGAGTCTTTGTTTTCTTAATGAGCCAATCAATATATGTATATGTGAACCCTATATAAACATCGGTTTGAATCGTTCTTTTCTTCACAATTCATCTAACCGTCTTCTTCATTTACATTAAATAAATATATTAAACAATGTCCGGACGTGGTAAAGGTGGTAAAGGTCTTGGAAAAGGTGGTGCTAAACGCCATCGTAAAGTTCTTCGTGATAACATCCAAGGTATATTTTATTAAATACAATTAATATTAATCTTATTTTATTTTATTTTCTTCTTCTCCTCTTATCAGGTATCACAAAACCAGCTATTCGTCGTCTTGCTCGACGAGGTGGTGTCAAACGTATTTCTGGATTAATCTACGAAGAAGTTCGTGGTGTACTCAAAATCTTTCTTGAAAACGTTATTCGTGATGCTGTTACATATACAGAACACGCCAAGCGCAAGACAGTTACAGCCATGGATGTTGTCTATGCGCTCAAACGACAAGGTCGTACACTCTACGGTTTCGGTTCATAAGCAATTTCATTATTGTTTGGCCGGATGAGATGAATACCATCACTCTCAAATAACAACTAAAAACCCAACAGCCCTCTTTAGGGCTAAACATTTTCTAATTTCAAAAATCTATGGAATCGAATAAAATACATGAAAATAATTGCTTAATTTATAAAACAAAAAAAAATCATATGACTAGATTTCAATTCATTGTTACGGTCAATAGGTAACATAAATAATATTGATAGTTATTGATGCTGAAATAAATTTCAATTAATAGTGTATATAAAAATAGAATTCAATTCAAATACAATAATATTCCTATTAGGTTTTTTTTCTTTCATATCAAAAGTCGAGACATGTAATGTCATGGAAAATGTGCCGTATCAAACATCGAATTTTTATTTTAAATAGATATTAGCTGTTTCATAATAAAATATATATTACTAACGATGATAAGAATCAGAAGTGGTATCTTTCGTTTGAAATATGTATCATCATATTCTTTTTAGAACTTGTAATATAATCATCTATCATTTCTTTAGATCAATTTATTAAAAAACTTTTTCTTGATCGATACAATACAAAGACAAATATTATATAAATTTTTCGATGAATATTATTCTATCATTTTTTAGTCAAGTAAAAAACAGTTCTATGATACGAATACTTATGTACACATTGTTATATAATACAACATTGAGTTAAGTTTATTTTTATCAGCAAGAAACTACTAGCCTATTATAGTTATTGAAAAAAAAAATCTCAAGGTACCAAATGATAACATATACTGTCGTTGTTTTAATTCTTTATTGATTTATATATAAATATAGCACACTCGATAACCTACAAAGGAATCGAAAAAATAATAAATGGATTTTGACACACATAAAATTTTAGATTGAGAGTACTATCGGAAAGGAGAATAATTAATTTCTTTTAAGTAAAATCATATCCGGAAGTTCTGAGAAAAAATTTTTCTTGATTAGAGATGATTTTATAGAATATTATTTATCATACATTAAATTTTTTGTAATCTATTCTGAATTTTTCTTTTATTTACATGAACGAATCATATTTGATTCTCTATCCTCTACGTATATTATCAATGATTGGATAAAGAAAAGCAAATATACATTGATTTTTTTTTGGAAAGAAGAGATAAAAAAAAATTTCTGTCCAATAAATCGATACAATGTCGAATGATGATTTAATTATAAATCCCAAACAAGGTTTTTATTCTTTCTCTTTTATTTTTAATTCTTATTAAAATATATATATATTTAGGATGGTTAAAAGTTAAATTACATTCACAATCAAAATGGCATCGTCGATATTGTATCATCGATTGGGATAAAGCTATATTATTTATTGCATCGAAAGTTGATAAACGTTATCGAGAGTGGATTAAACTCTTACCACATATATTTATTAATGAATATGAATCATCTTCGGATCCAATAATTGAAATTAAATCAGATAGTAAGAAAAAAAAGAAGCAAAACAAAAATTCTTTTTCTTTTTTTTAAGATGAAATACATCTATTACAATTTGAATCAAAAAAAGAATTTGAATGTTGGTTTTTAGCATTGAAAAGAACGGCATATAGTCGAGTTGGTGGTGGTGAGTTATGAATTTTCTTTTCTCAATACTATTTTAAGAAGTTTTAGTTTATCGGAGATTTGAAAGCAGCTAAATCTTTATATGTAAAGATTAATTAAATAACAGAATTGTTTATTTTTTCTTCAATCAGGTATCTTTGGCCAATCATTAGAGAATACACATAAATATTCTCGCGATAAAACATCTCCTGTACCAATAATTGTTCGACAATGTTGTGAATTTTTACTTGAATATGGTTCGACATTTGTTGGTTTATTTCGGTAAAGATATTTTTATTAGAAAATAGAATCACTATTTTATTTGTTTTAAATAGAGTACCTGGCAAGCAATCATCAATAAAAGAATTACGTGATATGTATGATCGAGGATTAATTATTGATTTAAATAATTCTTATTCACCAGCTACGATATCTTCTCTATTAAAAATCTATTTACATTCATTACCAGAACCAATAATTCCAATAAAAAATTTCGATGAATTTTTTGAAATTGGTTCACGTTTTAAATATAATCAAACAAACGATATTGATCGTTTAAAACAATTAATAGGAAAAACATTATCAGGTATAAATTATGCTGTTTTAGCATATTTATCTTTATTTTTAAAAAAACTTACACAATATGCTCATGAAACAAAAATGGATGCAGATAATTTAGCTGTTACTTTTGGAAGTAATCTTATTAGACCATCTGAAGACCTTGATCTAAATATGATTAAAGGACATAAGTAAAGATTTCTTTATTTATCTTATGAAATCTATTTTATTCTTACAGTTATAATCTATTTCCATTAATTAAAGTACTCATTGATTATAGTGAATATCTTTTTCCGGTATAATTCTTTTTCTTTTTTTAAATAGCAGTTTCTTATTTTAATGAATTTAGAATAATTCAAATGAAATATGTGATCAAAATAATGAATCAATTACTAAATCCAGTGGTTTTTCATCATTTTCTTCACTTCTATCATCAAACGAACAACAACGACCAATGAAAATTAATTCACGTTCATCATCAATGCCTTCCATACGTTTTACAACATTTTCATCAATTGATAGTTCAAATATTAGCTTCGATGATCAATTAGATAATGATAATCTAAAATATCAATCAGAATTAGTTATAGATAAACAATTAAATAATACATTTAATCGCCAACAATCATTCATAACATGTTGTCAAGGAGAAGAAAATAATGAATATAATCAGATAAATATTCTTCAAAAACGATTTTCTTGTGCAGATATAATTAATAATGATGACAGAATGAAAACCCGATTAAATATATTAGAAGAAAAATATAAATCAGGTAAGAATATAAACTTTTTTTATCGAAAAAAATCTTCCTCATAATAAGCGAAAAGAAGAAGAATTTCGTATTTTTCAGAGCGACTGTTATTTTATGTAGGAAATCTTTAGTCAGATATATCAGTGTTATCTCGTAGCTGGATATCTAATCTATCTATCATATTGTATTTATTTATGTACAGTCAAATCCACTTATAAGAGCTCCGCATAACGGAGCGACCCGCTATTAAGAGCGATTTTTCAATTACCCGTTTTTTCGTAATGCATTTTACATTGTGACAAAGCCCGCTTTTCAGAACTTCGGATACGGGAGCGATTCGTTTATTAGAGCTGTTTGTTGGCGTTTTTTTACGATTTTAGCCCGCATAAAAGAGCTCGTCCATGCATATAATTATAAATATGCATTTACGTTTTTCTTCTTTTTCGTTCCTGTCATATTTGATGAATTTTTCCTCTCCTGTCATATATATGTGATGGATTCTTCCTTTCGTTCGTTTTTTTTTCTTTCATGTTGTTCTATATTGGATTTTTCTTCCATGTTCATCATCTATGGGATTTTCCATTTCATGGATTTTGCCTTCCACCTTCGTTCTATATATTGTTCGTCATTTTTCGTTGAATCATTACTTTTCAAAGAATGGCATCTACCAGTGGTAAACGTTGCACATTATCGATCGAACGAAAATTGGGGATCTTGGAAGTGCTGAAATCCAAAAAGGCAGAACATGTGGCTAAAGATTTCAACATCGGCTATTCTACGGTGAAGAAGATAAGGCAAAACGAAGAAGAAATCCGAGAAATAGTGATGAACAATGGCAACTTAAGTCGAAAACAAAAACGCGAAAGCCCTCATGAAGAAATCAGTGGATTTCTTTAAATAAATTTATGTATGTGTATGTACTTCTTAATGAATATTGACAATAATCAAGTTTTACACTATCTTACATATAGTTCGCATTAAGAAGCGATCCGACTGCGCTCTTATAAGCGGATTCGACTGTATACATGATGTCCCAGAAGTCTATGAGGACAGTAAATTCTTTTAATTCCACTATTCATTTTTTCAACGATAGGTATGACTGAGAAGCTTTTATCGATACGGACAAATTTTACAAATACTATTCACAGTTATTATTTTTGAATGAAATATAAAAATTAGTCATCTTTTTGTTGTGAAAGGAAGCACTACCTAGTAACTCTTTATTAATGCTTCAATTTTAGTATTTTTTGTAGTGTTTGAATCGACAAAGTCGTGCACTCTTGTTTCCGTGCATTTATTTTAATACGTCACCATAAAAACAAACCTAATGGCATCAGGTTCGGTGATCAGGAAGCTTATAAAATCACATTGTTTCTACGCACTCATTCACGAATTGAAAGAAAGAAATCAACTATATGAACTCTAGAATTGACACCTGTAGGCTTCTTTCTATAGTGACATATTAAAATAAATGCACGGAAACGATAGCACAAGATTTTGTCGATTTAAACACTACAAAAATACTGACATTAAAGCATTAACAAAAAGTCACTAGGTAGCGCTTCTGTTTACAATAAAAAAAACATGATTCATTTTTATATTTCATTCGAGAATAATAACAGTTAACAGTATTTATAAAGTTTGTTCGTATCAATCTTTTGACATTTTCTATTATTTCCATAAAATCAAAATTCAACTATTTTATTATTTAGATATTCCATCTCAAATTCTATCAAAAAGTAATGTATCATCACCTATCCGTAAAACTTCTAAAAAAACATTTGCTAATAAATTTGGTAAATCAATTACAAATTTTAAAACCAGTGTGTCAAGAGCATTTCATCCACATTTTTCTTCAAGTGAAAATATACAATATTCAAGTTGTATAAATATATCATCTCGTACACTTAATCAAACTGATCAATCATCAAAATCTATTCAATCAAATATATTAAATGATTGTTTGAAAACTCTTCAAGATGAAATTTATATATTAAAAGATTTAATTGATAAAAAAGATAGTTTATTAAATAATTTAACCAAAACATCTTATGAAGAACGTCTTAAATATGAAAAAGAAAATACTGAATTAAAACAAATTATTGAACAATTACAATATGAAAATGAACAATTAAAAGCTCGATATCAATCAGATATTTAAACGATTCCAATTTTTTTTCTTCCTGTCTTTCACAATAGTATTTTTTATTTGTGATATTTTGTATATCATGATAATCAATCAGTCTCTTTCATTTATGCAATTAATTAACTTTTTTTTTCGCTTTTTTAGATTAAAATTCAAAAAAATAACCTTAAAATTTTTATATAATGTCCGTCACTGAAAATATTAAAGTGGATACAACTGATAATCAATCAGATGAAACATATACAACACCAATAAGTCCATTATCTCCGAAAGAAAAATCTCCTGTTTCTAATGAACAACAAGAAAAAGAAAATACTGTTAGTGAAATGCAATCATTAATCCAATCATCAAGTGATTTAACATTTCCATTAGAAGATTCCTGGTCATTTTGGTTCTTTAAAAATGATCGACAATGTGAATGGAAAGATAATTTAATACAAATAACAACTGTATCAACAGTTGAAAATTTCTGGTCAGTTTATAATCATTTACAAGTTGCTAGTCGACTCGGTCAAGGTTGTGATTACTTCCTTTTCAAAACACACATAGTAAGTTAACACAACTTCTTGTTTTATAAATTTCATTCATAGACCATTTGATTTGATCTTAGTTTCAATTCAGATCGAAATAAAGATTTTTCATTACTAAGACCGAGATTGAAATCATGATCGATTGGTTTAAGATTTCAATCGAAAGTTACAATGTCTTATAGCTGATACGATTAAGTCTCAGTTTACCTTATCAATTCTCATGAAAGATCTATATTGTAAACATTTCTATTAATCACTAATCAATTATTATGCTAGAACCCATTTTAGAGATATAATAACCATTGCGAAAGATTCCATTCGTTCGCATTATATTATACTACTTTCTACATATGAAGTTGACAAATCTGATTAAGCGAGAAGATTCACTATGAGTATAAACGATAAAATTCGACTTTAGAAATTTGTCAACGAGTACATCACGTGAATTTCAAAGAGATCTCGTAGAAATCGACAGAATTGTGACTATCTCATTGCTTATCTTAAATTATATAGTTGATCAACTAATCATTAAAATATAACGATTTATAAGTCTTCGATTTTTTGATTGAAACCCTATCTGTTTAATAACAAGATTATATTTGATTTCTTTTTCTTCTGTAGCAACCAATGTGGGAAGATCGATTTAATCGTTCCGGTGGTCGATGGTCATTGAATTTAAATAAAAGTCAACGAGCAACTGAACTTGATAAATATTGGCTTTTTACGGTTTGCTGAAAAAAATTATTTTTGTCAATCATTTACTTATTTTTCTATGTATATTTGTTTTAGTTACTTTCATTGATTGGTGATCAATATACTGAAGATGCTCAACATGTTAATGGCTGTGTAGTATCAATTCGAAGTAAAGGTGATCGAATAAGTTTATGGACAAAAGATTGGAAAAATGCTGAAGTTACTAAACGAATCGGGTAAAAGAAATTCTATGAAATATTTTGTTTTTATTTAATTTTTCTTTGTTAATTATATAGAAGTCGATTTCGTGAAGTAGCGGATATTCCTCGAAATATTCCATTAATTTTCGAAAGTCATGAAGATCAGGAATCAAAACGTGGTGCAACATCAAAAATTCTTTTTCGAGCATGAATGAATTATATATTTATCATTAATATTTCTTTACTATTGACTTATGTTCATATTTATTTATCATTTCATTGCGATCTTATCATAAACGAGAAAAAAAAATAAGATTTTTTTTTTGCAATTTATTGAATGGGGTTTTTGGTTGTTGTGTGTTTGTAGTTTTATTTCTTTTTTTTTCTCTATTAACTTCATTCATGACATCTGATCTGACGATTTCATTAAAAATTGTTGTCTCTGAATTGTTGAATTTTCTCTTCTTCTTTTCCTCTTTTTTGTTGTTGTTGTTGTTGTTGTTTTGTTGTGTTTTATTAATCATAATTCTTCTCCAAAAAATAATATTAAAATTGAATATGACTTAGTTCATTTTGTACGAAAAACAAATCGTTTTGTGCTACGAAAAAATAAAAAAAGAAATTAATCTTTTCCGTTGTTTGTTATTTTCTCGTTGTTGCTAAAATAAATTAATAAAATAAATATTATACTATATCTCAGGCACATATCATAGTCAATAAATTGATACATTTATAGAAAATAAAGATAGTCCTCATGTCTATCGTTTCTTTTTCTGGATTGGTTTGATGAAGACAGTAAATGGAAGAGCGTATATGTTTTAATCGTATTAAGATACGCGTATAGTTTGAAGAGAAATTCAATTAGTCTGAACAATTTGGATTCAATATGCGCTTGTTATTAGAAACAGCTGATTCCATGGGTTGTAGTTGATATATTGAGATATGAAAAATTAATAGAATTGAAATAATCAATGCCATCAGTTCAGTGAGTAAAGTCAACGCAATCGGTGCCTACATTCATGATTCTTCTCTGATTAGATGAACTTAGTTTATTATACTAATTTATTCTAATTAAATTCAGATGACTTCAAACAAATATCCGCAATTTAAGTGATGTTGATTCTAATAATGCTTCAGATTGCACAATGTTTCTAAAAATGTATTACAATGATTTTCATTGATTTCAAGTAAATACGAGTGATTATCGATGATTCTGAATAAGTCTCATAAAATGAAAAAATATTTAAAGTGACTTCATTAACCCTTTCGGGGCCGGTGGCACTTTAAAGTGTCATTGAGATTTCACATGGTGTTAAGTGTAAGAATTCGAGCTTTTTTCGCTTCTCTTCGAAGTGAATGTTGTTTTAAACGTTTGTGTTATGATCGGTATATTCTTTTTTGTTATTCTCATTTATGCTTTGTGGATTTTCCCATTCAGTCCTATGTGTAATATGTGTTGGACTTTTCCTTTCCCTCTGCTTCTCTTTCTTTCAACTACTCTTATGGGTTTTTTCTTCCTGTTCGTCATCCATGAAATCTTTCCAGCTAATGAATTTTCGTCTCCTATTATTACCCTATGTAGAGTCCTCAAATCATTATAAAGAGAGATTGCCAAAAAAAAAATAAAGTCAGGTGCATTCAGAGTTCACAGTTCGTGCTTCATCAATTTCATTCTACATAAGATAACTTCAAGAAAAAGAACGTTCAATCAAATGAAAATCAACAAAATTTTGAACGACTTGAATCTGTCCTCAATTTGTAAGTTTAATTATTTCTCAAAATAAGCCGATCCTCAAAGGATTAGACAATAATTCAGAGTAATCAATAAACAATAGTTATCATCTAATGGCTCTTCATCTTTGTTTGGATGATATACAAAAGAAATGATATTTCATTAGATAGAGTAATAATTATCATGATTTTACTGATAGACTGACTTTATTTCTTTAGAGAAATATGACAATTAACAAATTACATTTAATTTTTTGAAAAGAAATCATGCATTATTTTGAATAAATAGTTTAACCGTTGCATGATATTACTCTGTTTAAATATTTTCTAGTTACACGCTTCTTTAGAAACACATGACGATTTAACAGATGTCACTAATTATCATAGTTTCCATGATAATACTTTTAAAAGAATGTTTTTATCGAATATATTATAAATGGAAGATTTTCATCGAAATAAAAAACTTGAAAATTTTCATTATTATATCACCAATAAAGTATACTATGTTTTATAAATGGCAGTTTTTAACCAATGAAATATTTCATCGATCACTGATACATCACAACAGAACAACAAATAAAATAGACTGAAACAAATGTATATATGTATATTTATTCATACATAGATGAATATTTATTTTACATTAATTCATTTTATTAACACTTTGTTTTTTTTCTTCTTTGTAGATTATTGATCAAAACAGAAGGAAATTTGAGAATGAGTTCAGCATCACGTGAAGAAGAAGCTCAAAAAGTATATTTATATATATATATTTAAAAATATATTTTCCTATCTAATTATTCATTCAAATTAGTTATTAGGTCAATTACAAATGAAAATGATTGATATTCAAACATCATTGAAAAAATCAACAGGACAAATTGAAGGACTTAAACGTGAAATTCAACGCTCAAAATTAACTGATAAAGAAATTAATACACTTAAACCTGAAACACCAATGTTTAGTTCAGTTGGTCGAATGTATAGTATCTATTTTTCTTTTTTTACAGAATAAAATCTTCAAAATATATTTTAGGTTTGTATTAAATACAAAAGCTGAAGTTCGTGAACAAATTGAAAAGAAAATCAAAACATGTGAGGATGATATTAAAAAACAAGAAGTATGAAAATAAAATATGTTATGCGAAAAAAAAAGAAATCTTATTATTGTTATTTTTTTTAGGGAACGAAAACATACTTGGAAAAACAAATGCGAGAATGTGAAACACAATTTAAAGAAAGACTTGGAGGAGGAGCAGCAGGAGGAAAAAAATCACGTTCTTAAATTGTTTGTTTCTTTGTTTTCTTTTTTCATTACATTCATTTAGTATGTTTCATTTTTAATTTTAATGACGTTTTTCGTTTGATTTCTAGATAATGTCAACTGAAACATCTGACAACAATAAAAAATTAAGGTTGTTCTATAGTCTTATTTAAAATTAATAATATAAATATTTAATTATAGTGATGGAACTATTTTTGGAATTGGAAATCCATTACTTGATATTATTGCTGAAGTTCCGGTATCGTTTCTTGAAGGGTATGTTAAAAATACTAATTGTAGAAACCGGAAATCTATTCTATGTGTCGAAGTTAGTTCAAGACATTACCGTCTGATACAGATGTATGATTAAGGTTGAGCCATGTCAAATGTATATATTTGATATAGTAGAACTTATTAAAAGCCTATAGATACATATGCTAATTAAATCGATTCTAATCATTAGAACAGTATTCATACTAGATTTGCGATACTTACTACCATTGATTTTATGTATGCAAAATAGAAAGACTAGAATCGTGAGTCCCATACGGGCGAGATTTTGTTAATAGAAAAATATGACGAAATACTTTCATTGGGAAATCTTCAGATTATTTGATCGTATACAAAATATGCTGTTAGATATAATAAATACTACTGTCTATTATTGATATAAATAGATAAAGATTAGAAATCCTTCTGTTTGATATTTTCCTATTGAAGATGACATATAACATTTAATCTTTTGTTTTTCTTTGCATTTCGTAATGTATTAACCATTAGTAAAGAACTATTGATCGATTTTATTTATCTAGAAAATCTGAAATTTTCTTTCTATTTAGATATAAATTAAATGCTAATGATGCAATTTTAGCAAGTGATGATCATAAAGGATTGTAAGTTTTTATTTCTGACTTCAATATATAGACATATATAATATTTATTGTAAAATCTATAGAAACGAAAGTTTACTTCGTGATTTTCCAAATCATCAATTTGTTGCTGGAGGAGCAACACAAAATTCAATACGAGCTGCAACAGTAAATCATCTTTGCTTGTTTTTGTTTTTTTTCATCTAAATTATTTCTTTCTTCTAGTGGTTATTACAACAAGCAAATTCTTGTGTCTATATGGGTTGTGTAGGTCAGGATAAATATCATCAATTATTACATGATGCAGCTAGTAAAGCAGGTCTTATATTATCCTATCAAGTGCATACAGATTCAGAAGAACGAGTACAAACTGGTACATGTGCTGTTCTTATTACTGGCAATAATCGGTTTGTAATACAATAATTAATAAATAATAATTCATTTTTATTTTTAGATCATTAGTAGCAAATCTAGGTGCTGCAAATCATTTTACAATTGAACATTTAGATGATCCAAAAAATAAACAATTAATTGAAAAAGCTAAAATATTTTATACAGCTGTAAATATTTTTAATTAGAAATATAATATTAAACTAAATAATTTAATTTAATTTAGGGATTCTTTTATACCGTATGTCCACCTGCTATTATGCGTATATGTGAACATGCTGATACACATAATAAAATATTTTGTACTAATTTATCAGCACCATTTATATGTGAATATTTTGGTGATAAATTAATGAAAGCTATGCCATATGTTGATTATTTATTTGGAAATGAAACTGTTCGTTAATTTTTGTTCTATTTTGAATTAAAGAATTTAATTTTTTTTCAGGAAGCAAGAAGTTTCGGTAAACATCAATTAAAATTAGATGTAAGTGTAAAAATTATTACAAATTATACGAATTTTTTGTTTCATCAATAATTAGACTGAAGAAATCAAAGTCATAGCTAAAGCAATAAGTGATCTTCCAAAAAAGAACTCTCAACGTCCACGTGTTGTCGTTATTACACAAGGATCTGAACCAACTGTACTAGCTATTAGTATGTTATTTATACTTAGAATTCCATTCATAATTAATAAATTTTTATATTTAGCTGGTCAAGAGCCAAAAGAATTTCCGGTTAAAAAACCATTAGATATTGTCGATACAAATGGTGCTGGTGATTCATTTGTCGGAGGTATGAAATAAAATCATCCTTTCACAACTCAGATTTGAGAGTTAATGCTCGAGGAAATAATTGAACACGCGATTACAAAAATTCTAACTTAGATTTTTCTCTCACACCCTACTAATTAAGAATTTCTTCGCTCAGATTAACAATAAGAAGGTTATTTCATAACAAAAAAAAATTAGATAATATGTATTCACAGTTACTCATTCATCTATTTTGTTTATTTTAGGATTTCTTGCTTATCTAGCTCTCGGCAAGAGTCATGAAGAATCAATTCAAGCTGGTGCTTATTGTGCATTTGAATGTATTCAACAATCGGGTTGTACATTTCCTGATAAACCAAGTTTTGATCCAACTACATTTGTTGTTTAAAAAACAATGCTCATAAAATAAAAAGATAGTTTTAGAACAAAAAGAACTTTCATTAAAATGATAGAAAAAGAAGAATATTTTTTTTTGTAGTGTTAAACTAAAACCGATTTATAAAATTTGTTTTAGATTATTTTTTTGAATAGAGAAATATTTCAATATGTTGAATATTAAACTAAAAAAATAGAATAATATGGAAAATACTACTACTACTACCACTACTAACAATAATAATAATAATAGTAATAATCGAACAATTGGTAATGTAAATTCGTCTTCCACAACAACAACAAATTCAGCTACAACATCATCGAATTCAACATCAACTATTCGACAAAGTCATAAACGTACTTTTTCCGAATCAGATTCATCATCACGTACTGAACGACATTTATGTTCTTTTTCTCATTTATGGATTATTAAGTAAGATCATAATTTTTTTTTCATGAATATATAATGAAGATAAGAAAAGAAGTAATTTTACATTAAGAAGATTTACTTGTATAGTTTGAGACAATCGTTTAAATATAACTATTACCCGATAAGACGATTATAATATTTGATTGTAAAAGTCATTTTTTTCTTGTAGTTATCTATCATCATATATTGATGATTCAAATTCAACGTGTCTTCAATCAGAAACATTTTCACCTGTTAATACTCCTTATTCAAATACTCGATGGAGTCTAAAATTATATCCACGTGGTTTAAATGAAAAACAACATACAAATAATAATATTGCAATATTTCTCAAATATGTCAGTGGTACAATGCCAACAATTAAAGCCAAAGCTGAATTTAGTGTTGTTAGTCGAAATAATGAACTTGTTATGTTACGTTCAACAAATTTTCATACATTTTCTTCAGGAAATGATTGGGGTTATTCAGGTAAGATTGACACTTGTTTTTTTTTGAGTAATTAAAAATGAAATTTTCGTTTTTCGCTTTAGAATTTCTTGATGGAAATTATTTAAATTCTCGTCGTAATGATCTTTTAACCGATGATCGTCTTCGTGTTTATGTTCGTGTAATATTAGTTGATGAAAAAGAAAGTACAACTGGTGATTTATTTCATCCCTCTCATAATCATAATCATCATCATCACCATCACCATCATCCACCACCCATTTTACCTCCTCCGCCACCTCAACAAACAAATTCTGTTATAAAAAATCAAGCATCAACTTCATCATCATCTGCATCATCATCATCTACACCATCTGTAATAAATTCGAATCCATCAACTACACCATCACCACCAACAACTGTTGTATCTGGTTTATTCATCGATGATAAAGAACGTTTTAAATCATTAGAACTTTTATCCAATCAAATTAAAATACTTCTCGATGACGAACGTTTTACTGATGTAAATATTCATGTTATATCAAAACAACAACGACATCAACAACAACTGCAAGAAAATAAAAATGATGATAATCGAAAATCTCCGCGAGTTCGACGAACTTCTACCAAACAACATCCATCATGTTCTTCATGTCATTGTAGATCCCAGAAATTAAAACTAAATTTAAAAAATAATGAACAAATATTTGATCAACATGAACAATCATCATCAGGTAAATATTATAAATTCTATGTTTATAAAAATTCTCTTTATATTTCTAGTTATTTCCAAAGATTGCGAGTCAAATAATAATAATTCAATCGAGTCTCGGTCATGTCAACTTTCGTTAACACGTCGAGCAACTCGTTCAACAACATCTTTGCTTTCACGTATTGCTCAAAGTTCATCTGAAATTAATCATTCTTCTTCTTCTTCCGATTGCTCTACATCATCTTCCGATACTTGTTCATCGTCTTCCATATTATCATCAACAAGTATCAAACGTTGTATATGTCATGATCAAGAAATAAATTCAGATATTCAACAATCTTCTATAAAATATTCTAATATAACACCATTAGCTACATTTCATGCACATAAAGCTATATTAATATCTCGTTCATCATCATTTGCTAATCAAATGCGTTCGAATAATTCCAATAATTTCAGTCATAATTTAAAATTACCTCCAATGGATTTATATATTGATGATCTTGACCCATCAACTGTTCGTGCTATGTTAATTTATATCTATACAGGTCATTTACCAACAACAAATGATGAAATATATAATAATTTAAATGCAATTGATTTATTTCGTGCTGCTGTTAAATATGATTTAAATGAACTACGTGATTTAACAAAAACAACAATGTTAGATGTATTAAAAATTGATAATGCTATTGAAATGCTTGAAGTTAGTGATCAAGCAAATGATGCATTACTTAAACAACAGATATTAGCATTTATACGTTCGAATGCTTTAGCTATATCGAAAACAACAAATTGGTTAAATTTTACAAAACATAATCCACATTTAATAATTGATGCATTTCGTTCACTTGTTACACCAACAATAACAAAACATAATAATTTAAATCATCATCATCATTCAACGTCATTAACAACGACAAGTAAATATCCGAAATATGATTGATCAATTCAATTAATAGAAGAAAAAAAAATCTCTTTTCTGTTTATTTTGTTTCTTTTTTTTGCTGTACAGTTAAACTGGTTATATAACAAAAAATATGTTGTCTTGTTCGTATCGTTGTTTATTGGTTTTTTTTTGTTTTGCTTGTTTTCTTCGATCTTTATCGCGTTTTGTTTTTGTTTTTTTTCTCGCTCGCTCTCTCGTCATGATATATCTATTTGAACAAAATAAAAACTATATAAAAAGGATTTTACATATATGATATTAAATATGTTTTCTTTTGATTTTAGATAATTTGCAATACTTAATCATTTATTTTAGATGATTTTTATCAGGTTTATGATAATGATAGCAAATGAATCATTCTTTTTTCTTTAGAGAGGAAAAGTACAAATGATTCATTTATTTACTCAGTGTATTGCTAATATATAATACACATAGATATATGTAAGAAATAATAGTACGTTGCTCTTTTTTTTGTGAATTAATAAATTCAAATTTTCTTTTATCATTGAACCGAAGTAAGATTAATATTGATTTTGATATTAAGTGACAAATAAGCAATATTTATTAATGTAAAAGTATCTTAAATTTCGATTCTTTCGTAATATATTGGGAAAGATCAATATTATACATTCCTTGAATTGTCATATTTAGCCAAACGGAAGTAATATATCATCACTCCTGACATATATTGTATAGTACTACTAGTAGTGTCATCTGTCACGAGCATTTGTTTGTTCGGCAAATAAACGTATCCTCTCACTTAAATTGTGTGTTTTTTTTGTTCTGCTTTTTCATCTACTCAGATCAGCTGACGACAAACACCACCTTGACAACAAATACGTCTTTCTTTCTGGTTTAAATCCTTTAATATATTCATTTTATCTTTTCAAAGATAAACTACTTGTTTATTGATTAAAAAACTTTAACTATAAATTTATTTATTTATTTTAGATGCTTTTTACCATAATTAATTTTCGAACAACATCTGCTTCATAGTTCTCATATTGATTAATTATATATATCTATATCTTTTTCTTTTCTCTCCTTCTATTCCATTTAAAATAAATAAATAAATAAAATAATTATGGAAATGACGACGACGACGACGACATCAAACTCAGGCAATGAAGAACATTCACCTATGCTCACATCATCATCTCCATCATCAGATTGTTTAGTAACATATACAAATAGTCATTCAAATAAATTTTCCACACCTGATTATGAACAAACAAAAGATCGTTTTTTAACAACATTTTCCACATGGGATGATCGAGAACAATTAATGTTTGTTGAAAATCTTCTTACACATATGCATAGTCATCAACATGGACAGATCAATGCATTTCTACTACCTATGTTACAAAGAGATTTTGTTGGACAATTAGCAGCACGTGGACTTGAACATATAGCTGAAAAAATTCTTGGATGTTTAGATGATCAATCACTAATATCAACGGAACTTGTTTGTCGTGAATGGTATCATGTTATATCAGCAGGTATAATAATATTTACATTACAAAACTATTTCTTTTCATTGTGTATCGTTTAAATTGACCATTTAAGACTAACGTAAAGAAATATATGGAAAACTTCTTTTTTTCCATGTTTTTTCTTTCTTACAAAGACCAACTTCCATCATCTACTAACACATTCCCTATGGAAATGAGTATATTTTTAGTTAAGATAACAAATGTTCAACTATTTCTCGAGTGTTTTCATGCCGCTTCACTAGTCACATAGTAAAAGAAATAATTAAATAACTATCAACTTCATATTGAATTAAAAAACGAAATCGATAAGAACAAAATTTGTTATTTCTCTTGATTCTATTAAGTAAATGTTTATGTTTAGGAATGTTATGGAAGAAATTAATTGAACGTAAAGTTCAATCTGATTCACTTTGGAATGGTCTTGCTAATCGTCGTGGATGGACTAAATATCTATTTCGTCAAATATTAACATCAAGTGAAATACAAAAAACTCATGAATTTTATCGTCAATTATATCCAAAAATAATTCATGATATTGAACAAATTGAAACGAATTGGCGTACGGGAAATTTTCGTATAGAAAAAATTCAATGTCGATCACAAAATAGCAAAGGTGTTTATTGTTTACAATATGATGATGAAAAAATAATTAGTGGTTTACGTGATAATACAATTAAAATATGGGATAGAAAAACTCTTGAATGTACAAAAGTTTTAACTGGTCATAATGGAAGTGTTTTATGTTTACAATATGATGAAAAAGTTATTGTTACCGGTTCCTCTGATTCAACAGTACGTGTATGGAACGTTAAAACAGGAGAATTAATTAATACATTATTACATCATTGTGAAGCTGTTTTACATCTTCGATTTTTTAATGGTACTATGGTAACATGTTCAAAAGATCGTTCAATAGCTGTATGGCAAATGAATTCACCAACAGATATAACTATTCGACGTGTACTTGTTGGACATCGTGCAGCTGTTAATGTTGTAGATTTTGATGAAAAATATATTGTTAGTGCAAGTGGAGATCGAACAATTAAAGTTTGGGTTAGTTTTTCGAATAATTTCATTTTTATCAAATTAATTCTTTTCTTTTGTTTATTAAATAGGATACAACAACATGTGAATTTGTACGAACATTACTTGGACATAAACGTGGTATTGCTTGTTTACAATATCGTGATAAAATTGTTGTTAGTGGATCATCAGATAATACAATTCGTATATGGGATATTGAATGTGGTGCATGTCTACGTATACTTGAAGGACATGATGAACTTGTACGTTGCATTCGTTTTGATTCAAAACGAATTGTTTCTGGCGCTTATGATGGTATGGAGAAAATCAAAAAAAAAGCACATATGATTTACTTAATTATTTTCTTTTTTTTTACTAATAGGTAAAATTAAAGTTTGGGATTTAGTAGCTGCACTTGATCCACGTTCTCAATCATCTCTATGTATTCGTACATTAACAGAACATACAGGACGAGTATTTCGTCTACAATTTGATGAATTTCAAATTGTATCAAGTTCACATGATGATACTATACTTTGTTTCAATTTTCTTAATGAATCAACTTCACCACCACCACCACCAACAACAACAGACAATTCAGCAACATCGATGAATAGTACATCATAATATTCAATGAAAATTATTTTTTACTATCATCTCATATTTCTTTCGGCTTTGTCTTTTATTTAATTATGTAGTTCTTTCTTCACATGTGTCTACGTGTATATTGATCTTGTCTTGTTCTTTCTTGTTCCTTTCTTCTTTTCTTTTCTTTTCTGTGCGTTAAGTTGTCCTATTTTAAACTGTGCAGTGTCTAATTTCATTTTTCGTTTCCTGTGGAGTGAAAATAATTTGCCTCCGCTGCGATATGTACATTGTACTCTAGCTAAAACAAGATAATAAAATAGACAACAGGCCTGCTAACAGCAATTCGGGACAATGTACCCTTTTTTTCCTCAATTCTATAGAAATATGATATTAAGGTAAAATTAATTGAGTGTATATATATATGTCAGTACGCATATTTTCAATCTATACAATTCATTTATTAAGAGTCAATTTGAATTAGTTATTACATGCTTTTGATAATATTATAAACACAATAACATTGTCGAGTGTTACGTAAGTAGTTCATGGTCGATACTATATATAGATGTGCGTCGTAGAAGTAGAATGGCAACAGCAACTGATACTATCATTATGACACAATCAACAAACTAATAACATTGGAATCAGTAGAAAACTATGTTTGTATCTAAATTCTCAGAATTTGTTTTGTTCTGATACAGATCGAAACATTCTTTTCATTCTCGAAAAACAAAGTTATTCTGACGCAAAAAGAAAACAAAAAACAATTATTTATTAATACAACAAATATAAGATTACAAAAAAATATTTAGGTAAGTAAGTGCATTTTCTTCACGCGAGACACCTATTCATCATCATTTCCTGGATGTACAAGCATATTAATTCATGCTCTCCATGTGCATTTACATGTTTAATAATAGTCTATGTTAAATATATACGCATTTTTAAGAAGGTAAAAGAGTAGAAACATTTTAATTATATAAAGATATATTTGATCAATATAATTCGTTTTCTATGTAAATATGTCACTTTAGAAACAATCTATCATGATCATCAAAAACTAGTATCTATGGTCGATTAGTTGTTAAAGAAAGAGAAAAAAGAAAGATTGATGGAGTTAGTAATAAATCTCAACATATTTTTGTTTTCTTTTTGGAATTTTTCGATCTAAAAATTAATCAATAATAAGAATTTAGAGTGACATCTTAAATTCTATAATCTAATATAAGATATTTTAATAGTATAGAGAAAAAACAACAAAACATTCTTTTATTTTTATATCTAAAATAGATAGACAGATACGTGCTTGTAGAATTGCCTTTCGAATCTGTTTTTTTTCTCAATTTATTCATTGTTAGCATGAAAAGAATGTTAATAATGGAATAATATTGAAAACTAAATTGAAATAATGATCAATTCATTAACATATTCTTTTGTATAAACTATTGAATATGATTAGATTAATACAATCTTTCACAAAAATATTATATAATCATGCTAATATATCTGTTTTACATATTCCTTGAAGTTCTATCTTTTTTTTATCTCTATTTTGTACGATTTATCTATCAAGGACATATACGTAACTCTTTTGTTATCTAACAATCGATTGCTTAAAAAAAACTTTTTTCCTCTACTAATTTGTTAGAGAAAACGTGCCTAAGAATGAAATATTATTATCCTGAGTCAACTTAGTATTACTTTTTTTCTAAAATTAAACTAATAAGATTAATATTTCAAAATCTTTTTTCTTCCTACATATCATATCTTATAATGAATCTCTATATTATTCTTTGAAGTTCAGACTAAAGCTAGTGACAAAATAGAGTATTAATATGTAGAAAATGACATATTCCTATTTTCCATATTCTATATTGATCAACAAGTTCTAAAAGCTCTTCTATACGCTATTTTTATCAACATACACAATATAGAGCTTATAACATAATTATACTTATGGTAATGAATTTTTTCTTTTTTTTTTTTTTTGACTATTATTTCTTTCTATTTCATTTACTCAATTAACGTTAATCGATAAGAAAGAAAGACAAACTAGATAAGCAGTTTTTCTTATGATAATTTGTTTGTAATTCTTTTATTTCAATATGATATCATTTTTTTGTAATAATAGTCATAAAATATGTTAAGTTTGAGAATTCTGATTGAATTGTTGATAACATGACAGTCTTTAACGACAAGTCAAGGATCTAGTATTAATAATGATGAATAAGTATACGAAAAACTTCTTTCTTCTTTTTTTCCATTCTTTCATGACAGCTTTTCCTGATTGCCTGAAGGACAATAATGTAGGGGAAAAGAAAGAAATGTCATAGCTTCTTAAAAAAAAAAGAAGACTTTTGTTTGAAATTTTAGATTATCTCTTTCTTCTTTTAGATCATCTTCGTGATACAATCATATTCATACTATTGAAATGATATACGTTTGTCAATAATCGAAAGACAAGATTCTCAATCTATATTTCTGCCTTTGTTTTCTTGTCAATTATCATCATCAAAAAAAAAAAAGAAGAAAAGAAAGATAGGCATATAAGACACAACACGACACGCCACTATTTGATATCTTTCTTTTTTTATTATTATTATTTCCGCCCATTATAAATGTTGTGGAACATTACACAACTGTCATATAACAAGGTCTTTTCTACTAGTCCATTATAAATCATGACAACTAATTCGACACCTCTAGTAAGTTGAAATAAGAGAATATTCGATATTTTTTCAATCGATTCTCTGTTTATTTTTAGGTTACTGTAGGTTACATGATAAATGAAACAACGCAGGTATCAAAAACGTCACATTATTTATTTATTATTCATTATTTAAGTATTTATGCTCTTGTACTTATTATAATTGGTACAGTGGGAAATCTTTTAACAATAATTGTATTATTAAGACGTCATCTTCGACGTTTTGTAACTGTACGTTGGTTAATTGCAGTTAGTATATGTGATATAATATCATTATATGGTTGGAATTTAAATAATTTCTATAAATTTAATGTTAGTTCACGAAATAGTAATATTGAAGATATATCACTTTTTCATTGTCGATTTATATCCTATATGACATTTGTTGCTTTACAATTATCTAGTTGGTGTCTTACAGCTGTCAGTCTAGGTATATAAATATACATACAATAAGGAAAATTTTATTTTTATTTTTTGTTCATATATATATATAGATCGTGCTCTTAATCTTTATTGGCCTCAATGGAAACGATTATATGGTCGAATAAGATATACAAAATATTATATTATGTTTTTAACAACAATTTGTCTTGCATTAAATAGTCATATATTATTTTTAAATGGTTATCGTACATCAACTGGTATTATCACATGTTATTCAACTCGTTCAAATCCAGATTATATTTATCCACAATGGGAACGTGTTCATTTAGTTCTTTATAATCTATGTCCATTTGCTATTATGTTAATATGTAATACCTATATTATATTTGTTACAGTAAGATCAAGTCGAACACAACAAACTGAATTAACACCAGCAAAACTTCAACGAAAAAGTCTTGAAAGATATCGACAATTTACTGCCTTACTTATTATTGTAACATTTGCATTCGTTCTATTAACTTTACCAGCATGTATATATTTTGTATTTTTTCGTAATTATTTCGTAACCAAAGCACATCGTACTTATCGTTTTATGGTTCAAATATTTTTAAATTCAATTCAATTTACATCACATGGAATCAATTTTTTTCTCTATTGTTTTTCGGCGAAAAGTTTTCGTCATGAATTACATGGAATGTTTCGTGAATTATTAACTAGTTGTCAATGTAAATGTCGTTTATCATTGAAAGATAATAGACAACATGATCATATACGACAATATATTAATAATAATAATAATAATATTGAACCAATTATACAACATCAACAATTACTCTATAATCGAGATATGCAAATGAATCGTTATAAATTTAATTTTTTTCCAGAATTTAAATCAACCAGTGACAAAAATCCGAACTGGGTCTAAGAATGAGAAAATATCCATTGTATAAGTAAATTTTTCATGAATATATATATTGAATAAAGTCTGATTTTAAATCTTTTTTTTTTAAATAAATTTTCATTAAATACAGAAATATTTCGATTGTTATTGTTATCTATTTTTATTAACTTATAAGTGTTGATAAGTTTTTAAGTCTGGTGAATGAGACAAATATCATGTCTCGACGTATATTACGCACTTATATACGTCTGGATAGTAGTATTATCATTATATTTATATTATTGTTTCTCAGGGTTATTTATCTTTAATTATAAATATGTCAGAGACGATACATTAAAAGAATATATATATATATTTAGTATGTTATAGTAACTTGGTAAAAGGTTTAGCAAATACAAAAATTAGAACGATAGGAAATGCATTAAATTAGATATTATATGTAAGTATTATCGTACTTTTTCGTGATAGTTTGTCAGATAAAAAGATTAACAAATCGATAACTATTTATTATGTTTGTTACGTTTTTTCTATATATAGAACATACAGAAAAGAATGTCAGATTCTTAAATCTTATTCTTTTAAGATTAGTTTAATTTCATTATTCATGCGCATTTTTAATAGAACAGATATATATGTTGTTGTTGTTTAAAGATTTCTGAACGTTCTCTTGTCATACGTCACAAAAGAAAACAAATGAAGATTGTAGAATCTTTAGACTGGAATGACCTGCTCTCGATTTATTTTTTTATGAAAATTACGATTCAAGAATTATCACTATCAGAAAATTATTGAAGTAAATACACAATGCGCAATTTCATTAAAAAATATTCATTCGTTATTCGAAATAGTTAGAATTCTATTCCGTTAAGTTAAAAGTATGTCCGTGTCGATGCCATCGATTACTAACTCCATCTGCGACAGATCCTGATTTCAGTCATTCTCAGCAGCAGTTGAAACCATAACTAAGCAAGAAATCTTATTGGCTCCTAAGAGATTGTGAATTACCAAATCCATCAGACGTGGACAGGCTTTCTTTCTTTTTTTTTGTTGGCATGTTTACGTGTGCTATTTTTGAATCATATATATAACTATTTTATTAGAATTCTTTATTTCTTTTATCAATTTAGAACATCTTCTTCTACCATTAAAACATGGTAAAAATATTTCAAAGATCTTTATTATCAAACTAATAAATTAACTTTTTTTTTAGCCTTTGCGTCTTGATGTTAAGCGCAAATTATCAGTTCGATCAGATCGTGTCAAATGTGTTGATATTCATCCAAATGAACCATGGATTTTAGTAACATTATTTAATGGTCATGCTCATATTTATAATTATGATACTCAAGTATATTTTTGAATTATTATTTTATCTAAATTAATTTTATACTCATTTTTCTAGCAATTAATTAAAACTTTTGAAGTATGTGATGTTCCAGTTCGTGCTGGTAAATTTGTTGTTCGAAAAAATTGGGCAATCACTGCATCTGTAAGATTTATTTTACTTATCTATCAAAATTAAATTTTATCTTAACAATCTATTCTAGGATGATATGTTTATACGTGTTTATAATTATAATACTCTTGAACGTTTACATCAGTTTGAAGCACATAATGATTATATACGTTCAGTTGCTATTCATCCAACACAATCCTATATATTAACTAGTAGTGGTTTGTATTATCTAAAATATATTCTATTGATTTTATTCAAATGATTATTATTATTATTTAGATGATATGACAATTAAATTATGGGATTGGGATGCTAAATGGGCATTAAAACAAACATTTGAAGGTCATATACATTATGTTATGCAAATAGCTTTTAATCCAAAAGATAATAATACATTTGCATCAGCATCACTTGATCGTACTGTTAAAGTAAATTAATTTTAAATCTTCTATATCTTTTATTTTTTGAAAAAATATCTTTAGGTATGGCAATTAGGATCAACTGCACCAAATTTTACTTTAGAAGGTCATGAAAAAGGTGTTAATTGTGTGGATTATTATTCCGGTAGTGATAAACCATATCTTGTCTCTGGTGGTGATGATCGTCTTGTGAAAATTTGGGATTATCAAGTAATTTTATTATTAAAGGAAAATAAAGAATTTATTTTTCTTATATAGAATAAAACATGTGTACAAACATTAGAAGGACATGCACAAAATGTTGGTTGTGTTGCATTTCATCCTGAATTACCTATTATATTAAGTGGATCAGAAGATGGTACTGTTAAATTATGGCATTCAAATACATATCGTCTTGAATCAACACTTAATTATGGTTTGGAAAGATGTTGGGCTATATCATGTTTAAAAGGATCAAATAATGTTGCACTTGGTTATGATGAAGGTTCAATGATGATTAAAGTAAATCAATTTTTAAAATAAAAACTAAATACTAGGAAAATTGTTTGTTTAGTTGGGTCGAGAAGAACCAGCAATGTCTATGGATGCTTCAACTGGTAAAATCGTTTGGGCTAAACATTGTGAAATTCAACAAGTTAATTTAAAACAATTAAGCAGTGATCAACAATTAAAAGATGGAGAAAAAGTTCCACTAACTGTAAAAGAATTAGGTAGTTGTGAAATATATCCTCAAACATTATCACATTCACCAAATGGACGGTAACAACAACAAAAAAAAAAGAAAGAATTAAGAAATTTTTCTAATTTTGATTCTTATTTAGATTTGTTGTTGTTTGTGGTGATGGTGAATATATACTTTATACAGCAATAACATTAAGAAATAAAAGTTATGGAAATGCTATGGAATTTGTTTGGTCACAAGATTCATCCGAATATGCTGTACGAGATGGAAATATGATGAAAATTTTTAAGAATTTTAAAGAAAAAAAAACTTTTAAACCAGAAGCTGGTGCTGAAGGAATCTTTGGTGGATCACTTTTAGGTGTTCGATCATATTCAGGTTTAACTTTCTATGATTGGGAAACAACAAGTTTAATTCGTCGAATTGAAATTATGCCAAAATCCGTATGTTTATCCTAATATGTAGGTTATTTTAAATGTTTTTATATAGATTAATTGGAGTCAAAATGGTGAATTAGTTTGTATTGCAACAGAAGAATCATATTATGTTCTTCGATATCGTCCTGAAGCAGTAACGAATGCAATTTCCAATAAAGATCTTATCACTGAAGATGGTATTGAAGATGCATTTGATGTAAATTTTCTTTAATTTATTATTGAGAATACATCTTTTTCTTCTTCTTTTCCTAGGCTCTCAGTGAAATCCCTGAAACTATAAAAACAGGTATATGGGTGGGTGATTGTTTTATATATACAAATTCTCTTAATCGAATTAATTATTATGTTGGTGGTGAAATTGTTACTATTTCACATTTAGACAGGTAATAAACCGTTTCTTCCAGTTTTGATATTCAATTAATATTCTTCATTCTATTTAGAGTTATGTATCTATTAGGTTATGTATCCAATGAAAATCGTTTATATTTGGGTGATAAAGAAATGTCGATTGTATCTTTTGAATTATCTTTATCAGTACTTGAATATCAAACAGCTGTTATGCGTAAAGATTTTGAAACAGCTGATCGAGTTCTTCCAACAGTTCCTAAAGAACAACGTACACGTGTTGCACATTTTCTTGAAAAACAAGTTAGTACAAGTCTTATTGCTCATTGAATAATCAATATAAAATTATTTATATTTAGGGTTATCGCCAACAAGCATTAAGTGTCACATTAGATCATGAACATAAATTTGATTTAGCACTTCAATTAGGAAATTTACAAGTTTGTTATGAACTTGCAATTGAATTAGAAAATGAACAAAAATGGTTACAATTATCTGATGTTGCTACAAAACAAGGAGATTTTAAATTAGTACAAGAATGTTTAACACGTGCACAATCATTTGGTTCATTAATACTTTTAGCAAGTGCATCAAGTGATAAACAATTGATGGCAACAATTGGAGATAAATCAAGAAAATCAGGACAATTCAATATAGCTTTTCTATCCAATTTTGTCTTAGGAAAATTAGATGAATGTTTAAATATTCTTATTGAAAATCAACGTTTACCTGAAGCAGCATTTTTTGCTCGTACATATTTACCGTCACAAATAAATCATGTTGTAGGTTTATGGAGAGAAAAATTAAAACAAATGAATATGGAACGTGCAGCACAAGCATTAGCTAATCCAACTGATTATGAAAATCTTTTTCCTGGTCTTATTGATACTTATAAAACCGAAGAATTTTTAAAACAACAAAATAAAATACAATCAGCTAGAACTTATCAAACAATCTCACCAAATTGGGAAAAAAATCCAATAGAAGAAATGAAAGAAGCAGAAGAAAATGGACAATTTTCATATATTCCAGTGCAATTAAATAGAGGAATAACAGATAATGACGATGATGATGATAATTTTGATGATGCAACTGAAACACCAATTCAATCAATAGCTAAGCCAACAACAACTGATTCATCAGTATTGAATAAATTAGTTTCAACTGTTAATCCTGATCGATCACGTTCACGTTCTCCAATGAATCATACGAATACTTCTTCTATTAAACCAACACAAACAACATCTATTAGTAGAGAAGCATCAACAACATCCAAAGCATCAAGTGTCATATCAACAACTGCAACAGCTGGTAGTGGTCGTCGAACATCAATGAGCGATCTTGAGAAAGAATTACAAGAGTTTGATATTGATATTGATACTGATGATGTAAGCAATACTGAAAATGGACCATCAGTATTCAAAGAAACTTCTAAAAATTCTCCTAATGAGAATGAGGTAAAAATACTAAAGTGTATATGTTAAATATGCGTAACACACTATTGCACGTCTACTAACTATGCATGCACATATATTCTTTTATATTTTATATTTGGAATGTACATTAATATGATAAGAATAATATTATATTTATACATAAATAATCTTCGTTTTTTCTTTATATATTTAGGATCTTCAATTTGATGATGATGATGTAGATGAATTTCTTAAAGAAACATGAGAATTCTATATATATATATTTATATTTATATGTATCAAGTTGTCTGTCATGTTCCATACATTCAAACACACTAATAACAATCTTTATCTTTTTGTAACATGTCGTCAATTCTTTTTTTCTTCTTTTTATTATTACATACATATGTTGTTGATTTGGTTATATTTTTCTTTTTTTTTTATCTTGACCCCTTTCTTTTTTGATCTGAAACAGACAACATATAAATTCATAGTGGGTCAATTTACTTTAATTCATTTCTTTTTCTCGTCTTTTTATTGTGTTTAACATGCGTCCTAATTTAAGTTTTTTTTTCTTCTTCTCTTCTGTTCATTCATTCTTGTTATTATAAGAAAAAAACAACTTGTGTGCTTGTCTGTATGCATTGACGATTTATTTGAGATGATAATTCTTTTATATATTATACGTTATTTTTAATGGGTTATTAGTGATATTTGACAAAAAAAAAAAAACCAAATTGAGATTGATGATAAAATTTTACCTATTATGATTCTGTCTGCAAATTGATAAAACAGATAACGATGTAAAAAAGTTAACATGATGGCAGAATAGTAAACTAAGACTTCAATGATCTATATACAATAATTATTCAAAAGAATGAAAATGAAAATAGTATAGTTAATTTTTAAATGAAAGTTCAGCAATTAACTATATTTAAATAAATCAACGAATACTATTTTATATGTCATAAAAATATTCTTCTTTAATATAATTCACATAGAAAATTAACATTTTATTATTACACTCTTTCGGTATCTATGCTAATATGAAAGGAAATCATAGAAATATTTCTGCGTCCATATTTCATTATTATAATGTACATTGGATCTTTATTTACAATTACCTTTCATATTTTATTATTGCGTTTTAATGCAATATAAAATAGAATGTCAATGTTATTATTCATAGTGAAAAAAATATAACGAAAAATGAAACAATCGAATGTGTTATTGATATTCTTTGTTAATATCTCTGTTGTATTCAGTTCCCATTTTCGCGGATCAATGGTTACATGGCGTGTAACAAACTCAACAACAAATCCTCTTCGTGTTGAAGTGTATCAACGTCATGCATGGAATTATGTCACGTATCCATGTACTAATGCGCTTATTACAGCTGGTAATTATATGATTGGTTCAGGATCGTTAGCATGTATGTCATCTTGTCCACCAAATGTGAGTACATTAAGTTCAGTAGCTGTTCCATGTACTGCATACAATCAAATTGAACAATATGTTAGTGGTGAAGGACGATTTACTTTTAAAGTAGCACCAAATTATCGATTTCGAGCAATATTTACTAGTAGTGCTTGGTTTGCTTTGGTAACTGGTGGAGGAGTATGGTCTATAGCTGTTGAAATTAATACTTATTTGAGATCAAATGGACAATATAATCAAGCGCCTATTGTTACTATGTTACCTGTTATTCGACTTCGTCGTAATCGTACATATTATATTAAAATAAATGTGGCCGATAATGATTTTGATCGATATACATGTATTTGGTCAAATTCCAGTGATGAATGTGGTGGTATATGTCGATCTCTACTTAGTTTACCTACTTCAACATATCTTAATGAAACAAGTTGTATTCTTCGTTTTACACCTGCTACTATTGGTTTTTATGCAGTAGCATTTACTGTACTTGATTTTGAAACGGATGCAAGTACGGTACCACTTTCACGTGTACCAATTCAATTTGTTTTTCATGTTTGGGATTCAAATATAACATGTAATCTACCTCCATTATATATTGGTGATGCACCTGCTGATCAATGTATTTTTGTTGAACCTGGTCAAGTACTTACAATGATTATTCGAATTCGAATTCAATGTCCAAATGCTACATTAGCTAATGTAATTGGTGTTTATCCAAGTGGTTTTACACAATCATCAACATTTCTGGATCCATATGATTTAACTTTGTATAATTTTCAAGTATCTTATTCAGCTAATGTAAATCAAGTTGGCCAAAATTTATTTTGTTTTGCAGGCGTTGATTCAATTGGTAATCAAGGTGATTCTACATGTCTTCGTTTTACAGTACAAATAGGTTCAGATAGTCGTAATACTCTTTATATAAACAATGCAACTCATTATCCAACTGGTCTTGTATCAAAATATCAATCCAACTGGACATTACTATATCCAACTGGGATATCGTTTACTCGACCAAGTACCGATGCTTTTATTCGTTTTAAAATGGCATCGACAAATGAAGATTTCACAACTTATAGTGTAGTAAAACAATTAGATAATGTTAATTATCTTTCGGATCGCTTGGAAATAATATCAAATGTTGTTTTTCAAGCAGGTGCACAATTTTATATTTCATTTGATCCTGGTGTATTTTTACCAATAGCAACTTGTCTACGAGATTCAATGGGAATAACAGATACTAGTTTTTGGACATTTCAAACATCATCTGAACCAAGTACAACATCAACAACAAGTACTACATCAGTAACAACAACAATAACTTTACACAATCGAACAGTAAATTCATTTTTTTTTATCATACGTCATATGAATTAATATTTTATAAAAGGTGCCAACAATAAGAACACTTGCTACAACTCTTCCTCCAACATCGACTACAAAGCAAACAACTTCTATATCTACTACTACAGCTGGTATAACTACAACAATAAAAACTATTTCTTCGGATTCTTCATTTCCTATTAGTACCGCTGTGAGTATTACTATCGGTTCATTGATATTAATAACCGTAATTACTCTCTCAACTGTTCATTTACTACGACGTAATCGAATGAGTTCGTTATCAAAATTACAGAACAACATCAGTAAAACTAATTCATCACCTGAAACCGTTCAACAATATCGATTAACAACACGTACTGCTGCTCAACTAACGAGCCAAGTAGAAAATATTGATACAACCGACATCGTAAAATTATCAACGCAAACTCATCAAAATTTAATAGATCTCAATCATAAAATATAATCTAATATTTTTTTTCGTTATTGTCTCTTCATTGGAAGAATAGTAACAATGTCATTTGCATAAGTTTTATTTATCATGTCATAAAATCTTTTTGTACTTGTGCAAAAGCTAAAGGCGCTTTAATTTTTAATAATTGTTTCATACGTGGTTGTGCTAATTGCATATGTTCTAATGTTAATTTAATATCTGTACCAAGAAATTCAATTGTATCATGAAGAATTTGTATACATTTTGTTAATTTTTTTGCAAGTTCAAATAATAATGTATATTCTTCATGTAAAATTTTTTCAAATTCATCTTTTGTTGAAAAATATGTATAAGAAATTTTTATTGAATTAAATAATTTTTCAAGTTCAAAATCTTTTTCTATTTCATTTAAACCAGATATACAATTATTTAGATTTGATTGATCATTGAGAAATGGTAAAATAAGCAAATGATTATTATCATGTAAATTTATTTCTAATGAATGAATTTTTTTCTTTGAACAACATAATTTTAACCAAGATATTTGATCTAATTCAGATATTCTTTCATTTATTTCTTGTGCATGTATTTTAGTTGATTTTAAATCAGTAATACATTCATCGATTTCACGTTGTTGCTCAATAAGATATTGAATTGATTGTATACATGATAATTTTGTTTGATAGAGTTTTTTTAAACATTCACTACATTGAAGTCGTTCTTCATCACTTAAATTCATATATTAAAAGAAAAGAAATATTAATTCGTTTTTCATCAAGCGCTTCTTTCATTGATTACATGAACTAAAATTGAATTTATCAGCTTGTAGATATCCATATATTCGACAATTCGGATAAGATGTATGCAATAGCCAACTTTCACACTATAATCTTGTTTGATATAACATTATGGTTAATAAAAGAGCAGTACATTTGAGTACATAATGCAGCCATACAAGTCTAGATAATTTCATAAGACATTCAACGAACAATATGTTTGTTTTATTTTATTTGAATAAGTTATTCTACAGTATGTAGGTGAATGCGTCGGTAAACAGCAAGTAATTTTGCTACTCTCATTATGTATAGTTTATGTTAGATCATTCAATGGAGTATATTCAACAAATAGTAAGTATTTTATTTTAGATGATCTGAAGTCATGTATTAATCGAACAGCAAGTACTTATACTTTAATCTATTTGTTTTAGTCAATCTAAATGAATGAATTTAATGAGCAGATTTTTAATTAAATTGAAGTTAACACAGTGATTATTAAAATAACTGGAATTCTATGTGATAGAAACTCTTGCTAAGTTATGATAAGCTTGAGGTGTGGGTATGGATCTTATGTTCTTCTTTTATTTGCACTTCCATCCATACCCATACTTGAGTAAACAGTTGGTTTATTTCGTTATTCATTTCTACAATTTCCCATAGATCGACAGTAGCTATAAGTTAAGCTCGATGTTTCTCACTAGTTTGGAATAGTGCTGAAAAACTCCATGATCTACGTTAATAACTTTCAATACATATCGGTTGAAGACGAATCGAATACTTTTAGAAGGTTTTGTTCGCATTCTTTTCTGAAAACTTCCTTCCACTCAATTATCTAGCTGTTTAATTAGCGTTATAAAAGAGAATACTCAAAACGCACCATGCAACTATGGATTGAACTCGCATCTGATCATAATTGATTCTTTACGGAATGCGTATATTATAACGTAAACCGAGACAACCGTGTAGACAATACATGCACATTTAATGAAGAAATATAATAGGTATAGATAAATAAAAGTAAGAATATTTAAGCGAGACAAAGCTAACACAAAGAACAAAACAGTATATTCAATAAGGACAAAGAGAAAGAAAAAAATGTGTGAAAGACCATTAAGAATTCACTGATGACATAACCGAAAGAAAACTACAAATTACAAAACATTTGCAGTGCAAAAAATAGCGAAGACAAAAGAAAACAAAAACAACAATACAGTTCAAATTAATCAGCAGATAACAAGTCATGTAACAAGTTGATTATAAAAACAGATACTATAACTATACATAAAAGAATAGTATTTTTAGAAGATATCAATTAGAAAACGTAGTATGCTTTATCTAATTTGTACATTAAAACTTTTAGAACAAAATAAATAGACATATAGTATCACCGAAGATGTCAAGCCGGCCGAGTGATTCAAATGGTGAATTAGGAGACTTTGAAACATTATCCGTTTAGTCTTCTTTAATTAAGACCCTATCTACACATATCTGTTCTACATATTCAATTATATTCAGAGCTTTATCTGCTTGAAAACTCAATTGTAGAATTTAGTCAGAGGCATCGCTCAGCCCTGCACTCTCATTATCCATTGTATCGTACTCCACTTCATCCACATGCTCAGGTGAATCTTCCATTCCATGAACTAAATAGTCCTTCATCTGTCTACCGAGCTCTCCATTCGTGAACAATATCTCAACCGGTTCGGCGCTGCCATATATCGCGACAGTATTTTCGCATACGGTCAAACCATAACCACTTCTAATAAGACTTGTTTTAATAATCGGAAGCCAAAAATATATTTCGCTATCAAAAAACGTCTTGATTAGTTTCTCTGAGCAAACATTTCTCAGAAACCACCAGCTCGATTTCTTGATCTTCTCTGAAAGCTTACAAACAGTATTAGGTTTTAGATCTGACAGACGAGAAGATCTATCTAAAATCTTTGTTATAGTCTCAGTAGCTTCGTACATTCCATATTCGTCATCACAGCATGCATCTAATAATACTCCTATCAGTTCATCGATTCCTCCTTTTTTACTAATCGATTCGAGAACTTCACAGGCAGCACGTCGGACGTCTTCATTGACATTCCTAACTGCACGCACGAGCCCCTTAATTACTTCATTGGCTCCTGTTCTTTCACCGATCTTATCGACAGCTTCACAGGTACTACTTCCGACGGAGTGCTCTACATGCAAGAGTGCACTCGCAAGTCTATTAATTACTGTCATAGTTCCCTCTTTTTTACTTATCATACCAAGCGTTTCACACGCATCCCTTCTCACGGAAACCATCACATCACCAAGTACAGTCACAAGAATACTAATTACTAGATCAGCTGCTGCTTTTCCACCCATCTTGTCAAGAGTTCTATACGTACGATGCCTGACCTCTGAGTTCTTATCTCTAAGTGCACCTACAAGTTCATCAATTACTTTAAGATCTACTGCTTTTTCACCCAGCATACCGAGAGCTTCACATGCACCCCTTCTCACACAATCCTCCACATCCCTAAGTGCACTCATTAAATCATGAATTACTATGTAGGTTGCTACTTTTTCACCCATCATACCGAGAACTGCACACGCACGACGTCTTATCTCTGAATCCTTATCTCTAAGTGCACTTACGAGTCCATTAATTATTTCAGGGTTTGCCACTTTTCGATCCGTCAAACCGAGGGCTTCACACGCACTCCTTCTTACAAAATCTTCCGCGCCACAGAGTGCACTCACGAAACTATGAGTTACTATGTCGGTTCCTGCGTTTTCACTTATCTTACCAAGAGCTATACAAGCTTGATGTCTGACCCTTGGATCCTCATCTCCAACCGCATTTACGAGTCCATTAATTACTTCAAGATTTACTGCTTTCTCGCCCATCATACCGAGAGCTTCACATGCGCCGCTTCTCACACAACACTCCACATCGCCAAGTGCACTCATGAGACCGTTAACTACTTGATCGGTTGCAGCTTTTTCACCCATCTTACTAAGAGCTCCACACGCATGACGTCTGATCTCTGAATTATTATCTTTAAGTGCACTTACGATTCCATTAATTATTTTAGGGTTTGCTACTTTCCGACCCGTCATCCCGAGAGCTTCACATGCATCCCTTCTCACACAATACTCCACATCGCCAAGTGCACTCATGAGACCATTAACTACTTGGCCCGTTGCTGCCTTTTCACCAATCTTGCCAAGGGCTATACATGCTTGATGTCTAATCTTCGGATCTCTATCTTCGATTGCACTTATGAGTGCATTAATTACTTCTAGGTCTGCTGCTTTTTCACCCATCATACCCAGAGCTTCACACGCACCACTTCTCACGCAATAGTTCCTATTGCTAAGTGCACTCACGAGACCATTAGTTACTACATTTGTTGCTGCATTTTTACCCATCTTACTGAGTGCTTCACACGCACTATCGATCACGGAAAACTCGTCATCGGTAAAAGCAGCCATGAGTCCATCGATCACGAAACTACTGATCCCGAGATCGACTAATACTTCATCCTTTATGCCACCAAGAGCTACGCATGCTTGACGTCTGACCTCTGCATCCCGATTCGCAAGTGCATCCACGAGTCCAAGAATTACCTGAAATTTTTTTCCTTTTTCACCCGTATTATTAACAGCGTCAGATGCAGTGTCTCTCACGAGCCTGTCTGTACTCACAAGTGCACTCAAGAGTCTACGAATTATTGAGGTGTTTTTTTCCTTTTTCACCTATATTATCAAAAACAGGAGATTTGTTGGCCCCAACGAGCCTGTTTTTACCCACAAGTGCACCAAAGAGTCCACAAAGTACTACATTGGTAGCTACGTTTTTACTCATCTTACAAAGAACTGCACATGCACTGTCTTTTACGAAACTTTCGGTATGCACAACTGCACTCGCGAGGTTATTAACTACTTCATCGGTTTCTATGCTTTTAGCCTTCCCACGAAAACGTCTTTTTCTATAGAGGCCAGTCTGTAAATACTCATCTCTAAGCACACGCTCGATCTTATTAACTTTTTCAACAGTAGTTATCTTTTTACGGATGATACGGAGAACTATACACGCACTCTCTTTCACAGAACAGTTCTCATCCGCCGCTGCAATCAGAAGGTTATTAACTACTTCATCGGCTGCGACTTTTCCGCCCATCGCACCTAGAGCTACACATGCTTCATATCTAACCTGTGAAGTTTCATCTTTCAGTGCGCCTGCGAGCCCATTAATTACTTCGAGGCTCGTAGCTTTCTTACCCATCTTACGGAGAGCCTTACACGCACTGGCCCTGACGAAACTGTGCGTATCCATAAGTGCATTTGTCAGACCAATAATTACTTGATCGTTTGTTATTGTTTCCCCCATCTTGCCAAGAGTTACACATGCCTGACGTCTAACTCCTGGATCCTTATCTGTAAGTAAACTCATGATGCCTTTAACTACGTTGATGTTTACTGCTTTTTGACCTAACATACCAAGAGCTTCACACGCAGCTCTTCTTATGAAATACTCCGCATCCGCAAGTGCAATCAAAAGACTATTGATCACGAGACTGGTTGCTACTTTTTCACTCATCTCACCGAGAACTATACATGCTTGACGCCTGATCTCAGAATCCTGATTCCTAAGTGCACTCACGAGCCCATCGACCACATCAATGTTTTCTCCTGTTTTGCTCATCATACCGAGAGCTTCACGTGCATCGTCCCTCACGAGCCAGTCCGTATCCACAAGTGCACTCGAGAGCCTATACACTACGTCACTAAGACCTTCTTTTTCAGTAGTGGAACAGATATATTCATATATCGTGTTGCATATCGAGTTTTTGGTATCCATAACTGCACTCAGGAGACTATTAATTACTTCATCGATTGTTGCTGTTTCAGTCATCCAACTAAGAGTTATACATACTTGCCGTCGAACCTCTGAATCCTTATTCCTGAGTACAATCACGAGTTCATCAATTACTTCAATGTTTTTTCCTTCTCTACTCATCTTTATGAGAACTTTGGCCGCACTGTCTCTCACAGAAAGGTCCGTATCCATAAGTGTAGTCACGAGAATATTAATGACCTGATCGGTTGCTGCTTTTTCACCTATCTCTCCAAGAGCTACACATGCTTGACGCCTAACCTCGGAATCCTTATCTGTAAGTGCTTTCGCTATTCCATTAACTACTTCAATGGTTCCCACTTTTTCACCCATAATACCGAGAACTTCACACACACCCTTTCTTATGGAAGGCTCGGGATCTCCCAATGCACTCATGAACCTATTGATTACTTCATTCTTTAACTCTTTTTCACCCATCTTCACGAGAGTTTCAAGCGCAGTGCTTTTGATGAAGTCGTCGATACTTCCAAGTGCATGCACGAGTGTATTAATTATTTCATTGGTCGATGTTTTTCGAGCTATCTCACCTATAGCTTCAGAGGCATTAGTTCGAACGAAATAGTTCTCATCTTTAAATGTATTCATGAGTCTGTTAACGACTTCATGGGTTGCTGTTTTCCCCCCTAAGGCACCCAGCGCTTTACACGCACTACTTCGGACACTAGAATCTTCGTTTTTAAGGGCGTCCCCGAGGCTGTCAATCACTTTACTGATTGCTGCTTTTTCACCCATCGCCCCAAGAGCTTCACATGCACTAGCTCTGACGGAATTATTCCGATCCCCCAGTGCATCTAAGAGCCTCTTAATCACTTCAGAAGTTGCTGCTTTTTCACCCATCTTACTGAGAGCAAAACAAGCACCGCATCTGACTTCCGTATTTGTATCGTTAAGTGCGGTTAAATATAAACGAATGACGTCTACGTGTGTTTTTACTATCGGTAAATCAGCAATCAATAAATATACATAGGTACGCATAGCTGGATCTATATGTTTATGGAACGCTTTGAATACGTCAAGTATTTCTGACTGATTTACTAGTGAAGGACTTCTTCGTAGTGAAATTGCTAAAGGATGGGATATATTATTATGCTTGTTAAATACAAAGTAGCTGATACATTTTTTTACCGTGTTTATGACTTCGCAAAAGTGCGGAAGACTTCTATTACAACCAGTCTCCTCTATACAGGAAATAACAACTTGTGCATGTCTTAAACCAATGAGATCTAAGGGCTCGCCCAGTAATGTGTCCCAGAATAACTTGATCCGCCGTTGGTCAGCGCCTTCATTGAGAAGACCGGATGCAAAAGTGAGTATTAATTCGAAACGCTGGTCGTATTTACGAGCTTTGATGAAATCGATTGCTTTTTTCTTTTGAGTTTCATCACCACCAAGAGCCCTTATCAAATATCGTGCTGCAAAATGTTCTTGGAAACTGAGGTGAACAAAATAGTGGTTTTTGTCTGTTTCAATGCTAGTGCCAATTGGTGTATAATCTAAAGATTTTAAGATGCCTATGTTGAGCAATGGTAGTTGGTGGCATAGAGAACATTGAGACTCTTTGGATGCTATTTGTAGTAATTTGGGGCGAATGATGATACTATTGCTTTCTATTCCGTGAAAAGCTAAGCTTTCTAAGAATGCCAGTTCCTTATGACAATGCGTGTAAACATCTTCTTTGTTCATTCGAGATGAAGATATACTTTGCTTTTCTAAGTGTCTTCGGCATAACCATTCAGTCATCTTATCGTACACAGTTGTCATTGTCATCGCTGTTGTTTCTGACCAGTCAGTATTACACCAAAGAGTACAGATCAGTTCCAGATTAACGGGAATATGTACGATGCCCCAAACTCTAGGGTTACATTTTAAGAAGCCTAGTAATTTTTGAGCTTCGCCCAATGCATTACCCATGTCACCTTTAATTTGATCGAAGAATTTTCCCACATACTCCTTAATATTATCGTTTGTAAAACCTGTAATTTCGAGTTGCACCTTATATGATAATGTATTCAAGTATGGACGAGACGTCACAACGTGATGAGAAGTTCGGCGTAATTGTGCGAGAAGATATTGCAGATGTTGCGGCATGTTCTGTACAATCTCATCATATCCATCCAACAGCCAAAGGACTTGACTCTTTGCTAATTGTTCTTGAAGACGTTTTCTGTCATTTTCCGAGAGACCATGATGGAAATACTCTGTCTGTACGAGGTCAACTAGAGAATATCGCGTGCCGTCTGTCAGAGGAGGAAAGAGATCATCCGTCAGATTACGTAAGTGAAATAAAATGACTAAATCATACTGTTGCCAAATGGCACCTGTTGCCCATTCATAAGTAACATATTGGCAAAATGTTGTTTTCCCTATTCCAGCTCGGCCAAGCACAAGAACGTTCTTCGTTTGATGGTCGCATCGTTGGAAAATATCCTTGATTTCTATGTCTGTCTTTGTGCCATAGATTTCTTCAAAAGTCCCAATGATCTCATCATTGAGTTTGGCATCGAGCAGTTTCTTTTCTTTTAATTGTTGTTCCTTAGTTTCCACGATGACTAAGTTAATGTAGCTTTGTTCAATTGAAAACGATCTTGAAGGATTCATGATACGTGAAAGACGACTATGTTGTTGATATTCGTATCTAATTAATTCGAATAAATAACTTGGCTGATCAACACTTTTTAATATTAGATGTTGCGAGGCTAGTGGTTGCGTTTTTATTAAGCCAAGAAGCTCCCACGCCTTTGAATCAATACCTAGTTCAGAAACATCATCAAAGTCTACGTGTGTAGGATCTGTGGTTATTAGTTCAAGCCAATCACAAGGCTGTGAGGCTTTTGCATGGCCGAGCAGACATTTTATAATTCTTTTGTATCGTTTTTGTGCATATTGCAATTCAAGTTTACAAGTCGCAGTCTTTCCGTAATCTGGCGTGATGAAACAACAAACGACTTCAGCATTTTCGACCCCATCAGCCAAACTAAATAAGAGAAATATGTAATTCTAGGATGCGAACAGATTAAATTATTTTAGTATCCTTACCTATTGTACATATTGCTCATGTCGCTCCTTTTGTCGAACCAAACTGGGATATTTACTTCTTGTAGAAATTGGCAAATTTTGAGAACTATATCATGACTGCTCGAATGATATGACAGCATGACGTGTTTTCCTTCCGGAATCGCACAACTAAAAGATATGAATTGCATTTTACTGTATGATCAAAATTAATTAAAAAAAAGAGACTAAACCATATCTTCAGGACATACCTACAGTGGTTTAGTATATGTGAGAGCTCCTCAGACAACATAAAAACCTGAGGTGTGCATAAATTTGCATCGAGTCCGTACAAAGCATTTTCAAACATTTTCTTATTCACTGAGAGTGTTTATAGCCAAACATATAGGAACTTTAGATTTAACTACAGTCTTATTTTTCTGTGTCAGTTAGAAGTGATGCCGGAAAGAATTAGAGCTAGCTGCTGTTATGACACGTAAAATATCCCTTTCAGTACACTAGCAGACAACGGTTAAACGCATGAAATCGCAATATTCTAAGATTTTAACTCATAGAGAAGTGTGTATGGAAATATCAGGGAGATCGGGGTTGGTTATATTTCAGAAATATTTGTTTCCATCAATAGAAAGAAGGGTGAGTGTGGGTGTGGTTGTGGGTGTAGATGCGCGCGTGTGTATTGTATAGGAAAGCTATCCAGATCTTTACCCACACTCATACCGACACCCATAAGATACAAAAATTCAATTTATCTGAAAAATCAATATTCCGACAGAGGAACATTCTTTTCAGTTGAAACTTTCAAGATATTCTAAGCACCATTAAACATATCTACGCGCAGAATATCAGACCAAAGCTTCATTATTTGGTTCAAGGAATAAAGAGCGGAGTCTGGATTTGCGAAGATTTCATAAAATCGTTTTGTATTCCAGGAGTCCAAATTCCGTTCTTTTCTCCTTGATTTTGCTTTTTGGTAAATATCTAGAAATAGGCATGCACCAATTCCAATTCCAACCAATTCCAATACCAATTCTAGAATTGGAATTGGTGCATGCCTATCTAGAAAGTGGGCGAAAATACAGTGAAACTGTTACAACTTAACTTCAAAGATCGATAGGGATGAACTCTTATAGACTTTTGGTAAATCCATTGAAAGCTCATTAAGGGTTCAATATGACCTCAAAAAGGAGTGTTACCCGGGGTGGTTCCCTCTCTAGTGATCATGAGTAAATACCAATCGTTTTCAAAAAAGAATACGAATGAAAAACCAATACTAACAAACCTTGCTAGCACAATTTCCCGTGACATTTTGAAACGACATGCTAATGGAATCTAGGGATACTGAGTAAAAAATATTAATACAATGGCATTTTAAAAAAAGCGAATAGGGCAGAAAGTAGCAGGAAAAATAGTAAGAACGCATAATGTTTCTGCTAGATGCCAAATAGATGGCAGGATTGCTCGAGAATGAGACCTTATACATCTATTGGATAAGTCGTAGTCTACGATATTCAGAGAACTTTATCACTAGCGCTTCAACTTCAAGTAGTCAGGTTTTATAACATGCTTCACGTAAACTTACCATTCATTTAGATGCACGATGGAGCGACCATTAGATTCGACCAATGTGCTCTTAACACGCAATGAAGTTCCAGGCATAAGAACGATCTCTTCTTCCACAGTGTGCGCTGAGTACGCAGTGATGTCTCTACCATGAATTGTGTTAATGCAAAACAGAGTGCCCTCCTCGCTTGCGAACATGCCAGCAACATCGAGTTTCGAAGAGCATGAATTCATACTCCACCAAGTGTGCACACCAACTCCAGCGAAATTTGAGCCGATTTTCTCACCAACGCCTCGCCACACCGTAGTCGAACGACATGGTAATTTTCCGATACCAGTAAAAAGCAGTTTTAAGTAAGGAAACCATGGTTCCAATGCATATGGATTTTCATCTCGAAGCGTTTTGTTCAGTTTTTCATAGATAGGTATATGTTTGGTGTAAAGATAGATAGCTGCTGATTCGTTTACTGTCAATTTAGTATTTCGTTTACACTGTTGTTTAGCTTCATCAGCGTAATTTCGGACGAGAGGGACGAACTGGACGATACTTTCTACAGCTTCTTCCAATGACATTAAGGGTATGTCCTGGTAACCGAATATTGTCCTGCGGTTAATTTCTTGCAGCTCAGAGACATTACTGTTCACAAAGCGGTTCCGTGATTTGAACATCGCTTGTTGATCTATTTGATTACTGTTTTCCTGTTATAAGCAATATAAGATATAAAAATAAGAATATAGCCGTAATAATATCGACATAAAGTTAATTATAGAAACGAGGAATTTTGTATTTAAATATGGATTTTAATATAAATATCAGGGTTAGACATAGTCATTGGAAATTAAATTTAGAAATAAGGAGCAAAGCAGTGATGGACCAAATTCTGCTGTTTTGGTGTGGCAATAAGTTCCGAAAAGTTTCAGAGTGAATAAAAAATGCAGTTTCAATGTGGTCTCATATATAAAGTCATTATGTAAACGACTGGAAAACAAAAATGCCTGGTTGTGCTAAGAGAAGTGACGGAGATCCTTTTGATTGGCACCCCTTATGTTCATTTCACTAATACGTGATCCTTTTCTCTTCTACTTCCTGTTTCTTGTTTATTTTCTCTCGATATATTTCCTCTCTCCTTCTCTTTCCTGTTTTATCTCTCTTCGATATATTCAGAAGATAGTGACTAGATGAATGTATCGAATTGGCGTAACATCTAATATGGAGATATTAAGTGTAAAGTTGTTAGAAGTCATTCTGAATTGAGACTCGAAAATGCAATAGAGTTTGAACTTCGAACTTTCCCAAAGGAAGCTATACATATACGAGCAGAATATAGTGTGTATTTTTGCTGTGTCAACCATATACATTTACTATCACTTATTATTATTATTCAATAAAATTTTAGGTTTCGGCGCTATTCGAATAATTTACACAATTTCTCCTTTCTTGGCTTATATACACTGATTAGAAGCTTATTGCATCTCCTTTCCCGTTACACTAGTCTAATTGTAAACGCTATTCTAATTATGGATAAGCGGTACACCGTCCTGTACGAAAATGATGATTACTTACAATTGTAAGGTTTGTTTTTCGTAGAAATGGGCTTGTTAGTAAATATTCGTTTGATTTTAATGAATCGTAGCACAGATTACTTTCGTTTAATGACAATGAAGTGGTCGATTCGGTTGTTGTGGGAGTGATAGTATTAATTGCGATAAGTATTGTGGGATCAGCAACTTCATCTAGTTTAAAATATGCGTTATGAAGAGCTTTATTTTCATCAGCTAGATGTTATTATGGCATGATATATCTTCTGCCATAAAGAATGCTGATTCTCTTTCATTTTCTCACGTAGTACTGATATCGTTAAGTATTTAAGGAGTGGTTATTGTGAAGAGAACGATGATTCTTGTTTGATGAAAGAAGAGGAATAAATAACAGGAAGGAGTGATAACAGCCTGTTTTTAAGATTATTTATTCGCTCTTAGAATGTCCAACTCTAAAAATCCGATAACTAAATACTTCAAAAACAAAAAAAAAGGTCGATAATGTTGAAGAAATTAATAAAATAATCAGCGAATCACATCTGTTATCGCTCCTTTCGTTCTTTATTCCTCTTCTTTCATCAAACAAGAATCATCGTTCTCTTCACAATATTCACTCCTTAAATACTTAACGATATCAGTGCTACGTGCAAAAATGAAAGAGAATCAGCATTCTTTATGGCAAAATATATATCATGCCAAAGCGCATCTGCTCCCCACCGACAGAGAAAAGAAAAATAATATAACAGAATGAAAACATCAGAAAAAAACGATTGAAATTAAGAGTACATAAAGCTATAACAAAACGCAAAAGTAAGATAGTGATCGCAAAAGATTGTTAAAGAAGATGAAAGTAATTCATGAAAGAAATAATTATAATAAAAGGAAATGTAATCTTCCGATAGTGTATAGACGAGATAGAAAGAAAGAAAAAAAGAAAGAAAGAAAGAAACAAAGAAAGAAAGAAAAAAAAAAGAAAAAAAGAAAGAAAGAAAAAAAAAAGAAAAAAAGAAAGAAAGAAAGAAAGAAAAAAACGAATAAAATGGTTATGAATAATTGATATAGTTTCAGCACCACTAGCTATAAATTATACAGAATTTGCATGTTCATCTCCAGGAACATTTATTAAGAACATAAGTAGTAGGAACTGCTAGGCATCTGAACCACTCGCGATCTTCCGAGTTACACGGTATTCTCTTATGACAAAAATATGATATTGCTGTATCGTCGGAAAACGTCCGACGACAGGTGGTTATAATGGAGTGTGAGTGTGGGTATGGATTCATTCCTTGGTTCATCACACCTACCCATCTTTATTGCACATTAAATTGTGGCTGATGATAGGAAACAACTGCGATCAATATTACCTATTTTTATATCAGTTATTTATCTATTGGTCGACCACCTGAAAATATTGTCTTTATTCTTTATTTTACCTTTATTTCTTTAGCATGATTTTTAAAATAAAGATTATCTTTATTCTTTATGAAATAAAGATAAAGATTTTCGTTACTTTATTCTGTATTATAAATAAAAATAAAATAACACTCCTAATTTCCGTCCATGAATTAATAAAACTTGGACGAATGTATGGTACTCTCACGATTACTTACGAGGAAACACTGCCAAGTGTCCAAACGCTTTCGAGTCTGAACTTTCTGTATTCGATAGACCCCACTGAGTTATAAAAAAATCCAAGAGATAGAATCCCCTTATACTTTCTGTCCGGAGTCCATGATTGCTTTAGGAGAATTTTAATATAAAACATAATATACACCAAAAAATTGAAACAAGATATTTCAATCTGAAATTTTGACCATAGATAGATTTATATGTGTGTATAACACTTTGAAGTTATCAGTGAAAAATATATTTCGCTTCTCAAGATAGTCATGTCTCAAAAGCCAAAAAAATCCTAGCACCCTCTGTGATATATGAACCATCTTTGACACATGAAAATCTCAAGAAGGGAATATATTTTTATTTGAGAACGTCAGAGTGTTATACTCATATATAAATCTGTGTATGGTCAAAATTTCGGATCGAAATATCTTGATTCAGTTTTTTGGTGTATATCATGTTTTATGCTAAAATTCTCGTAAAACGATCATGACTCTGAACAGAAAGCAGAAGGGGATTTAATTTCTTGGATTTTTTTATACCTCACCAGAGTCTATCGAATTCAAAAAGTCCAGACTCGAAAACGTTCGGACACTTGGCAACGTTCCATCGTTAGACTGATTCAATAATACTACCTAACCAGACTCTATACAAACTACATAGTTTTTTTGCCATCGAATCAAATGTATCTTCCTTGAACTGATCGTTTGTTGCCGATGATTTGCATATAATTTAACCATATAGATAAGAATCTGAAAAAGAACTCTATTAAATAACGTATTAGTAAAAAATATAGTTTCATTCACATACTTTTTATGTTTAATAAACAATAGAAAACAGAATTCATCAGCTCTGTCCACTTATTTCCCATCAGAAACAAAAACTATTAACTGATACCAGTTGCATTTTCTATCGTTGGTTGATATTTGATTCTTTTTCGAAACTATCTTTCAGATTAACCCTGTTATATATGATTGGTGTCTGTTTCAAAATGATTGTTGTTCTGTTAAAGTTTCCATCATAATAAAATGCGGACATTAACTGTGTTTACATTCACATACCTATGTGACAACCTTTCTGTAAAGCATATGTACCTTTTCTTCTTTTGAAGGTGGATAATGCTGCAAGATGGCGCCCGGCATCGGTACGATGATTTTAATATTCGGGCATGCGTTTTGTCAATAAATTAAATTTTGTATTTTCTTAAGGATAGGTGTGGGTGTGAATGTGGGTGCATCTTTCCTTTCTCACTCACACTCACACTCACACCCACACTACTGACGTAACCAATCGTTTACTCGCGTAAACAAGAGTATACGATACAGAGAAATACGATCGTAATACTGAGCTAGGTAATACGCGAAAATATGGCGAAACACATTCGTATACGAATCCTGTATTGGTCAACCTGGGTACGGCGATCAAGGTAATGTTTTTGTAAAAATAAAAAATCTATTAAATAATCATTCTAATCATTTTCTAGTCGATAGAATTTCGATTTAAATATTTCAATCCGAAGAGTATCAATCCATTAATATCGAGCTCATTATCATTTATTAAATCTATTGATGTAGTTGAAGATTCAGTAGTGAATCGAACTTTAGACGTTGATTATTCACATATAGCAATACCAGAATTATGATTTGCTAGTATATTCAATGGAGAGTAATCTTTACAATATTCTGATCGTGTTAAATCTCTCTTATGTAAATTAGTATACGATCTGCATCTTAATGTTGTTAATATAGTTTTGGTACACTTTGTTGACAAATAAATTTGAAGTAAAAATCTTGAGGATGTGGGTGTATAAAAGAAGAAGACACTCACATCAACACCCATCCTCAAGATGGTGGAGCAGCTAAGTGTAGGTGCTTGGAAGTATGCGTAGTTGGAGCATCTGAGCGTGGATGCCCATTGAGTAGTTCAATAGTTGAATTCAGGTTTCAAGTTTGACACTACTATTTGTTTTTCTTGAATATAATATTGTTTTTCCGTGGAATTAAGGAAGTGGTAAAACCCATGTTTTTCGCCAGGCAGAAAAAGCGATTAGTAAAACGGAAAAAATGTTTCCGCCGGTATACATGAAGCCGGTAATGATAAATGGAAGGTTATAAGAATCACCTGTGTCGTCTATTGTCACACACACTAATCAGATCGGTCTGCGGTAAAACTTGACATCAAATAGCAAAATATTACTTAACGAAGATGCTGATATTATTGCAGAAAATTATGGCTTGTTCAACGCTATCGATCCTGCGAAAGAACATGAACGAAAATTGATCGTATGCGGTTATGATGGGTAAATTAATATATATAAAGAAGAGTATGGGTGTGGGTGCACCTTCTTTTTCTCACTCACACCCACACCCACTCTACTAACGTAACCAATCGTTTACTCGCGTAAACAAGAGTATACGATACAGAGAAATACGATCGTAATACTGAGCTAGGTAATACGCGAAAATATGGCGAAACACATTCGTATACGAATCCTGTATTGGTCAACCTGGGTACGGCGATAAAGGTAATTTTTTTGTAAAATTAAAAAAATCTATTAAATAAACATTTTATTTATTTTCTAGTCGAAAGAATTTCAACTTAAATATTTTGATTTAAAGAGAATTGATACATTACTGTTGAGCTCATTATCATTTATTAAATCTATTGATGTAGTTGAAGATTCAGTAGTGAATCGAACTTTAGACGTTGATTATTCATATATAGCAATACCAGAATTATGATTTGTTAATATATTTAATAGAGAGCAATCTTTTCAATATTCAGATCGTCTTAAATCCTTCATATGTAAATTAGTACAAGATCTGCATCTTAATGTTGTTAATATGGTTTTGGTATACTTTGCCGACAGCTATTCTTGAGGGTGTCGGTCTGATTGTGACAATATGTTTTTTATTTCACTTAAACACTCACACCCATCCACCCTCAAGATGCTGGAACAAAAGTCAAACGAAACTATTGATTCTTCATGATTAACGAGATTTTTCAATTCAAGTTTAAAAAATTTAAATAATTTTCCCTTAATTGTTTATGAACCATTGACAAATAAAAAACAAAGAACAATAAAATCCAGTCCGAAAACTTTAGAAGAACATACAAGTGATGATACTAGTGAAGATACAAATAACGAAGTGGATGAAGAAATTTTTTAGCAGCAACCAACAGACTGAAGAAAAACAATATTTTTTTTCATATTTTGTATTTAATGTATTACACATTGTTCTTATATAATGCGTCTGTTGAAAAACATACGATGATAAACAATAAACAGATATTCATTTGTATATAGAAACGTTCTATTTTCTAGAATTTTGACGTCTCACTAAATTTTTTCGATATTTAAAAATCCTTATGTAGCATATTAAGTATGAGAATGTAATACAAAGATGAATCCCATTTATAGTCTACTCAAAAAGAAAGAAAAATATTTATTGCCTATGTTTCATCATCGGTTAGAGCAGAAGAAATACTAAAAGTTTTTCAATCTTATGAAAAAGCTATTGCTGAATTTCAGCTGGATTCTAAGTGTAGGTATGGATGTGTAATGAGTAGAGTATCCACACCCACCCACCCACACCCTTCCATTAGGAGAAACGACTTGCATAAGCAATTTTAGTAGATAATTAGAAATCTTTTGTAATATAACCTTTTTAAGCCATCAAACTATTCTTCATCAAGCTTTTCATACATTAACTCATCTATTCAATGAAACTTTAGTGAAAGACGAATGAGAAAGAAAGAAAAATGTGCAGCTTCGCTTCTCTTTTCAAATCCGTTTCTTTACATCACTCTCGCTTGTTTTTGGTAAGTGACTATACATACAAGGACGACAATAGAATGACAAGAATAATAAAACTGCATTAACGTTTGTTTGTTTCGTTGTGAATGTACTTTTTTTTATCAACTTTTCTTTCTCCTTGTATTTGCATTTTAAACGATTAACTATAGATTATCAATAGAGCTTCTTTTCGCGGAACGATTTGAAATCAAAAGAAGCCACATGACTATTCTTAATAATGGCTTTTTGTTTTTAGATTTAAATAAAAAGAAATTATTTGCGTCTTATATCGTTACTATTGATAATATTTTTCTTCACAGATTTCCATGCAATATGACTAGTAATGAACGTCAGTCTAGTGATGCATAACATGCATAATATTGCAAGATTATTGCCATATTTATTCAACTTCTTTTTTTATCAACTAGAATCAATATTTATTTGATAAAAACGGATAATGCATAAATTCTGTTTTTAATATAGTTTTTCTGAAATTTTCGATGATTTCTACTATTATATATACGTATACACTATTTATTACAACAGAATTATTCATGTCGTCCTGAAATAATTGTTCTGGTGCATAAAAAACGATAAACGGTACACAATTTGATATAGAAACCATTTCATGAATTATTTATTTTAATGCGAAAACAAACTTTCATCATATGTAAAGTATATAGAGTTCCTCAGCATCTCATTTTTTGAAAAAGTTAATTTTATCAATTGCTATCAACAATTGAAATAGCCATTCGCACCTTTACTAATCCAAAATAATTCCTTTTTTGTACAGCAATATTTTTTTATATTCAAATTATGAAAAAGTTTCTTAGTATTTTTCTGATTTTTAAAAACTATTTTCAGTAAAACTACTCAATGATCTTGAACGAAACACTTAGCTTGTTTTAACAAAGAACAAAAAGATTCTTGGGTCTTACTTTCATCATTATTAAGTCTACAGTTTTTTTCATTCCTTGGCATAATATTTAAAGCATGCTCTATGTACAAAATTTCACAAAGTTTCTTTTCTTGTTTTTTTTCATCATAAATTTCATATATTTATCAAAGAATATAAAAGAAAAAATAATTTGGTGAAAGAATTGCATTTCTCTTTCGGCTTCTAGTCGATGAAAAAATGTTGCCAACACATCAGCAAGCTGCAGTAATGATGTAGACAGAAGCAAGCATAAGTTGGAAAGAATAACAATAAAATGGATTCGATTGTTTGCTTTTGTTTTGTTCGTTCTTTCAATAATATTACCAACAAATTTGTTTGTTTTGATCAGTTTTTTGCTTTGCACAATATTATTTTCAAACGTGACTAGGTGGAATTTGTCCTTGAGCGATAACAAAAACACGCAAACATTCAAAGTCGCTGCCTATATAAAGAAGAACGGTGATCTTTCTTTTCATTCAAACAACAAAGTCTATTGACAAGGTTCATATTCAACAACAAATCACACCAAGATCAGAATGAGCGGATCAAAATCCAATCAGAATGCTGCTGTATCATCGAACAAGATCAACGTGAGCGGATCAAAACCAACTCAAAATGCTGCTGTATCATCCAACAAGATCAACGTGAGCGGATCAAAATCGAATCAAAATGCTGCTGTATCATACAACATGATCAAAGTGAGCGAATCAAAACCAACTCAAAATGCTGCTGCTGCATCATTTAAATCAACTGCATCATCAAATATTCCTCAACCACGACAACGTATGGCACAAAACTATCTTCTCATCTGGGTAGATGCCAGCATCGATCAAGCAAACAGGGATTGCCAGAATACACTGGCTCAATTGAAGAATGCGGTTAACGATGTCAAGTTATGCACTGAACCGGATCAGTGCATTCAAGCACTCAACAAGATTGATAGAGAACAAGTCTTTGTGATAATATCTGGCTCATTAGGTCAACATTTGGTTCCTGAAATTCATGGAATACCACAGCTAGATGCCATTTACATATTTTGTGGCGACAAATCCAGACATGAAGGATGGACTCAAAACTGGACAAAAATTAAAGGTGTTCACACAAACATTAAAGAAATTTGTCAAGCATTACACTTGGCTGTCAAGCAATGTGACCAGGACACAATTGCTGTAAGTTTTCTTACGGTAAATGAAATGGCTTCAACTGATAATTTAAATCAGTTGGAGCCGACTTTCATGTATACACAACTATTCAAGGAGATTCTCCTTGATATCGAATATGATGAACAATCTATTCAACAGTTTACTGCTTATTGTCGAAATAATAACAGCTTGTCACCAATCAATACTAACCGTTTTGAAAAAGAATACGCTGCTCAATTAGCTATTTGGTGGTATACTTTTCCATCCAATATCTATTGTATGCTCAATTATGCTCTTCGAACACTGGACGCTGATGCAATTATTACTATGGGTTTCTTTATGTGTCATCTGCATCAACAAATTCAACAGTTGTACGAACAACAAGTCAGTAGTTATGGAAGAATATCTTTCTTAGTTTATCGAGGACAAGGTCTTATGAAATCAGATTTTGAAAAACTTCAGAAAGCAGAAGGTGGCCTTATGTCATTTAACAATTTCTTGTCTACCAGTAAAGATAAGAAAATCTCTCTCGAATTTGCTGAGGATGCTTCTAAAAAACCGGACATGGTCGGCATTTTCTTTGTAATGTCCATTGATCCTTGTACTAAATCGGCACCATTTGCCTCCATCAAAGAGAAAAGTTATTTTAAGGAAGAAGAAGAAATTCTCTTCTCAATGCACACCGTCTTTCGAGTGAATGCAATTAAACAAATAGACAATGAGAATCAACTGTATCAAGTTGAATTAGAATTAACATCGGATGATGATCAACAACTACGATTACTTACTGATCGAATACGAGAAGAAGCTAGTGGTAGTACTGGATGGCAAAGATTGGGCAAATTATTGCTTAACATCGGTCAATTTAATAAAGCTGAAGAACTTTATAATGTATTACTCGAACAGACATCTGATGATGGAGAAAAAGCTCATTATTATGTTTGTCTAGGATATGTCAAAAATCACCAGGGTGATTATGAAAAGGCTATTTGGTATTACGAACAAGGACTTGAAACTCAACAAAAAACTCTTCATTTAAATCATCCTGAATTGGCTACTTCATACGATAACATTGGTTTGGTGTATGGCAACATGGGAGAGTATTCAAAAGCACTTTCATCTCACGAAAAAGCACTTGAAATTCGAGAAAAAACTCTTCCTGCAAATCATCTTGATTTGGCTACTTCATACAACAACATCGGTAGTGTGTATGATAATATGGGAGAGAACTCGAAAGCACTTTCATATCATGAAAAAGCACTTGAAATTGAACAAAAAACTCTTCCTTCAAATCATCCTGATTTAGCTAATTCCTACAACAACATCGCTTCCGTGTATTACAATATGAAAGACTACTCGAAAGCACTATCATATTTTGAACATGCTCTAGACATATTACGACGTGCATTACCTCCAACTCATCCTAATATAAAAAGTGTGAAAAACAGTATTGAAATTGTAAAAAAGAATTTATAAAAAATAAGTAATCAATAAATAAAAGAATCTTTTGTCCACTTATTTTTGAATTAATTCTATTTTTTAGTGGCACGCACGCGTGTACAGAGAACAACTCTATAAATAATAAAAACGTAGTGGACAAAGCCGACTGATAAGGTAATACACCTACATACGTATGTGTATAAATGACGTTCTCACACATATTTACATTTCTAATTCTTTACGAGAGTGTTCCGTGTAATAAAAGAAAAAATAGCTTATATGGAATTGCATTGTAATAGTAGTGAACGAGGCCTCGTACGATGAATAAAAAGTGGAAAAACTGCAATATATATATACCGAGATGTCATCAACATTGGGTCTAGTTGACTCAAACAATGAGTATTTATTATTAACTAGAACTAAATGAAAAGAATAATCGCTTATTTATGATGTATCGATCAATTTAGCCATATTCGAAGATATGCTGAGTTATAGTCCTCTGATCTCGGATTCAGAGTAAGAGAGAAATCGTTTGAAGAAATATCTTACAATAATATCTCATTTTTTTAATGATCATCACACCCAGGTGTTTCGGAGAGGACACTATAAGATACTGAAATAGATCAATTAAATTGAATGTATGCGAAAAAGCAACTAACCTTGAAAACAAAGAACATTCTAGATATTTATATTTAATGAAAATGATTGAATGTTGTTCTCTACTTCTATATTCCGAGGTCGAATATCAACAATCGTTTATGAGGAAAAACGGGGATCTACGACTATATGGTAATGAACAATTTAATAAATAACATTCTAGTTTTATTTATTTTGCATTATTGTGCTTTTTTCAAGTTGCCGCTGTAGATCATAAAGACTACCAAGTATTTTCATTTGTTTCACTTCATTTATAGAAGATCATCTAAATCGATTGAATTAATAAATAGCATGCATTTTTATTTTATTATAATTTATTCATTTGATGAACTATTGCAAGATTTTGTTTTGAAAAGCTAATGGGCTGCTGAATAGTGAGAAAGTAAACAAAAAAATAAAGTAATATTGTTTATTTTATATTAAATGGAGATAGGTTCAATTAGTATTACCCTGAAGAATTAATCGAAATCAAGATAAAATTAGTCTTATTCTAAATGATCTGAATTAATTTAAAATACGAAACTTTGCTGTTTAGATCACAGCCATGAGTGAGGGTCACTATTGAATTAATTGACTGAATTGTATTGTCAATGATTATGCAGATTCTGATAAAGTTTATACAGCTAGTAGAGTTTATACAATTAACTATTTTCTTATATGACCTGAATGATTAAGATAAACTCATCTATAATACAATATTTCAACTTTTATTTGATATAACATTATAAGAATGGAATTCAAAAGTAATTATTAATATATCTACTATAATTTATAAAATTGATCTTCTGTTCCTAGAAATAGAATGAAGAGTAATTAAAGTCATTTATATTTTATATTTTTACATACAAAATTACATGTAAAGATGAATAATATATCTATTTTTTCTTGACAGATTGAACTAAATTACACACTAAAAAAGTAAACATGATGAAATTTCTTCTCATTCTTGATTATTAACGAAGGGTGTGGGTGTGCATGTGGATGTAAATGTGGGGGTGGAAATAGGTGAGAGTGAGGGTGTAGGTGTGGGTACTCTACTCATTCCACATCCACCTCTACTATTTTATTAGCTCAAGAATAATAAAATACTGCAGAATAATAGAGAATTGTTTTTACTATTACTGCACATAAAAAGAAAGACTCCGTCAGCTTCCTAAGCGATAAAAAAGTTTCACTGTTACTGCTTTTAGTACTCGAGATGTCCGTTTTTTATTCTATTCAAATGTTAATAATTTTCAATTTAAAGATATGCATACAAAAGCATACCATTTCTTTTCATAGACAGAACAGTTTGGAATCCAAAATTATTTATACGAACAATCACAACATAATCTTTTACATTTTTTATTTTCTAAATATTTTTAAAAGAGAATCGAGTAATTGAACCAAAAGTCTTGTTAGTTGACTGTGCACCAGTTGGACTGATTCCATTCGATTTCTAAAATTAGTCTTGTTTAGTATAACGGGAACCACGTCGAATAGACTTTTGCTACAGATAATCAATATTCATACTATAAGTCAGATAATTAGAAACAGTTAAACTGTATGACTCTCACTCAAACTCTATGCTGACTACATATTCTGAAAGGAATTACTTGAAAAAGTAGTCCTCCTTGCAGACTTTTTTATATGTTGCTAATTAATTATATTTGTATTTACGATCATAATGATGATGAACAATGTTGATGTTCCTAATAAAAATATTATACAAGGAAAATTTCAAGAAACAGTCGTGTTTAAAAATAATTCAATATATAGAGCAAAATATCCCAGACAAATCTGTCAAACAACAGATCAAATTATAGTAAAACTCGTCAACCATGAAAGTAATGATCTTATTTTTTTTCTTCGATTGACTCATCTGATTCTGTTTCATGAGAACAAATTCTGCACTATGTTGTAAAATATGTATGTTTGATTTTATGATCAAATGACAATGAAAGTCATTTAATCTTTGATGATTATAATCGAGAATGTACTATTTTATATCGATAAAGTAATCTTATGAAAGATATTGTTTACAGTTGTTATTTCGACTTTGTCATCTTCAAATTGATATATCATTCTTTTTCGTTTTTTTTCTTCCAACAAGTAATTACAACATCATGTGAAATCTATGAAAAAAAACAAATATAAACTCAGCTAACGATAAGATAGAGAACAATATATATAACGAACGTATACGTCTACACAGCACACATTTCATCAACAATCTGCAATGGCAAATCAAACTGTCGCTAACTTCCTTACATTACCGGTAGAACTTGTCTACCGAATTCTGGATCACCAATCAGATTTAACACTTATATGTTCAATGAGAAACGTTTGTCAACGATTAAACATGATCGTAGATAGTTACCATCGGTATCAGGTAAACATTTTTCTATCATGATAGCTTAATTTTTATCTACTAGCTCCAATATAACATATGTGAATAAACTATTTCTCATTCAAAAAAATCTATCACTTGTCCCTTTCTCCCCAAAAATTCCTTTTTTCCTTCTTTTCAATTTCACCTGCATACTCCACGTTTCAAATTAAGTATGACGTTATAAACATACAATGTGTAGATAAGAACGAAAAAACGGAGTAAAACATTATTATTTGCTTATTACGTGTACCTCAACGTCTTTTGTTTAAAAATCATTTCGATAAAAAAAATAGTTTTTGAAAGAAATTAATCTTCGATAAATTAGTGTATCTTGTTATAAATAACTGCGGCTGTGGCACGCTATGTAACATATAAAATCCCAGAAATATCCATCTTAATATCCATAGACCCTGAAACAGGGTCAAAACAACATTCATTTTACTGCTCTGAGTCCAGATGACACCTGCCAACATCTCTCTCTATCTTTCTTCATCTAAACCATACCTTTACCTTCTCTTTTTCATATAGGAACTCAGAGGTATCAAAATCTCGAGTAATGAAATCAGACATGTTGGAACACAATCCTTGGGTGATACATTAAAACACAATACAGTAAATATCGTTCTCTCTTTATCTATAACATGTCTTTACCTCCACATTTTCATCTAGACACTCACTAGATTATTTATCGATCATAATGAAATCGGAGCAGTTGGAGCAAAACATTTAGGTGATGCATTACAACGCAATACAGTAACTCACATTCTCTCGTTATCTATATCATGTCCTTACCTTCATTTTTTTATCTAGACACTCACCATGCTATATCTCGAGCTTACTAAAATCGGAGATGCTGGAGCGCAATATTTGGGTCATGCATTACAACACAATACAGTAACACTTATCCATTGTTTATCTATGTCAACTCTATATCTCCACGTTTTCATCTAGACATTAACTAAGCTACATCTCGCATACAATGATATCGGAGATGTTGGAGCACAATATTTGGGTAATGCATTACAACACAATGCAGTAATGCTCATTCTCGCTTTATCTATACCATGTCTTTATCTCCACTTTTTCATCTAGACACTAACCACGTTAGATCTCGAACATGATCGAATCGGAGATATGGGAGCAAAATATTTGGGTGATGCATTAAAACACAATACAGTAATTCTCATTCTCTCTTTATCTATACCATGTCTTTAACTCCATGTTTTCATCTAGACACTAACCACGCTATGTCTAAAATATAATGAAATCGGAGCATATGGAGGAGAATCGTTGGGTAATGCATTGCGACACAATACAGTAACTCTTACTTTCTCTTTATCTATACCATGTCTTTACTTCCACGTTTGCATTTAGACACTAACCAGGCTACATCTCAAATTTAATCAAATAAGAGATTCTGGAGCACAATCGATTGGTAATGCATTACAACGTAATACAGTAACTCCTATTCTCTCTTTATCTATTTCACGTGTTTACCTCCACATTTTCATCTAGACACTAATCGCGCTACATCTCTCATATAACGAAATCGGAGATTTTGGGACAAAATATTTGGGTCGCGTATTACAACACAATACAGTAACTCTCATTCTCTTTTTATCTATACTATGTCTTTGTGTTAACTGTTTTATGTAGACACTCACCACATTATATATATATGGGAATGGAATCAAGGATGATGCAGAACGTGTAATCGAGGAAGTACTGAGACGAAATCAAAAAAGAAGAAAACCATGAATGATTACGTTAAATGTATTTTGATGATGAAGAAATCGTCGATGGTAGCAATATGAGTATTTCTTTTTTGTGATATGATTTTAACATAAAAATTAATTAAAACTGCTTGCTTTCAAACTTAATCCGTATTGTGGTATCTGGCGAGAAAGACGATGGGGCTCTTAAAAAATAGAGCTTTTGAAGAACTATTGTGTGATTGTGTAGCCGCTGTAAAACTAAGCTGAGGTAATCTATGTGAATATTAAAACTC